CAACGCATTGTTACTTCCATTCGCACACTCGAAAACATATGTTGGACAGATCCTGTCGCCGAGGAACGCAGCCCGCCTCCTCATTTCCAAAGTCCTACTACCTTCGACATCTGCCATCAAGCGTCTCGCTTTTTTATGGCCTGCGAGCCACCTAGCGTCTGATAAAGTTGCCTGGTCATGTCGTGTAATCTTCGTTTTAATGTACGAGTGGGCTTGCACACACCAGCTCGGAGCAGAACGAAAGCTCGCGCTACAGAACCCCAGGATCCTGCAGGTTCAAACCACACCGCTGCCCGTTTCGATCTGAAGTAGCATCGTACCGGCGTGCGGTCCTGTAACACTATTGCGTGATGCAGCGGTTCTACTGCACTGGTTAAATTTCTCATCTGCAGCCGGGAGACAAGTCGCCCATTGAGGCAGGTTAAGTTCTAGGCTGTATAAACATACGCACACCCAATTTTTGTTTTAGTGGTGCATTCCAAACACGAGCGCGCGTGCATAGAAGACCCGCTCAAAGCGTTGCGCTCGCTCCTGTAGCACTTCTGGTCACCCGTAGCGAAACGGAGTATAAATTAAAGGTGTCATTGGTTTCCAGTGGATCGCTTCGGGTCAAGAGATCGGACGAGTCAAGAGATTCAACAAGACAAGAGGTTAAACAAGTCGAGTTTCCACGAGAAACGAGACACAACGACTCCAAAGACCAACAATTGAAGAAATCTATGGAGCTAAATCTGAACTTCGCAGTGCACTTGGTTTACCTAAAACAAACTCACTAGCAGATAAGGGTGGCAAGTCAAAAATAATTATCCGCACGCTTTTTTTTTTAGAGTAAAAAAAAAAGTTTGCTGTAAGACTGTGTTTAGAGTCCTCAATCAAGATTTGTGTACATATAGTAGAACAACAGACTGTTATTACGAGTCCTGTAATATATTTGTGAAGCCAATATATTGAAAAATTGGGTTGTGTATGTTTATACAGCCTGGAACTTGGTCTGCCTCAACGGGCGACGAGTTTCCCAGCTACATGTAGATGAGAAATTTAGCCAGTGCAGTGCAACCGCTATAGCCTGGGGTCTTTAACGTGCATCACGCAGAAGTGATACACGACCGCACACCGGTACGATGCTCATCCAAATCGAAACGGGCAGGGGTGGGGATTGATTGAACCCAGGATCCCTGGGTTCTGCAGCGCGATGCCACGTGCTCCGAGCTGGTGTGCGCTAGCCCACTCGGCTACCGATCCCCCGAAGCGAATATAGGCTGCGTTTTAAAGGCGAAGAGGAGTTTGGAGGTTATATTGAATCTCCTGACTCGTTATACCTCGACTTGTTCAACACTAGTCAAGATGTAAAATGTGGGCAAAGAGATCCAATTAATAAGTTAATCGAGTTAAGAGATCCACAATGAGCTAAGAATGTCCAACCAGTAAAAAAAGATAAAAAAATGGTTTGATAACTGTTAAAATTCTATTACTTTTTTTACGTCGTTTGCGGCGTCATTGCCACATAGAGGGCTTTCTTAGATGTATGCAAGCAATGCAAAGTGCTCCTTTTGTAGTCCTTTCCTCGCAGTTAATGCCGAAAGCAGCGCTTGAGACTTGCATTATTGTTTGCCTTGCAAGCTCATTGTAAGGTTGTTCCTCAGACCACGTCGAGTGCTGCCGCGCCCCGCTTCTATACGTTTCGTTTATCTTGTTCATTCATTCGTTCATTGCTTTATTTCCAAATCTGTTTTAGAAATACACACAAAAACTGTTTGGACCCATAGCCGTTGAGGCTAGCCCGGGGTCCAATCGTAGTATAGGTTCAAAAAGTGGCAGAATACAAAACTCATGCAATGCGCAAAAAAACAAAAAAAAAAAGGTAATTTAAGTAATTAGCGTAACTGCATTTCATAATCATGAAAGAATCTTTTAAAGGAAGGCAGCATTCCAACTTTATATTAATAGGTATTTCAATCCAAACTAGAGCACCATAAAATTCAATCAGCCTTTGTCCATACGCATTATGGCATGGTGGTAAATTAAACACATAATTCGCTGCAGCCCTTGTTTGTCTTCTGGGATATCGAAATAAGTTCAAAGATAGGGGTTCATTAGGCTCTACGATTTTACGAACTGTTTGAGCTATTTTTAGTTTGTAAATACAGCTGAATGGCAACACGTTTAGACCTGGGAAAAGGTCTACTATAGAGTTAGTTGTTCTTGAAAATGTTATAAATCGTATCGCCCGCTTTTGCAAGCGAGTTATCGGATCTAAGTATGTAGCGTAAGTATTACCCCAGGAACCAGCTGACTGTACACCAATGCAAAATAAAGTATGCGCAAAATAAATCAATCAAAACAATCGTGCGCCTTTAATAATGTATAACCATATGCAATTTTTGAACACATGTGCTTAATTTGGCTTTTCCAGCGCATATCAGAATCAAACAGAACACCTAAATAATGTAACATGTTGTAATTCCGTATTATCTAATTGTATAACTATCTCGTCGTAATTAACAGCCTTTTTCTTGGAGTGAAACACTGTATACTTAGATTTTTTTTAGGTTGAATGTAAGTTGATTCGTGAACCATGTCAGTATCCTAGTGAATTCCTCATTGATTTTCATCCTGCAATTTGCCTATGGTATCCCCAACAGAAATCAGTGCCGTATCGTCGGCGTACATTAATGCGAGTATTTTGAAAACGACGGAAAATCATTTACATTAAGTGAAAAAAGGATGAGCCCAAGAACTGAGCCCTGTGGTAAACCAGTTAACACCGTTTGGAGGGTAGAGCTAAATTAATTTATTACTACGCACTCTTTCCGATTAGAGAGATAACTAGTAAACAGCTCCGACGTTTTCCCCCGAAAGCCATACTGATGGAGTTTATAAAGCAATATACTATGATTATCTGTGTCAAATGCTCTTTTTTTTATATCTAAATATACAACAACGGCAATCTTACTGTCATGGAGAGCTCTGTTGAGATGTTGAGTTAGAACAAAAACAGCTGAGGACGTGTATCTAATTGGTATAAATCCGTGCCGATTGTGGCCAAATATTGAGTATTTAGTTATGAAGTCCTTTATGCGTTTGCATATTATTTTTCCAAGAACTGTGTTAATTATGCTTAAAATTGCAATAGGTCTACAACTGGACAAAGCAGAAGAATCACTTGGTCCTGCCACTTTTGCCACCAGCTTACCTGGCACGAGCATCTTCGGAGTAGAAAACGCCGGCATTCCAGGTTAAAACTTTACCTTTTCCACGTTCACTTCACCTGCGCTGAGAGAGCGGTTGGGGAACACGGAGTCGAATACTCCTTCAGCGACGGGAAGCGTTGCTTCTCCGCAGTGCACCGGTGCTCATTAAGCAGCGCACTTAACGGGGCTAACCCGCCGCGGTCAACACTTCGAAAAATACGAATATCAGAGTTCACCCCGCAGCGAATATCAATGCGCGGGCTAGGTACCGTCCTCATCTTGCCACACATAGCGTTAGCCTCGAGATAGACTGAGGAAAGCGGATTATCATGAAGACCTTCTCGCGATTACTCTAGAGGCTTATCACCTTCTCCAACAAACCTCCCTGTACACCTCGACCCCGCCGGAAACAACTCCCTGTCATACCGTACACACACACAGCACTTCGCATCGCCTCAAGGCGCTTGCCTCACGTTTCGGCGCACGAGAACGTACCGGCAACTCCTTCTCCTCCAAACCCCTGTCCCAACAAACATTAAAGGCAGGTCGCTCTCTGCCGGAGAGAGGAAATCTATTCCATTCCTTTCTCTTGCGGAGAATATATCGGGCAAACCGGCCGATGCCTAAATGACCGCCTGAGCACTTCCGAGAAATCGCCGATTCCAGCGAAGATTCGGTGCACTCAATACCAGTGCGTCGCTGCGCATGCAGACGATGTGCACCTAGGTTAAAAAGACTCGAGGTACACCTAATCACTTCTTACGAGTTGTGAATGCGAAAGCATGAATGTCGCTCTTGCGCACGCTCTCGTGAAGTGGCTACGCCGCGCTGACATCGGCCGTGCAGCCGCTCCGGAGTCTGCCCGAGCGGGCACTGGAAGGCCCCGCCGCCAGCCGCTTCTTTTTAGCGGCGCGGGCCCGCAGCGCCATAGGGTGGTGCTCCTTAAGGCTGACAATCGCCGGTCAAAGGGGACCTAGTTCCTTGAAACTGAAGCGCACCAGCCAATGGGAGCGTATCCATCAGATTTCGGCTTTACTTCGCTCCATTGGGAGGGATTTTTAGCTGCCGTTTGGCACGGCTTCAAAGCTGATGATGTCGGCTCGCTCCATTGAACCCCCCAGTTAATGCTTTCACATTTATATATATATATTTAAAAAAAAACAAAAAAAAACATGCCGTGTTTTGGCGCCATCCTCAAAGATTAGGGAGGAAAGTAATCTAATCATTTGCAATAATATTTAAAAAAAAAACCGGTGTCAAAGCCTTTTCCCCCTCGCTAGCCCTCTCTGATGGAGATGTATTATCTGCGGCTGGAGTTATCCGCGGCAACTAGACTACCTTGATGAGCGGCCGCCCCCAATGGGTCAGCGCACCCTGCTGCCTCTCTCCTTTCCCTAAGAATTGCACAGGGGAACGGGCAGTTTCCCTCCATGGAATTAACTTTGGGGAAGAGAAACAGACAAGTACATTCTTTCAACTCACAACATTCTCTTTGCTATCCGGTATACTTTACCAACACGCTCGTTAGGAATATATGGCACACCAAACAATTAATTCCTTTGACCATGCAAACATAATTTACGGGCCAGCATACGCTGAGCACTTCTCACTTTTTGCCCCTTGTTCCTCTTCCTCCTCCATTCAGCTCCTTCACGGTTTGGAAAAAAAAGACATCAGGAGGATTTTCTGCATTGCAGGAAGTTAAGCGCGTACGTATGATGGCCTTAAAGATATACAGGTCCTACTTACATTTGAGCGAACATCCTGCAAACGGAAAGCGAGGGAAAGGCAAGGACAACACACGTCGGATAACATCCATGTGCTTTACTTTTTTAATGTTCGGTACAATGGCCGCGGGAGCTGCTCCTGCGGCCCTGTATACCACGCAACATCAACACAGCCTTGTCTCTGGTAGCCCGCTCGGTGGAACTTCTGCTAAGTATATAAACGCCTCCAAGCACATTCTTCACCTCACGACCGCGAAGAGCCAGCTCCGGGCTGGGCCGGCCGGGGGTCCCCAGAGATAAGGTACGAAAAAACACAAAGTACTGCATAGCATATTTCGCTCGCCTGCAAAGAGAAAGAGGGACGAGGGTAGAAAGTTGGGCGAGTTGGTGATTCATAATGACTAAAAAGTGCGACAGGACAATGGACACAGAAGGAGACACAGACACAGCGCTACTTACAACTGAACTTTATTTTCGAGCTGCAGCGGAAATAAAGTTCAGTTGTAAGTAGCGCTGTGTCTGCCTCCTTCTGTGTCTGTTGTCCTGTCGCGCTTTTTAATCATTCAGAAAGAAGGAACAAGTTGCCACCATCGTTTGGTGTTGCACATTGACTATGTAGCATAAAACCGTACAATAAGCTAACCAACTAGACAGTTAAATACTACTGCTCTACTGTGACAAAATGACAATGTCACACTGCATGTAGAACTCCCTTTTCCATTAAATTATAGGTTCTCAAACTGGCTTCCCCAGATACCTTCAAGAGCTCCCCAGGTACCCTCAGGGGCTCCCTAGGTACTGTCAGAAGCTCCCCAGGCAGCCTAAAGTGGGCTCCCCAGGTACCCTCACGAGCTCCCCAGGTGCCCTCACGAGCTCCCCAGGTGCTTTCACGAGCTCCCCAGGTGCTTTCACGAGCTCCCCAGGTAGCTTCAAGGGTTACCTAGGGCTTTCTCGGGAGCATATCCTTATGAGCTCCCCAGGTACCCTCAGCGGGTCCCCAGGTACCCCAAGAGCTACCTTGAGGGTTCCAATCTCCAACTACAGGCTACTTCAACCTGATCCTATAACTGCTCATTTGCTCTGCAATCTATTCAGTCAATATAAACATCAACATTAGGCAGTTCTCTCATCACTCTGTCTTCACCTTCTAGTCAGACATTTCCCCAAGACAGGAAGAAGATTAGCACCTTGGAAGACAGTTAATGCTCACATGTTCCTCTTTTTCTTTTTTCCTGATCACTACACCACTAACTCAGCACAAGATTTCTATTGGGACACTCACCATCTTCGACTCATATCTTCTCTCAATGGTATGGCGAGTCTTGGGGTCTGAAAAAAGAATAGAAATAGCTCCTCGCAGCTTTTGTTTGCTTCGGTTTTACCCAAGGAATATCTCGTTATAAGAACAATAACTTGAGAGCCTAATGGTTTCACTCAAGAGCAAAGCATTTAGAAAACACACTGAAAACCACAGGACAGGCCAGGAGTAACTACTGCCTTACCGAGTTCCACATCCTTTAGAATTACTTCCACCATCACTGACAATCGTCTTCATTATCTACTCAGCCCAAATAAGGATAACTAGGCAATCCTTGGCAGAAACAACCAACACATTGTAGTAAATGTACTCTGGGATGTAATTTGATTGTACTCCTGCAGAGCACCTAAATGTAGAGCATTAATAGCAGTAACATTACCATCAATTTTCAGAGAATCCAACTGAACCATACATTTCACATCTAGCAGGATAACATCAAGGAGCCTAGTAATGATACTATTAATAATTAAAATATCAAACCATTGATTACTTACTGTATTCTTCAAGTACAAAGATATGCTCCCTTTGAGTGTAGCATCTCTTGATGTTCTCTAGCCTTACGAAGAACTAGAGGAAACAAGCCAGTTTTACTAGAAGGAACTCACTGTGAAAACCAAACATCAATCTGGAATGCCTACATAAAACAATGCACGAGCAGTGCCAAGCTTTGATCCATTACAGGATACCCCTTGCTAATCTCAACCATATACACAAGGCATGCACAATGCAACTGCAATTCCGAACCGACATCTACAACAACTCCTGTGCTAAGATTAGTGCAAATATGTGCGCACAAAATGTTTTTCGTCTATCAGGTGCCTCGTTACAGCACTAAGATAAACAAAGAATGTAAAATGATCACAGGTGTAACTTGAGTGTGGCACATGAACAATAAACATTAAAAAAACTAACCTGTTTGTGCAGCACTACCATTAACATGTCATGCTCAATAAAATAGAAAAAAGCTCTCGCAATACGAGTGGATGCGGAAAGTATTAAAGCTCGATCTTGGGGGTTCCTCTCAAGCTGAAACTGATGTGTTTAGTGTTTGCGGGAACACAAAGCTATTCTAAAAATACATCCAACAAAGGCAAACCTCCACAACTACACATAGGACGCAACATATGGACATGCTGTCTTACTACTAAAAGAAAACTCATGCCAGTGTGCAGGTGGAGATACAACCACAGTGCAGCGAGTGTATGTGCATGTGTACGATAACAGTTTTATTTTAGAAGGTTCTACAAGAAAAAGTTCAGCCCTGTAGTATTTTACTGACATCTATTTGATAAACACAAAATAAAACCTGTACCTTAATCCGAAACCAACCAAAAGTGTTGGGCAGAACCGCACATAAAAAAAAAGTTAAAAATGCAAGCCTAAGCCAGGTAGATAAGTTATTCCTCAATGACTAGCATCCTGGAAGATAACAGACTTGCAAGAGAAATGACAAAATATGTCAGCTGTTAAAGGAATCATAAAAACAACCATGACAGAGCTACTGAAGTCAAACTAGGTTGCTACGATTGAACTTTCACTGACAGTTGCAGGCGAAGACAAGTATTAGGGGCGTTACAGGAAAAATTACCATCAACTTTGTTATTCCATATAAAATTTCGATCTCGACCAAGCTCTGTGTTTTGAAGCCACATTTCGTAAACGAAAACTGAACTATGCAGACAAGTCTAAAAGAAGGCTATACAATATTTATATTTCAGCATTACACAAATCAAAATAACCAGTATAGCAATAAATGTGCCCAAAATTAGTGGGGAAAAAAAACAAAATATATGCCAAAGATAGCTTTAGATTAGGCCATAATTTAGTCACTAATTTCAGGCTTGCTTTACACCTCACATATAATCCTTTGCACATACTCCACAATTAAGGGTGAGCTCCCAGTAATTGTTAGAACAATAAAAAAAAAAGAAAAACAAGAAAAGCAATAGATATTGCAGCAGTTTTAATCTCACATTTTTTTTTTTATGCTTTCACCCTCGACTATGCCAGTGCAAGGTACGTGCACATGCTCCATGCTCACGTGCAAACCGACACACAAAGCACATCATGTTGCACATCATATTGCACATGCTCACACATGCTCAGGGGGGAGGCAAGCAAAAAGCTTTGTTGAACAGTTGCCAAAGCCAAATGACAGCAGAAGACGCAAAAACATTAGGAAAAAAGTCAAATAAAGGAAGGCCAGAATAAAAGGTGAGGACCGCAGCCGCCGCACACTCGTCCACATCACCTTCGCAGGAACGGAGAAAAAGCTGGTCAATGGAGACCGAAAGAGGTAGGAAACCAAAGTGGATACACAGAATGAGGAAGGAGAAAAAAACAACCACAAAAGAAGAAAGTGACACCAACAAACTGAAAGCAGCAGCAAAAGAAGAAGACTTTTGGAGATGGTCAAGTCAAGTCAAATCATGTGGTGTTGCTCCAACTCTACGAAAAAACCAAGCAAATAATGTATGGTACATGCTCAGAGTTCAGGTTGAGAAAGAAGAGGTAGAGAGATAGGTATAATGCTGTACGCCACGACTAGGTACTACCAGGGCCTACGCTTGCACATGGAAAGGGGGAGGGTGACGCGCGCGAGTGCATAATGTGTGTGTCTGTCTGCATGTGGATTAGTGCGTGCATGTGCGACCAAAGGCGGCAACAACGGAGGTACGGACGGGAACGGTTTCGTTAGTGTGTGCATTTCTCTCTCTAGGCGTGAAGCGAGGCGAGAAGGAAAAGAGCGTCACCTGGTGAGTGTGGTAAATGAGAAGGGGAAAACAAACAAACGACAAAACGCCTCGACAGCTGGTTTGTGCACTACCGCCACTACTGCTAGGCCCTCTCACTCGATCCCCACTACAAAAGCAGACTCTCTCTCTTCTAGACAGTGACAAAGCAAAAAAAGGTTGGGTCTGTACCTCAAAGTCCTGTTTCCGTTCACAGGGAGTGGGAGACAGAGACACACAGCGACATAGAGGAAGCCGAAGAGACCCCGGGTAGGCGTTAATTAGAGAGGGGAGAAAGAAAAAACAAAAACGAAAAGGAGAGTTGTACAAATGTCGGAGGATAAAAAAACGCTGCCCGGAAGAGAACGAAGAGAGGGCAAGTTCCTTTTTTTCTCAATACTTTTTTCACTGCGCTTTAGGAGTTCGAGCCAAAAGCATACACATGGTAAAAGGAGCACAAACAGAGTTAAAGGCAATGTCTCTCTCTCTTTCTCTCTTCTGCGTTGTTAGCGAGCACTGTCGGCGGCGGAGCATGCGGTATGTCAGGATGTCGCCCGCTTTCCGAACCCTGCTAGTCTCTAGTCTGTCGCCGAATGGAGGAAGGGGGATGGTAGGCATGAAAGAGGGAAAGGGTAGAGTCTGAAAAAGTGGCATAAAAGTAGGCAAGTTGGTGACAAGAGCAGGAGGGAGGGACGAGGAGGAGACGGAAGGCTTCGCAGCAAGGGCCAGGGAAAAAGTTTCAAAATCCTCAAAAAGCCCCGACCGTCAAGGCGACAAAAAAAAAAAAAAAATAAACAAAAAAAACTAACCGACTGCAACGGAATTTCCAAAGCTACAGCTCAGGCTTTACGGATTCAAGGGTCGGGAGGGGAGAGCTTGAGGAAAGGGGGAGGTTTTTTGTGGGGAGGAGTAAATTAAGCAAACGAGGCAAGTTTTAAAAAAGAGCGTGAAACGAGAAGATACGACGAGAGCTGTCAAAGAAGACGTGACAAAGAAAAAAAAAAGAAAAATCGATCAAGACAGAGGACCATCTCAAAAGTCCCTTCGCTTGCTCCTTTCTTTCGGACCACAAGAAAAAGAAGTCGCAGGGCAGGAAAGAGAATGTACATATATATCATGTCTATATATGTAACAAGGAGAGAGAAGAGGGGGGGGCAAATGTTCCAAAGATGCATGCACAGACCTCATTCCAAAGTCACCTCACGTAGGAAGTATGGTAGTAAACTGGTCTGAGTACAGTATTAGGAGAGGTATATATACGTAGATAGAAAACAAACTAGTAAATAACCAATATGCGCATATATAGTACGTAAATGCATATATACGGGTCAAAAAGTCCTGGGAGAGAGAAAAAGAGGTGAAGATAGGCACCACTGAAGCAGTACAAAAAGAAAAAAAGAAAAAAAAAAAAACACTCAAAAAGAGGAAGAAAAAGAAGACGTTTTAGACCGGGAAGCCACGGTATCCTGTTCGGAGGGATTGCTCTGTGCTTTCGTTCAGGCCTGCTGCCCCCCCGCCCCCCCCACCCCCCCTCCCCCCCTCCCTAAGTTCGTCTACCGAGAAACACACAGGGATAGCCAAAAAATGGGGAAGCTCGCCCGAGGGCAGCGGACACAAGGGACGGCATTCGGGTCCACAAAAAAACCTGCTCAGGCCCCGCCCCCTCCCGAGTCGTTTCAACCAACGCCAGGAATTCACTTTGTCATTAAGCCAAAGCAACTCAAAAGAGGTATACGCAACGGCTGCGTCGCATCAGAGAGGGGTCATGACAACTAAAGGGAATGGTCAAAGGCAAGCAGTAACGGGAGTTTTGAGAAGGTCCTCGGCCGGGGCAAGAGGCACCGTCCAATCCAGATTCAGGGCCCGCACCCAGCAATGCATCACTCTTCGTCCCCACATCAAAAAATAAATAAAAATTTAAAGAAAACCAACAACAAGAAGTAGCTTTTCTATTTAACCATACCCCTAAGTCTTTCTCCAAAAAAGGAATAGCTAATTTTTTTTCGGTCATGATTCCAAGATTTTAGACTCTTAAAACTTGTTTCGAAATGCCTCTTCATAATGCCGTCTTCTGTGGGCCCCACAACACCATCCCAAACAGGAGGGGTCTCCAGTCTAAAGTTGTATGGCCACTGAATCAGGATAACACGGTAGTTTCTGAGCAATAGGGTAGCACAATGGTATCATTGAAGAACATTGGTCGTATCACCAAAAGCAAGCTGTCGAACAGCCGATACACATACGTAAAGCAACTGTGGATTTGGGAAAAAACAGTTCTTATTTATGCTTACTGTTGTCTAAGAGGACATACAATAATTAGCCTATTTATATGAAAGAAATTGTTCCAGCTAAAAGTTCCGCTAGACAGTGCTTAAGTTGCAAGGGAGCATGTCGGAATGAAGCGAAGTTACTCGTAAGGATACATAGCTTCTAATAGATTATCTACTTTTACTGAAAGTGACACTCCATTGCCAATTGTGAGTGAATCCCCTCAAACCTTCATTTGCTTTTGTTTTAGAAATAAAATATGACATGTGACAAATTAAAGATAAGCAATAAGGTTCATGAAGTTACTTTAGCTCCAAAGACCAATGAACTCTCATAAGCAGGGGTGGCCTTTGGTGCATTGCACACAATGTGGGATATTGTACAAAGTAAAAACAACAGGAATCCACCCATGGCTGGGAAGAAGAAACTAGAAACTACATTATTGATTTCTCATTAAGATACCAATTTTCTCTTACTACAGTACTAATTATACCGGGTTCTTCAAGCCCACTACGCCACACATTGAATTATTAAGGACAATAAGGACAACCTTATTTACTTGTACGCACAATTAGCTAGAAAACATATAGCAGGTAATAGAGCCCAAGTTATGTAATCACTATGAGGGATATGTTTTCCAAAGATTTAGCGAGACAACAAATTAAATTTATAAATTGGACTATGCAGATGCGGTAACAATAATTGAAGTATGGTGCTTTGTTGCAGTTTGCTTTCCAAATGTGTGCAATTATGTAACTGAGCCAGGACGCCCAATCCTGTATACATTTGGTAATGCTACTTACACTTCTAACACCCAACAAACCACATTGAAGGATTTCATGATTAACTGGATGAGTACCAGTAATGCAAGGGGTTTAGAGTTTAGAAAGTTCCAGACACAGTCCGAAATGAGCCTAATGACTATGTAAAAAGTAGCTTGCGCAAATTAATGCTCTGGCTTAATTTTGATAATCCCAAGTTAGCTTGCTAGTCAAATTGTTGACAAATAAAATCTCAATTAAAAACATCTGTAGCCCATGCCAAACTTAACATCAACATTTGAATTTCCTGTTACTTCTCTGGCTTATACAAAAACAAAAAAAAACAAGCTGAATAAACACGAGATCTTAAACATAAAGTACTGCCCCTACAATGTGAGGTGGTGTACAAGCTGAGACGAGGCATCGCGACTTTAACAATGCTATCAATTAGCACATTACGAGGTTAAGAAACAATGGGCACAGCAAAATGAAGAGAAGAGTAGAAGTCGGTGCTTCCCTTACCTTGCTATTGGCAAAAAGCAAGCCTACGCCTTCCATGCACACCTGTAAAATCCCACCTTCACGCGTAGTCATGTCCAGCACCGGAAACTCTCCTCCGAGTTCCGTACCTAAAACAACAATATAGTGCAAGAGTAAATAACAAGTCCAGAGAGTACCACATATTGGTACTTACGTTGCACTGAAGTAATGCAAACATACCGTAGTAACTATAAGTAGACTTCGAGTATAGGTCAACTTCCAGTGTAGGTCGACTTCGAATGTAGGTAGACTTCGAATATAGGTCGACTTCGAATATAGGTCGACTTCTATACTAGATCACTTGCCTCAAGTAATAAAAGAATGTTCAAATGAAAGACAGCCCCTACTTTTTATAAAAAGGAAGGGAAGGACGTTCATATAAACATTTATTTCACAGTGTCTCTAGTCACCCCAGTTAACCCTCTCATTGCCGGGTTTTTTGCTGACTGCGGGTTTTTTCCCGCATTGGTTCCGTGGCCATTTTATGCTGGTAACTCGGCAATGGTGCCCTTTCTTGTGTGTGCCATCAGCATTATGGCAGTCAGAAATACATAGAATTCACGAGCAGTCACGTCTTTCCCCCAGTGTACAGTTGCCGACCGATTTTTCGGACTGAACCGAAAAAACGCCCAAATAATAGAGCAGTCAGAAAAATCGGCAGATTAAAAAACTTGCCTTTATTACGTCTAAGCAGGCTTAAAAAATTTGTCAATAGTGACTTGCTTCAGGCTACGCCTGCACGTCTTACTTCAGGTTTAGCCACTTTGAATTAGCTTGAGAATTGCTGCCTTCTTTTCTAGCATTATGGTCGCTTACTTTCCGTGCTTTTTAGCGACACTTTGTGGCAGCAGAAGAAAAGATGGGACCATGATGTCCAAGCAAGCGTAGTCCGAAAACATGATTCACCGAGACGAGATGCGAGGCGCAAGTCCACGACTGCAGAATCGCGAATGAACGAAGCAAAATGGTAACAATGACGAGGCTAATGGCGCGCAGCTAGAGAAAAAAAATCCGTAGCGTGGCGTCACCTAGCGGTAGGACTTAGCAGTACTTAAGTAGCACTGCCAAACCAAGCCAATCCATGTGCAGTCAACATAAAATCTAAAATGGCGCTCGCGACAATTTTGTCCGAAAAATCAAACTTTCGGACTTCAAGCTGTCCGAAACATTGGTCGTGAATATGCACTATTCCTCCTATCGGGTAGCTCACAGTTCCTTCTTTAGGTTCGATATATCAAACAAGTCCGAATTATCGGCGTTTGAAAAATCGGTCGGTGACTGTATACGGGATCGGTCCGCCGACGTAAGAGCGACAAGTAGTTGGCACAGGAGAAGGTTTGTCTGCTCAACAATTGCATCCAAAACATTGCACGTAAACAACACTTAGGTAAGCTGCTTCATTGTTATCACTTTCATTGGAGTCAGAATTGATCAAAAGCTAATTTATTGTTTCTTGCGTCAAAGAGCGGACGCGCATGACACACTGATGCGCCACAACTGCGCTGCCGAGACGAAGCGACGGAGCAGACGAATAAATGAGCGCTCGAACTGTTGCCTAAAATTTAGCCCACAAGTTTTATATGTTTAGGTGACCTCTCCATAGATGGTGCAATGAGCCCACAGCATTTCTTTTTTTACAAGAGTTGCGTCGGGAGTGCCAGGGAGTGAGCTAAAAACGCATAACGAGTATACTCGAGAGTAGCAGGGGGTGTGCGGGGGAGGGGTCACTCGAGCTAACTCTAGAGTGGCAGTAAAAGGGTTAAAACTCACTTAACCATCACCTTGACCACGCCATCGCTTAGCCTTCTAAACGACAACGCCGTCAAGACGGTCATGTCCCCAATGTCACAAACAAGGATCCGAGAGGCTGCCAGAAGATCCTTCCCGAAACTGTAGGATGGCAGCTGCCATTATAAGGCACAAATAGTCTGTTACTGCTGATAAGATCACATTAAATGAAGTCAACCATTTGCCCCCATGCCTTGGCAGGCAGTCTGTGTCGCTCGCACCAAGCTTCACCACCTCGCACTGGTGCAAGTGCATAAAGTTTCACTGCTCAGCCCCGGTGCATGCATCAAGCTTCCCTGCTTTGCACAGTAGTGCTAGGAGCAGCAGCTGATGCAGGAGAGCAACTGGATTAGCTCCAATGAGCTCAGAAACTTTGCTAACTGTTATGAGTTGACATTCTTCGGTTATGACTATAGGTCAACCCCTAATTTAAGTGAACAATGTAAAAAACAAACAATGTCAGCCTATATTTAAATAAATAGAGTAAGCAACAATTTTAAACTTTGGCCTTAAGAACACAATAGCCAAAAAAGGCAGAATTAACACACTGCAGCAAACGAGTTAGCATATAACATGTGTTCGTCCCCTTCTGTGTTCTTGAGTCTTAGGTTTTTATTACCACGTATAACATTCCAAATAAAAAGAAGTCTGGAAAAACTTTCTGCAAACAGACGTCGAAATAGCAGCAGTTCATGCTGCTATTTCAGCATGCTCATTTCACAGTTTCACAGTGAGCAAGCAGTGGCTTCTTTAGGCTTTCATTCCCCTTCAACTGCACACATGGTTAGGATACACAAGGTAGTGCAGCTTCATACGATATAACCAGATATGTGCAGACAACTGTATGAACTAGTGCAACAAACCACACAACAACCAGGCCACAAAAACAAATCGGTCACTTACCAGACGTGACAACTTTTCCACGGGCGGCTGCCCTTTCCATCGCTTCTTTGATGCTGTAGTACATGTCTTTACACTGAAAGCATCAACAGAATACAATGCGATGTCGTCCCAAATTTCTAGGCTCTTGCCCAAATAGTACAGTTTCTGACCGAGTGCCGTTAACCCCCTGGCTACTAATCACGAGTGTCACTCGTGTCCTTCATTACCCCTCTGATGGCACGACACAGTAGAGGACTCCAGGGTGGACACCTCAGATTTCCAGGAATTAATAGTGAGAGCAACAAACAACACCTAAAGGCCAAATGAATGCTCTGTTTAATTTTCGTAAGTGACGATTTAGAATATGTGTATTATGTTTTATAAAAAAAAGAAAAAAGGCTATGATGGGTTTAGCATGGTATTTAGCTGTGAAAGGTGTACGCTGTACTGTTGACATTTATGACAATCGAGGAACAGCAGAGTGCCCGCCGATGGCCTGCCCTCCTGGCGGTTCAAAGACTGTCTGAAGCGTGGCACCCTGTACAAAGAAGTGCACTTATACAAAGGTGCAACTTACACACCGACTCTATTGCGAAAATGGCCAATTATAGGGGGTGAAACTTACCAGAGAAATGCCTAACTTAAGCCTACTACGGTTTTGCTTCGAGGCGTTAGTGCCCGAGTAGTTTTCTTATTGGCTTTTCTATGGCTTTTCTCTGGGTCGCCAATTAGCTGCCAAAGTGCCAGAATCCCGCCAGACTTCAGCCAAAGGTGCCACATATCAACCAAACAACCAAAAGTGAAGCCTGATGCTTGTTTGGTTTCTTAGGGCCAAGATACCCACACTTAGGCCATAGAAATCTACTTTGGTTTTTTCGAGCATTACAAGGCCCAAAATTCCCAGACCAAGGTTTGACCCAAAGGACTGTGCTACCTGGGATGCCACTTATGGACCGGTAAGACAGTATGATGGTGCGGCTAACTCTTCAGACCCCGGTTCAGAGCAGCGAGAGCACATTTTAGTCGACGCCAAAGCGGCTCCGTTCGACGACACTCCCTGAAAGAAGGCGTCGCTCACCTTGCGAGTGTAGTACTTATGCAGCTGTGTCTGGCCTTGGCTCCGCCTCCAGAGACAAAGAACCTTGTTTTTGGGGCAGTAAGACATGTTCACCAGCCTTTCGTACCACCAGCGCTCCAGGACATGGCCGTTTGCGGCACGAAGAACTAGGCCGTCATCCCGCACCTGCACACGGCGATCGTCGTTACCACCATCATTTGGACACAAGAGGCAAGCACGTTGGGCGTGCTCGTATGAATCACCCCAGTCTTAACTTTAAATTTGGAACTCCAAAGTTAAAACAGTCTTTACATAGAAAAAAAAAAAAAAAAGATGACGGAACATATGGCGACTTGCGACATACACCCACTTGTCTACCTGAAAGGTATACAGGTGGGTGTATGTTCACTACATGCACTCTGTGCATCAGGGAAAGGTGTCTAGCGGAGACAATTCTCAAAGCTGTGATTTGGTGTTTAATGCCGAGCGCCGTTCAATCGTAGAAATAAATAAATAAAAAGTGATAAACTGAGCAAAATTAAACACTTTCCAACGATGTCCTTAGCTGGCACATTTATCATTCTCTAATTCGGCAAGGTAAGCTTCTAAAACAAAAAACGGGAGAAAAAAAAGTTGTATTCCTATGTACAAAAATAAAAATAAAACGTCTGGGTAATGTTGCTACTTACAGATGGCAAACAAGCTTTAAAAGTTTTGTGTTTTATGTGGTGCAATCTGAGAGTGGCAGCACAAACCAGACGTTTTGTTTCCATTTTTCTCCCTGCATGCAGGAATAACTCACTCTCCTTTTCCTGCATTAATTTTTTTTACAAGAAGTCACACTCCCAAAACTTGAGTGCGGTAAAGGTACCACCTAAAGACACCTTGGCAAAATGTTTCATTGCACACCTATCAATGACTCATATATAAATTGTTTTTTTTTCACGAGTGAATGGCACTTGGGAACCTCCCATTTATTCCATCATTCCCGAAGGCGAGTGTGTGGTCGATGCTACATACTCTTCGGAGCAGTCATGCCTACTTTTCACCACATGATCACACTCCTGCTCAAGCCCACGTGCAGAGTGGTATCAGGTGATGAAATAGAGGGGGGGGGGGGGCTGATTAGTCCAGCAAGAGTGTAGTTCCCATCAAACCCTCAGCTTACGGGTGAACGGAGCATGGTACCTATATGATATGCCTATAAAGAGAGTCTTCTCGCGACGTTAGCAATGACTTGCGTGGTTGCCTCGTGCTTCTAGCCCTTACATGGGTGAGCCAGGTACTGCCAGAGACTGGGCTCACTTACCTCCAGGAACCTAACTTCGTTGGAGTCTGTGGTCATGTGGACCGTGAAACACTGCGACTGCATCTGACGACTCCCTAGAGGCCTGAGGTCAATCTCGTTCCCAGACTGCAAATGAGGATGAGCGCGAGATGCAACATTTTAGTCGTCTGAACAGCTAAACAGAATCCTCCTAGATTTTGGCCTTGATAAACCCTCAGCAACAGTTAAGGATAGCCACAGCATACGAAGAACGGACAGCAGCCACAGCAGTTGTTTCATTTTCCAGTGGCTAGGCGGACTTTTAAATGTGTCTATCGTGGTATACTGTGATTACTATCATGGGAGGAGTAAGCCATGGTAGTAGAAAATGATGGTTCAAGGACAAAACTGCTATGTGGCGTTCATGTGCCGACCAGGTAATCATAATCTAAATGCCACCGCTCCTTCACTTCTCTGATTGCTAAGAACATAATGGTGCAAGTATAATTGCAATGAGCCGCAATACCAAAGAGTTTCAAGAGTGATGGAGATGCTACATGCTACATATCCAATATTATTATTATTATTATTATTAAAAGCACATGGCTCCCCTCCTACAAAACTGACCTTTCATCACTTTGAAAACAATCTTGCAAGCAATGAAAATACATATCCAATCTTGTAAATGTACCTACCTGCCTAACTTTCTTTCCATCCACCTAAAAAAAAAAAGAAGAAAAAAAAAGTAAATTTTTTAGTTTATAGTTTGAAAACTAAAGCTTCACATAACTACCACATATTCCATGTTCTAGCATGCTCCCCAGGAATGGAGCACTGCACTGCGAATGGGAGCACTTAGTACATGCACCCGTTCGCATTACCATCAAGACACCAAGAAAGTAAGTTTTTCATAGCTTGGAAAAGAAATTTCAAAACCCCACCTCAAGAAAACAAACCACATTTTGATGTTGTAAGCAGGGGCGGATCCAGAACTCCGTTCTGGAGGGGGTGGAAAATTTGTAAGGATATTATTCTCCCATTCTTTCTAGTGCACCGGCGGGTTTACCCATGTCAAATCGCCCTCCGAGAAGGGGGGAGGGGGGGGGGGGGGGGGGGTCGACTTTGCTTGGGGTGGGGGGCGGCCGCTCCGTCGCCCCTCCTTGGATCCGCCACTGGTTGTATGACCAGAGCGCACAGATTTCCCACAAAGCCCCATTTTAGTATAGTAATACCGCAATTTCCGGACTACAGTCCGCCAACTATACATATTTAAAAGCTGAAATTTTCTGCGGTGCAAACTACCAAAATTATCCTGAGACATGGCCCGCCCCACTTTTCGGGCGAATATCGATTTCTAAAAAAACACCAAGTGATCGCCCACCCCTACAAATACCCCAAACACGGACTCTGCGAACGTTCATCCTACCCGAATGACGCAGCCGCGGACCTTACGGTTGGAGGACGTCCGTGACAAAGTAAATTGAAGGAGGGAAAGACACTTTACTTTGTTCACACAGTTTCTCCCCGATTTCCATGACCCCAAAGTCGGTGTATATGCATGTGAAAGGAAGACAATGAAGATAACAGAATAAAACTTTGCTTTGCTAATAAAAAAACCTCGTTCGGACAAAAAAAAAAAATGGGGAAGGCAACACAAGCATTAACCCATTCAGGGATTGCAAGGTCAGCGAACACCCCATATCCACGGAATGCAAGGTCAAACTGCGCCTCCACCGAAATCACCGCAAACTCGCTCCTTCTCTTGAAACATTCCGACCACGGTTGATAAAGTTGTGCAATGTTTGAGACAAAGCCAACAGGTAAATAAAGATTTGCTGGAACGCCGCACACAGACGTTTGTCAAGCGTTCCATTTCGAGCTCCGTGTTCGTGGTGCTGTCCAGCCACATAGCAACACCGCCTCAACCTGCATTAATAGCACGTCGCGCATGGATGCACGCATGAACGGTATGCACGAAACAACCAAGTTGCACAAGAGCCTGCCCGCTCCTTGCAATTAACAAGGTGCCCCACTTGGCCCGACACCGAAGTATTTGCCAACGTGATCGCTGGCTTTCCCACTAACACAACATCGCTCTTAGTCGCTTCTTTAGCCCGCTTGCTTGCCCGCTCGCTCACTCGCTCTCTCCCTCGTTCATTTGTTCTGCCCGATTCTTTTTTCTTGTTTACTTTCCTTCTCATGAAGAAAACACAGCGTAGTAAAAAAACAAGCTTCCACGGAACAAGCGTTTGCGCTGTATGCCAATCGGCGGTGTACATCGCGCATATGGAAGTAACAGACCTTGCTTTAGTCAAACATTCTTTCGTGAGCATTTCTTGCATAACACAATAAAACTAATTCGAGTTTTGAGTTTAAAGTATCTCTTGTGCAGCCACGCTAGATATGTACAAAAAAAATTGGGTTTTGTTTAGCTTTTTCTCAACTTTTTGTACTTATCTACCGAGGTCCACCCACTTTTTGTTTTAAAGAATTTGAGGTGGCAGGGTGGTGGGCGATGGCTCTGGATATTACGTTATACAAGGACATTTTTTTTCTCAAGACGGTTCATTACGACACGCGACAGATTTTATGAAAGACAGATTATGTTAATGATTTGTGAAGGACACAAACTTGTTCATGCACTAATAATAATAAGGTAGGCATGTTTACATTGTTTTGAATGTGAAATATGCACAAAATGTGGATTATGCGTGGGGTGCAGGCTATCAGGAAAACATTTTCCCTCTTGGCCGAGATTTGCCCCTGCAGAGTATACACTGGGTGCAGATTACAGTCTGGAAAACATGGTGCTACCAACACGTCCAACATGCGGTTCTCCAACTTGCTAACCCCTTCATTGCTGGTCAGACGGGGGATATGTGAAAGAGGCGGCACTCACCACAACCTCCAGAGCGTCGAGAAGGGTGTTGAGCTCTGCACTGTACACCAGGCTAATGTGGCACTTGCCAAGGAGACGGCGGGCACGCCTGCGAATCTCCTCAATGTTCACTTCCATCATGAGCATGAAGGCAATCACGTTCGACAAGAGGGTCGAGAGCAGACGGTCTTCCTCATGCTCAAGGCGCTTCTTCTCTGGACTTGACAGTGTCCGGTACCTGCGGCACGAACACCGTCGATCAGGGCACGTGGCATTTCCTCAATGTGCAATGTGCAGTGCAGCATACTTTTCCATATTTTTCTCGGCACAAAATTGAATAACACATCATCGTTTGCAGAGTTCCAGCTCAAATGACGTGGCACCAGTGGGGGGGACCGGATGCAAAAATTTGGAAGCTTACTGTTACCCAATTAAAAAGAGTGATTTTTGGAAATTTTGAATGGGGGAATGGCAGCCAACGGAGCATGTGAATGCATAAAAATGAATGACATTTGCCGCCAAAAACAAGTCCCATTTCATCATTAAAATTTTTCGAAAATTGCTTTTGCTTTACCTAAATTCCTGACTATTTGCCACTTACCATAAAATACTGAGCATCTGTCCATGTCCCAACAAGCACCTGTTCGCTACTTGTGAAATGTTAAAAAAAAAAAGCGAAGGACGCGTCAATCATACGTCCCAGACTTCCGAGCACACCTAGCTAGCCGAGATGCACCTCCGTACCAGCCGCTTCTCTGAATACAATGGCGCGATGCGGTGAAGTTCGACACGCATGCATTGGTGCTAAGCGGTGAAGTCCACCACACTGTGAGCCTCTTCAACATATTTGCTCTCAAGCCTAACAAGTGCCCGTCCCACAGTTTTTTCAGAGTGAGCTTCTCCCAACGTTAAGGTAGGCGCTTGCTCGGTATTTTACGGTACGCAAAAGACAACTGCCGTACTAAATGAGAACTGAAGGCACTCCATCGTCTAACCGTTTTAAGCTTTCATCTATAACAGATGCAGTTTCATTTAAAAAAAAAATACAACATGTAGGACTGCGAATGTCAACGTTAAGAAGGTGCTCGTCTAAATTCACACAACTTTTTGCCAGTTTAGTGGGCACACAAAGGCCGGCTGGAAAGCAGGTTTTTTCAACGGAAGATGGGTGTCTATATTCCCCCGCCCCGCCCGCCTCACCCACCCCCCCCCCCCCCCCCCCCCCCCCCACCTCACACTTTGAAGCCAAATAGAATAGCCACCAAATTGCGGTAGACTGAAATTAAAAAGAGCGGAGGAGAGAGGCTGCTTACCTCTTCATCTGTTCGCCGGGCTGCTGTTCCACGCCGATAAGGTCACGCTCTTGCGACACTGCGTCGAAAAAGGTGTCCTCCCAGAACTGGGGCTCGTCCCAAAGTGTCGACCGATCTTTTCCTGAAATGTTGCGGACGACAGAACGTAGGCCAAGTGAGACAACATGAACATCAGAGATGACATTTTTCTTACAGCTACCATATTTTCTAGGCCATGTTCCACACACTATGTTTTAAAGCTTATTCTTTAAACGGTGTTGACTACTATACTTTTTAGAGCGCAGCTCTTAGGTGCCCGTTTCCTGCTTGGGCAGCATCGCCGTTGCCGTCACCGTAACCGTGTGTTGCATTATGGAAAACGTCCCATAATGCAACATGCGGGTCTCACTTGTGACCCACGCGTTGCATTATGGGACGTTCCCGATAAAGATGTCACAAGTGATGTCACGAGGGTCCTGCGTGATACATCATGGGAAACTTCCCATAATGCATCAGGCGGATCTCACTCGTGACCCGCACGTTGCATTATGGGACATTTCCGATAATGACACGTGATGTCATGAGGGTCACAAATGATGTCACGAGAATCCCGCGCGTTGCATCATGGGACGTTTCCCATAATGACGTCACACATGACATCACGAGGGTCACAAATGACGTCACGGCAGTCCCAAGGGTTACGAGTGACATTGCCAGTGATGCCACTAAAGACACTCGTGAAGGTCACGAAGAAGGTCATGACCCTCACGAGGCCTTTACGAGTGAAGTCACTAGGGTCACGGGGGGACAATGAGGGAAGGAAAGGAGGAGGGGGAGGAGAATGAGAAGTGGATGACGGAGGGGGGAGAGGGTGGAGGAGGGGCAGGAAGAGGAGGAGGAGGAAGGCAAGAGGAAAGGGTACAGAGGAGGGGCATACCCTCCCCTCCTCCCCAAGAGCTCTGCTCTAATTCGGCATTACAGGGAGTTGTAAGCATTCATCTTTTATAATGGGATTATAAAGGCCGATAAGTGAAATAATCGCCTTTATACGGGTCTCAATGACATGCTGAATGCCAAGCCGAAGTGCCAAAATCAATTCGCAATTGTCAGCTAGAAATACCAAAAGCGTGCAGAGCAAAAATGTACGGTCTACGCACACCCCCCCCCAATACACGTTTTAAAAACAATCTATTCTCCACAAAACTTTTTTTTTTCAGTATTACAAAGGTTTTTTTTACTGACACGCAAACTAACAGGCTTGGCTACCTGAATAGAGTGGTAAAGGGCATTAAGAACCGCCCGTAGCAAAAACGCCAAGGAGCTCAGCGTAGGCGAGCTCACCTATGAGGCCCTGGTAGATGTAGGTCCGGGTGTGAGGGGGAGGCGTGGTTCGGGTTGGCGTGCTTGGACCCGGGCCCGGGCTGGACCCCTGGCTCGGATCAGGAACCTTGCCCGGAACCGACGTCGCGCTCGGAAACCTAAACCCTCCACTCAGGCTCGTTTTCCCGGTCCAGAGGCTAGCGGCACGCTTCTGCCTCGGTCCGAGGAACTGGATGCCAGAGCGGGCAGTTGTGGGGCATTAGGAACCGTTTTATTAGCTCACTCTTTGAGTTTGGCTGGCTTGAAGGCCTGTTCACACACGCACCGCAGTGCTAACTCAGCATCGTAAGCAGTCATAGTTGTTTAACATAGTTGGTAAAACTTGGAAATAAATGTCTGAACCAGACTCTATGGTGGTTGAAATGTGTCGGTGCACGAGGTGATCAGGGTTTCTCATTGTGAGTTCAAGAAAAAGATGTTCAGTAACAAGTTAGTAAAACTACTGGTACAAAAAAATTGTGCCAATAAATTTTGAAAAAAAAAAAATGATAGACGTGTAAAGAATAATCTTAGTCGTCAAAGAAATGAAATGTCAAGTTAGGCTGCATTCTGCTCGTTTAAAAAATTTTGGGGCCAACTTATGTGCACACAGGATTGTGCAAATATTCGAATAGTAGTTTTAAATGATACATAATTTGATCTTCACAGCGAGATGAACTCCGACATTCCTATTTTTTGTGGTGTTGATCATGGCAGGTTAGCCCCGTTGAGCACACTTCTTGCCGAGCATCAACGCATTGCGGAGAAGCAACACTCGCAGAGCTTGCTTCGCAGATGTTGCTCCTATGCAGTGCACCGGTGCTCGGTAAGAAGCACACTCAGTGGGGCTAACTCGCTGTGATCAATGCTTTGAAAAGTAGGAATATTGGAGTTCACTTAAAAGTGAATGTCGAATAGCATAGTATTCAAAACTACTATTTTAGAATTCTAATATCGCACAATCCTGCACAACGATTGAAGGAGCTGTCTCTTAGTAAACGTATATGTTGACTCTTTAAACATTCCCTCATGAGCACCTTGTCTACCCTTCTGGCAAAGTCACACGTATAGTGTCCTACTATGCTCCTGCCACTTGCGCAATGATATTTCTGGCAGAGCTCACAATTATGCATTTCATGAACCGCTGAATGGGCACATCACAAAATAGAAAGTGGCTAACAACCTCGCTGACTTCGGCCCCAACTAAAAACACGGTGTAGGTCAGAATGAAATCGAAGAGCAGTGGGCCACCAGAGAAAACTGTCAGTCATGTGCAAAACTAGATGAACGAGATGGGCCAGGCATTTTAGAGCGAGCAAAGTACAAAAATTTATGGCATGCACACGCACACAAAGAAAGCAAGTTTCCCAATGCATCAGCAAAGCAACTTCATGTCGAGCAAAAGGTCAACCAGTACCTGAAATATTCGAAAGCATGCTTTACCGCTTACAGGTAATGAAAACTTTTTTATTAGTTCATCTGGAAACAGCCTGTCTTACAGAGGCCAGACTAGCAAAAGTTCCATTTCAACAAGAAAGCATTACATACTTGCCTGCATGATAGGTTGCCAGTTTCCCAGCAGCAACCTATCATGTGTTGTTGCTGTTATTACAAAGCACCAACTTGCCCAAGCTTTCAACTTAACATGCTACTTTACTCATACTCGGCCACAACGGGGGCCATGGTTATTTGGCATCAGGCATTTAACTTTTGGAAGACTTAGTTAAGCGCCACACTAAAGAAGGCTTTTATTTCTTTTGTTTGTCTTAGTGCCAAACAAAATTAGGGAACAGGAGAAAGAAGCCATTAAGCTTTGAGGGTCCTCGAAGCCACAAATTAAGCTTTAATCTTTTTAAGAAACTAAGAGGCCAGATGCCTCCTAGGCATTGTTGGGGGTGGGGAGGAGGAGGATGGGGGGGAGTGAAGGGTACTCTTCTTTGACAGAATTGGTTACTAGAAATCTCCAAAATGTCTGAGAAAGGGGAGGAGAAGCGATTGCAACCCTCCCTCCTAATCCTCCCTCCCCTCCTCCCCTCCCCTCCCCCCCCTCCCTCCCTCCCTCCCTCCCTCCCTCCCTCCCTCCGTCCCTCCCTCCCCTCCCCTCCCCTCCCTCCTTTTTCCCTCCTCCTCCTCCTCCTCATGCCTCTCTTGTTCCGATGTCACTGGTATCATATGCAAACGGGGCGTCGGTGGGTTGCCCTTGAAGCATTACAGTCAGCAGGCACACACAGAAGACAACCAGTGAAGACATGCTAACCACACATAATTGGAGAAAGCACCAGTCAGAGCACAGCTGCACTAAAAGGCAAGCAACTACAAACTACTAGACTACTGAAGCTACCAACTGAACAACTACACAAGACTGCCAATCGTCTCGTTAAGGTTATACTGAAGCTACCCACTTCAGTAAAAGGGACACACACTACAAGTTCCCTTGTTGGGGAATTCGTGTGCAGAGTTAGCAAACTACAAGGCACGCATCAGACACGCTGCGCCGCACACAAAGTGTAAGCGCATCAGACACGCTGCACCGCACACGAAATGTGGGAAGTTGCACACAAGAATCACATTCATGTCTTCCCAAACCTCAAGCAGTGCAATATCATTGAAAGATTCGCACCTTGCAACAACTCTCTACTAAAGTCTACTACCGGCGGAAGCCAACAGACGTTCACTGGAGATCGGTGAGAGTTATAGTGAAAACTCAAAATTCTTCCAGAAACCAGCAAGTTCTGCTAGAAACCACGGCCATATGATGCAATTAAATCAGATGTTTCTGAAGGTATTTCCAAATCCAATTAAAGACATACCAAACACCAGCATGTAAACCACAAGGAAGTACCACAATTAATGAAAGCGACAAGCATTACAAACATGGCATGTGCATACATGCTCTTGCCAGGCATACAGAGCCAAACTGCCAATGGCATGGCGAGTCACGCAAAAATCTTAATAACTGCGCCGCAACAATGACCACGACGTTTCACACGTTCGGAACCTAGTTGAGACTGCATTTAGAGTAGAAAGCAACTGGGCTTCATTATTTCCTAGGCCCCTACCAACGACTGCGTTGACTCTTTCCAGAAGCTCCGCACAAGACCAAATCAACATACCCTGCTCGCAAACAGTGTTAGCCCCCAATGATTTCCATTCACCTTCCTCGGAATTCAAGATGGGCACGCAGTCAGTGAAATCGCCGACAGCCGTGACTGGCCGGCGTTGCGCTCAACCTTGGCACTGGCCAATTGCAGTGCGGCGCCGGCCAATCGTGGTGGTCGGTGATCTCGCTTAATTTCTCGCCGAGTGTCTAACTAAGAGCTTCTGGTTTCCAGTGGACTTTTGAAAAGGTATCTTTGGTTTCTGCAGAAAACTGGTACGAGTTTGCAGGAGACCGGTGCGAGCCTACCTCCGTCCAATGAACGTCTGCCGAGTCTCGATGGCCTCGTGTCCGAGGGCATACTCACGCTGCCCGTGCCGCCGGCTTCGACCTCACTGTCAGAGACGGTCGAGCGGAACGAAGCATTGCTTCCGCCCCGCGTCTGGCGGAAGAAGGCCGGATTCATGGTCACGCTGCCCGTATCGCTGACGCTGCCGCTGGGCACTGCCAAGTCCGAGCCCTGACTCATGCCGGCTTCCGACACCTACGGCAAGCCCCGGCCACCCCGGCCCCACCTTGTAGCAGCTGCAGCAGCCACTAGCACTAGGTCACGCAATGGTCAAGAGAAACACACCCTTGCTCCGGAGTTTTACGTGTAGGAAGAGACTGGACTATAGGATGCGCGAGGCTCCAGAAGAGAGGGTTAATCCCCAAACAGTGGTACTAGTGTGAAGCCACTGATGCAGAGTGGTCCAAGGAAAACAAACCTCACTCCAGAGTCGTATATAGGGAGAGACCGGACAATATCCAGCAGAGCAGGTTATTCCAACAGCGGTGGTAGTAGTGGGAAGGAATTTTTAGCCTTATTTACTGTAATATCCCGAGATGCTCTGCCCCCGAAAGAAAACCCGCCCTCCATTTTTGGCACGATTTGCTAGTCTTTCAAAAACACCAAAAGATAGCCCACCTCTAGTAATTGCAAGGCTCTAGCACATGGTGACCACTGCAGAATTGGTGTTACTCAGCCACAGCGGAAGATAAGTGAACATTGCAAACTGGGAAGGACAATTTTTTATGCTCCATTGCCCCTCAATGTGAAAACAAGCTTGGCAGGTCACAGAATATAAAAATAGCATTCTTAAAAATTTTTTAAACGAAAGTTTGCCCACTTCTAATTTTCACCCAATTTGCTCTCGCTTTTAGGTGGGCTATCTCTCAGGATATTATGGCAGATGCTTGCTCTCACAATTGAAGCGATGAGATATGACGTGAAAAGGCTGACGAAGAGTTTATTTCCGCTTGGCTGGCAGCAGAGTTGCAACGGCTGAGGACGATTATAGCCTTTTGGATTTCTTAGGTTGTGGCCAGAATGCCTGTCGTATTATAAACAGGTTTTAAAAATTTAATATGTAGCTATGGTTGTCTTTTATTGCAAAAAGTTACCACCTCGATTTCTTTGGGTAATACTGAATATGACTTTGATAAGCCCACTTTGCTGGTCAAGGATCAATGTGACATTTGTGTGATGGAAATTCCCATCCTGAGTATGGCCATCACACATCCTTGCTGGCATCCTGGCAATTACAACAAATGTTCAACAGCATACTTGTACATCCGGCTCTGCCTCATCATAGCCTTGGTGATACTGATGTCAGTAAGCAGTGTCAGTTAATATGGCCATCTCATCCGAAATCAGCTTAGTCGTTCATTCTAAAAATCGGCTACTCTCCCTTTCCTGAAAGCAGTGTCTCTCCACACAACATGCCTGTGCTGCAGGAAAAGAGCTGAGAACACCGCTGAAACGATTACGTACTTCAGATGTGATAACTCTCGACTGACAAAATGTTGTACGAAGTTGGGATTGACGCTACATACATTATGAGAGTCCGGCCATTGCACAAGCATACAGCATAACAAAACGGCACACACCAAGATAGAAGACCTGTTCATTTGAAGTTTTTGCGTTTTATGCCCTCTGCTTTTTAATCCCATCCTATCCTTGTGTCAGTTGCTATGCCATAGTAATTGTTCAAAATTATTCTTTACTTATTTATTATGAAATTCCCTGTACTTAGTGTAAGATAACAGATATTTCAATCTGATATTGTTTTTTGGGGCAACCCTTCGCTAGTACTTTGCTTATTCTTTGCTGTTCCACTTATTCACACCCACCATTTTCCTGGTACTTCACCTGCCTGCTACATACCAATTTTGCAACTAACTTAACACTTCACAATATAACCATGTCCTTACTAGTGTTACAACAGGGCTGTTTTATAGTGCCCTTTATATCTTGACCGAGCTAAAAGCAAACTTTCACTCGGTATAAAGTGTTCTTAAAGGATGTAATGTGTTACACTTAACAGTTGAACAAACTGACTATGTATATACTTGGTACATTTCTTGACAACGCTTGGAGCTAAATAACTGTACATCCCAAGTAAGCTGCAAGTAGAAATTGTGCCCATTTTCATTGTACTGTATATGTATGCACAATGACCATACTATGACATGTCCCACTTAAGCTTCCAAGGGAAACATTTATGCAGATGCTCATGAAACAAGCAAGCACTTTTACACAGGCAAAGGGAGTGCATCACTCCTGCTTTGCAGGGTATTTTGGTAAGGTGACAGTGAACTCTTTCCAGTCGCTGAATAACCATCTTGCGCAACTTACGCAAAGCCCTAAACAGGCATAGAAGTCCATAGCTCAATGAGTATGTACACATCTGAAGCATACTTGAGCTGAAAGCTCAGGAGGATCTCACCTTAAATTACTTAATGTCTGGAAAGGTTTCAATGACACAGTGTGATGTATACAGCAGCAAGAGAGAGAAAAAATACATTTTGCAAATCTGTAGCTCGAATGCAGGGGCAGGAAACACACTTTGCTCACAAATGTGACAGGCTAAGATGTTTCGAGATTGATGCAAACAAAAACTTTAGAAGCCAAAAATTTTGTTTTGCCAATGCAATGCCATTGAGGAAACTATTTACTCCAAACTTCTGAGCTGGGCAGCACTGACTTGTAAAACTTTGGTGAGTAGCGCCTATCATAAAATACCACGGAAGTGACCACTTTGTTCAAGCGCCCACTATTAACATTTTCCCAACTTGGGGATTCTGCAAATTACGCGTTAAGCGCCCAAACTGACTGGACAAGCTCCCATGGCTAGATTAATTTAGTTTTCAGTAAAAGTGGGGTGGGTGCTTTTCCGGTATTTCACTGTAGGTTACCCCTTTCCTCATGCAGCTAATAATTTCTAAGATTTATTTTTCAATTTCTGTAACTATCTAAACTTTATCCTAAATTGATAAAATAACCTTTATCTTCTTACTTCAATAAAATGACTCTTGAATTTTGGTGCCATAGCAATTTTCCAGCAACAGACAATTCTCTAAAAATGTGACATGACCTTGCATTCTGCCACCGATTCAAGAAACTTTATACATGCCTCACACTGCCATGGTCATAGAGTAACGAACAACAGGAGAAAAGTGTGCCATATGTCTTATCTCACAAACATGAGGGATCGCAAAGAAAGGGTGCCCCAATTTTTTGCCCCTTATCAAGCTGTTTTAAATAAAAACTGAACGGTCGCCAGGTGCGACCTGCTGTACTTCAACGTTTACTTTGGTTAACCATTCTCAACACCTATTGAAAGGTTGTAGCCTATGCAGTGCTGCACAGAAGTAATAAGTACTTCTACTCTCGTAAATGAGGTGCTTTTTCCAACACTCCACAGAGTGGCCAAAATCGAGGAGATAATTGAATGGTGAAAAAGGCAGTGCAACACTCATGCACGCTCCCCTGAAAGAACACGAAAAGGTGATTGAAGCCAGAATTATAGGAAAATATACAGGGTGTCAGACAGGAAATGACCCTGGTTCAGACAGCCAGAGCAGGTTTGTTTCTTGAGGTATCATGCCACAGTTTAGCAGACACATATATATATATATATATACATCGCTGGACAGCGAAGTGTTTTGTCAACATATCACGACAGAAATCGACCTGAACAGAAACTATAGTTGGCAACAACTTAAGAATGCAGAAGTTCCACTTCCCGTATGCGCTCATTGCCATCCGTCGTGCCTTGACTGCACGGGCTCACAAGACGCCAAAGTATTAACGAAGGTAGAAAGCTATTGCTAGAGCATTCATAACATGTCGCCGGTGGAAGGAAAAAAATGTGGTTTTGTTATTCAATGCCAATATTGTAAGCCTATGTGTACCTCGTTGGCAGAATGACAATTGGAGTGTTACAATAAACGTAAGCGTTAAGTAAGCATTAAGTCAATGTATTTCATTGGTCCTGGCAGTCCCAGGCAGAGGTGTAAATCAATGAAATTAACCTGAATCATATAAGGAAATTCCAGTCCCTCATGCTCGAACAACAACAGTCTCACAGGGGCATCTGCAAACATTGCAAACTTTCAAATACCAATTTGAATATCAATGTATAGTCGATTATAGGTTGAATAGTAGGATTACTAAGTAATTTTATCGTTTTGCATTCTTTTCTATCGTTTTTGACATTTCTCAGACAATTTCAGCTTTACAGATAATTGCAAAGAATTTTCATAAGTTTGCTCACTTTTCTTTTGAGATAATGTTTAAAAACCAAGTGGTATTTACAGATTTTAAACACATAGTTATCATGCAAACTAAGCACCATTGAAGTGCATGGGAGTGCCAATCGCACTGTGACCTTCTTGTCCGCGCATCGTCGTCGAGCCGGAAAGTGTAACGGCCCGCTGCCATCGCCCCAAATAATTTCGTTAAAAATCTCGATTTGAGTTTAATTGAGCTGGATTGGTATTTTTATTGGTTCTACTTTTAGTAGAAGTTACTTGATTTGATGTTATTACTGAATTTAAATTAAAAAACCATAAGGGTGGTAAAACTCATCATGCTGGTTAGATGCAGACCATGAGCAAACTGCCATGGGAAAACCAGACCACACCCTCCATCGTCAGTGCGCTCACATTCACATTTATATAAAAAGTTTGTCTTTTTGAACCACGCTTCGAGTTATAAAGGTACTATGACACCTCAAGAAATCAACCCGCAAAATGAGCCTAACATTCCATCAATTAAATCCCAATGCTGCAGCTCGTACATGTGCATGAAGTCTTGACCAGACAAATAATGAAGCATGCTTAAAGTTGCCAGGCACACATAATTCACCAGACAATTGATGTTACGAGTACACTTTAGAAGGTTGAAAACATGCAAATGATGTGCACAAGTGTCTTATTTGCAAATCTTGAACTCATTAACCAGGAATGCCATGCCGCAACGCACATAGTGTACGGTGCACAACAAAGTCAGCTCGCACATGGCATTGGTGCTTTTGGCACTTTGCTCAGTTAGGTTAATATTTAGTACAAGATTTCTGGAGCCCAAAATGTCACCCCTAGGTGGATGACGGACACGAGCTACCTGCGATGATACTCTTAGCACAAATGAAAAAACTAGTCGAACCCGGATATATCGAATTCAAAGGGGATCGTAAAATAGTTTGATATATCAATCATTTGATATACAAAAATATGTTAAATTAAGCTCAAGTTGAAATTTCCTGGCGTCTCTGCTAATACCGAAGGTCGTGACAAATGGGGCTTACCAAATAGATCCAAGAACCGTTAAATACAGTAGAGCATAGTTAGCAGAAACCGGAAACACCGCTGCGCTTACACCCGTTCCTGGCTGGGACCTCCACACAGCATAAGCGACAAAACACGAATAATAAAAAAAGAAAAACGGAGAAGCGAGAAACATAAAAACAAATCTTTATCCATAGAAAAAAGTTAAGCAAGCAACAAAAAGAAAGCTCACTACATTCAGGCAGTAAAAAATGTAAAGCAAAAAAAAAACAGGCAAAGCTATAACAGCAAAAGAACAAGGTAAACAAAAATAAAGCATTCAAAGTGCATTGACAACCGTTATTGTCAACACACTCAACTTGCCGAAGACTTTCTTTTTTTCTTTTTTTTTTGCTTTTTTTATTTTGGGGTTAGGGAGTCACGCAGCATCAGCAGCGTTCAGGGAAAAGACGCAGGCTCCCGTTCCAACAGCGAGCACTCCCTGCACTTCCTATGCGTGCGCGTGTGCCCTGCCCTTTGCTTTTGCCATCCTCCACTTTTTTTTTTTTAATGGTTTATTTTATTTTTCCCCCACAACTGCTCTTTCCCTGCGTATTTTTTTACGTGAATGCTGGCTTGGCCGTCTGCCAGCCACGCAACGCCAGCGGTGTGCTCGTCACCCGCTGCCGGTGCAATTCGATGGCGAGAAAATCAACAGGCGGCCGGGCCCAGGCTCCGTTCGCTATATCAAGTGTCCCTGCCATGGAGTTGGATACAAAAAAGAGGTCGCATCTCCACGTGGTGAATGATGTTGATTGAGGCGAAGCTCTGGTGGTGCTGATGATACTGATTTTATTGTTCATAGGTAGTGCTGATGGTGCTGTTTTTTTGCTTTTTTATTGCTCATAGGTAGCGTTCAGTTGTGGGTTGCGTTTCGACTTCACTATTACTGCTTTATGGTCGGTGAAATGCAGAGCCATTGGTTTTTCTAGCGGATCAGCTTGGATCCGCTAGAAGCCGTGGAAATGCATCTCCATCGCTTAAGTCAAAGGTCCATGTCAGAAACAGAATGTGTGGTATGGATTGTGGTTATATATGCATTTGAGCATTTGACCACAGCGCCCTCTCGTCTATAAACGTTGAGCCAATGCACGCAAAGTTTAACGCAATTATACACGCATCTCACCGCAGCGCCCTCTCCAGTATAGACGTTGAGCGGCTACGTGCAACATTGGAGTGTAGCATAGTAGTTAAGACGTCTGCCTCGTAAGCAAGCGGTCCCGAGTTCAAACCCCCGTGCGGGCGTACATTTTTTTTTTTTTAAAGTAGGCCGATCCCGGAGGCAGTGCAATCGATGTGAGCACGGACGCCGGACGGATGAACAAAGCTAGACCCTAAGGAGTCATAATGGAACAGCGCGAATTTTTGCAAGGACAGAAGAAGGAACTGGACAGGACGAGCTCTTCGTGGTTTCCTGAGAATAAACCTTTCAGTTGTTAGTCAGCGCTCGTCCTGTCCAGTTCCTTCTTCTGTCCTTGCAAAAATTCGCGCTGTTCCATTATGAATCCATACCAACTCGCCCAGTTATCCTGTTTACTAACCCTAAGGAGCTTCGTCCCTAAAAGACAACGCTCCTATACTATTACATGTGATCTTCAAGGGTATGTTTCGACTGTTTGATATTAAGAATAATTCGAAATATCCGAGTGTGATATAACTGGGTTCGACTGTAGACGAATTGCCAAGTGATTGCCCAGGCTGACTGTGAAGCGCTCTGTACATTTAGCACTCCGTTCAACGGATTGTGTACAAAGAGTGGAAGCTAAACAGTCTCATGACATCTGTATCAGGTGAGTCAGACATTACAAAATCAGTCATTGGATGTAAACAGAGAGAAAGCAAAATTATGTTGTTAATTAAGAGTTTGACAACCTCAGAACAGAACACTTGAAAAAAATAAGCCAAGATTAAACCTGTCTCGCTGACTAGAGCTAACTGATCTGTCATAGCAAACCTATAAACGGAGCATATTAAATAACACCAACCGCGCAGCTGAGAAGGTAGGCATGAATCTCCTCCGTAACTTCTAGAAGTTGGCGTGAATGGCATACCTCTGAGTCGATGCTCGTGATCTTAGAGAGCACGAGCTTCTTCGCGTTCATGAGTCCCCGAAACATGTCGGAGGCCTCGTCGTGATGGTCGATACTGTCGGCCGAAGGGATCACGTTCATCTGGGGTGGCGTGTGCTGAGACACGTCGGAAAGGCCTGCAAACATCCCGTCTTTGTGTTAAAACGCGGTGGCAATTTAACGCTGCTTGAAAACGCTCCGAAACTTTGAAACAAACACTAAGAAACACGCAAAAGACACGACAGGCACCGTTCCCTAACAACAGCCATGCCTCTCTAACGCAACAGCACCGGCAGTGTCTCGTCAATCGATCAATCGTTTCTTTTATTTCTCCAAGGCGAGAAAGAGATCTCTTTGGAAGGTCCAGAGGTAGAAAAGGCAAAACAAAGTCGCAATGACAAAGCACCAAAAGTGTTTTTCTTTTTTTCTTTTTCTCTTAGTCTTCATTTCTTAGTACTGTTAGAGGGTTTCCATTATGTTTCATATGACATACCAGTTACCGTTCCTTCATACCCAACAAGGAATCAAATTTCCCTCGTTAACCATGTGAGTTACCTTCACTGTCTCGAGGGACAGCATTATCAGGCATGTTTTTAACAGCTACAGGTGAAGGATAATTTGACTGCTGCATTTCCATTTATGCCCTATTAGTAACCTCTTTACGATATGTTACTCAGCACAAGCTTCAATAAAGTGACAGCAGCAGTGTTGGTCCAACTTTAAAACTATAGGGCCCTAAAGGGAGACTGAAAATCGTCAATGTAGCCAATGCGGAATAGTTTGAGCATACTGCAAACACTCTGACTACTTCGGTCTAGAAGGATAAAGAACACAAATGAGGAAAGCAAACAATCATTCCCTTGCGAAAGAGACTAAGTTTGTCTGTGTGCTCCATGCTTTTCAGAGCGCAGCTCTTAGGGGCCCGCTTCCAGCTTGAGCGGCGTCGGCGTCGCTGTAATCACGAGGTCGTGGTTACAGCGACCTTGCGCTCAGGTGATGTGGTGACCCCCCCCCCGACGTCAGACGACCCCCCCTGAGGTCACGTGACCTCAAGGAGTCACCTATCCCTCAGTACCCTTCCATCCTCTACCACAAGAGCTGCGCCCTAATCCCGCGTTACAGGGAATTGTAAAAGGCTTTCATTTTATTGTTTAGAACTAAAGTAGACATAAATAAACCTACCTCAAAAATACAAAGTCACCGTGCGGGTTAAAAACAATGCAAACCAAAGCCGCAGAACAAGGAACACAAGAAGGGAAGTGTTCACTAGCACCACTCACTGAAGCGGTGTTCCAGCAGGGAGCCTCGGTCAAACGATCCCCTTTCTTCTCTGTGGGGAGAGTTATCCATGGGGCTGCTAGCTCTATAAAGATCTGAAGAGAAAAATAAGATTTGTGTGCTTTTCAGATTTAATATAAAAAGAAAAAGAAACACTACAGCTAAACCACAAAAAATATGACTTAGAAATAACTGAAAACACAGTGAAGGAGGAATAGAACAAAGACGGTGCTAAAACACGGTTCTTGGTTAGGGACATTACACAGAGAGCTCGCCAGCACGAAAATTAAAGCCCAAAATAATCAGTCATCCCAAACTTTCTCCAACTCACTTTCCGACAAACAGTCTGGTAGTATGTCAAGTGGAGTATAATAGGTGATGCCGTAGCTTTTACATAAACAACTGTACCGTTACTGTCACACACACGGTAACAAAATTATGTGACTTTACTTTTATCCCTTTCTCAAGTCTCAAATGTCTAAACATGCAAATCATGCGATTTTGTTGCACTGCTGTTCACCTGCAGGATGCGCCGCAACATCCGCCGCCCTCGCAGGATCCGTGGGATACCTGTTCAAATGTTCTCCGCTGCCGTACGGAGAGATATCCTGCATGTTCAGAGAGATCATGGCACTCACTCACCGAAGGAACCTCAGGTTCGCTGCAACAAGTCAGGAGCATTTATGTGCACATGTAATTTGAAGGGTCCCACCTGGCTCCTGTTGTATTTGGCATCTTGAGCACAGAGGGAGTTTTTGCGCGACGCCGACAGCTCCGGTTCTGTGCTCTGGGGTCTGCTCCTGCTGCCGACACTATTGGCATCCTGGCAGACACAGAATAAAGAACCTCAAGTTTTCGCTAAAAAAATTATAATTAAGTGGTCAAAAAGCTCAAAACTTTCCCAAGGGGGCGTTGACACAACAGCCACCGTATTACTCGCATAATGAATGCACTCACATAATGAACACACCCCCCCCAACGGCCGTCAATATTTGGACTTCATATTTTTTTCTCGCGTAATGAACACAGATTCCTCACTACATCGCCGGCTTGACACGTACCTTAGAAAGCAAACTGCGATAAGGCATTGAGGGTGTGACAAGGGTTAATTGGGTCACGTAGTAAAGACTCTAAGTTGGACAGAACATTTCTGAAAAGATGTTTGTTTCACCAGTTTCAAGGTGCGGTTAGAAATTTTGCCCCTCCCGCCGCCTTCGTCCCCAAAACTGAAATGGCCCCTCATACATTTCGTAGAGGTATGGTCTACACATACCAAAAAATACCAAGCGAGCGCCCAACCAAAATTGAGATATACTGTAATATCCCGAGAGATGCCCCCACCCCCGAAAGATAGCCCACCCTTATTTTTGGCATGATTTGCTATTTTTTCTGAAACACCGAAAGATAGCTTACTTCTAGTAATTGCAGGGCCCTTGGCCTCGGCTAAACCAGTTACTTACCCAGGCGAAAATTTCTAACTGGGACCAGTTGGCACCTCAACTGGTTTCAACTGGGACTAACTGGTCCCAACTGGAAAGCAACTGGGACTAACTGGTCCCAACTGGGAATCAACTGGGACCAATAGGAGTCCAACTGGGGCCAGCTGATGGGTCAACTGGTTTGAACCATTTCCAGTTGGGAGTCAACTGGTTTGAACCATTCCCAGTTGGGAGTCAACTGGTTTGACTCCCAGTTGGGAATGGAGTGCACTGGAACCAGTTAGGAAAGTAACTGGTTGGAGCGATTCCCAGTCGGACTTCAAATGCCTTTCCCGTTCCCAGTTCACACTGGGCAACAATTTGGACAAGTTGGGGGTGTATTGACCTTTGCTAATGAAGAAAACTAAAAACACTAACATTTTTAGATTTATACAAATAGGGAATTTTTATTTACTGGGGTACATTTATATATTTATAAAAATAATATAAAAATTTTAATTAACTAAATAATTTTTTAATTGTAAAATATAATTAGTGACAAAATGTGTTCACCTAAATGAACATTTAGTGCATTATTAAAATATATTAAAACATTTATTTCAATACCTACAGTATTTTTTTTTCTTTTATTAAATAAATTTATCTTTTGACTAACCAGAGCTAGCCGGCCGCCGCGGCACGCAGGTGCGGATTAGTGGTACGCGCTGTCGACAGATGGCGCTGCCTATGCTGACGCCGGAGTCGGACGGACGCGGTAGAGAAGGGTCGCCATCGCCCAAGTTGGCGTCGTTATGAAAATGTCAAAACTACAGCTGCGCTTCTTTGGACCTAACTGTACACACACCATGGTGGCGACGGTGAACTTCGAGGATGGAAAGATGCAGTTGAGCGATCGGAGGGCACCCAGGAAAGACCGGACGGAAGAGAACACGCCGCGGAGAGCACAATGGCGAAGATGGCGGGAGGTCTACCTCGAAAATGTTCCGACAGTTGTGACAGAGATTGCAAGGTGGGGGCGCTACCGCATCTTATCAGGACTTCACCTGCGCAACGCAGGATCACGGGTGAGCACCTTTTTTCACGCGATGGGAAGAGAAGCTGAGGACGTCTTCACTAACAGACGCCAGCGGCCGATCTTCCTTCATCTCATCAATACCACCTCTGAAAAAGCGATTCAACCGTCGCAAGCAAGTGGCTAAACCCGGAGCGTGTACGTCACCGAACCTATTTAGTTTCATTCTCCAAGTTTTTGACAATAAAGTCTTGTCACCCTTCCATTTTGTGCCGTGTTTCATTGTTGCTGGAGTTGATACGAACTCCAACTGGGACCAGTTGTAACTGGGACCAATTCCAGCTGGGACCAACTCCAACTGGGACCAGTTGCAACTGGGAATTGTTCCATAAACCAGTTGCAACTGGGACCAACTGGTCCCAGTTGAAAATTTTCGCCTGGGTAACTGGCGACCTCGGCAAAACTGGTTGCTTAACCATGGCGGGAGATAAGCAAACATTACTGACTGAGAAGGGCGGTCGTCTGGTTCATCGCCTCTTCCTGCGATCATAAGTCTCGAGGGTCTCAAAATCTAAAACTAGCATTTTTTCAACTTTTCTTATGGCACACCAAAAGTTAGCCTACCCGTTATTTTCATCCAATCTGCTATCGAATGTAGGCAGGCTATATCTCAGGATGTTACGGTAATCTCGAAGAACCGGGGAACGGGTGCTCGTTGGGCTTCGTACAAATTCATACAAAGGTGGCTTTCCTCTCTTTCCCACTTGTGGCTTTGACGGCACTGCATGGAACTAGTGAGGTATAGTAGAGTCGCGGGCCTTTCTCCGATGCACCGACTGACTTGCTGGGACCACAGCCCTTGTCGTCTGCCAAGTTCTGCTGGACACGAGACGTGTCCTCAGTTCTCAAACGTTCTAAAAGCGGCGGGTGGGCACTTATTGCGACCCGGCCACACGCTAGGTACCATACGGTAGACTCAAACAGAACTCGACGAAGGCGACGACTCACTTGGGGAAGGCCGGGGTTGATGCGCAGCCCCTGTTCGGAGGCAACGTCCTTGCTCCAGAAGTGTGTATGGGCGATCTCGCACACCTGCAAGGCGCTTGCCATCCCCCCAAGGCCGTAGTTGGTGTAGCTCTGCTCCAGTCCCGAGATCACCATCTGGAGCATCTTCAGGGTGCCCTTGTACACCGGCTTTGAGATCATCTGGGGCCGGGGAGGGAAGGGAAAGAAGAGAGAAGGCACCATGACCGACCTTTCTTGGCGACTTTCAAAATCGTACCAGTCGCCGCTGAAGTGCGGAAACAATGCGAGAAGGAATGCAGACACCAGTTCTCCAGAGATAAAAATAAAAGGAAAAATGAGGAGAATACAGTCACACCTGTTTATACCACTCTTTCGGATGCGCAGATGAGTTTGATAAATAAAAGGGTTTGTTATGCCAGAACTTGATATAGAGAATTTGAATGCCGGGAGTTTGAAATACAACGTATTGACATTAAATGTGCAGTAAACACTCAAGTGTAGGTAATTCGATGGATCGCGAAAAGAAAGTTTATTTCGAGAAAACGTAACTGACGATGCGCTAGGCGGGTTAATAGACAAGACAGGGAGCAATTCCAGTTCAGCTGTTTCTTCAGCTGGGATGTTTGCTAGATCGGAGCATCTGGCTAGACTCGCACGAAGGACTAGATAGAAAATCGCTTACCCTTTTCCCTCAGAAGCTGCGCGAGGCGCGCCGATTAAGAGAAAGCCACGAGCGCCCGTGTTTTAGATTTAGATTTCAGACTTGCGCCCAATCTCCGCAAGAGGCATCTGCCATTAAATTGCAAGCGCTCCCCATGGTTTGAAATGGGCCATCTCACCAATCTAGGCTCTCTAGGTTACGCCAGTGATTGCAGCGACCTCGTAGTGGCTGCACCAAAAAAGTTGCTATCTATACTCAGCCGCTCAGCATGCCCCTGGAAATTCATGAAATCATGGCGACTTCCAACTTTTTTTTCGCCATGCTCTTCGCAATTGACTATTTCGACTATGTCCAAGAACGGGATTCGTAAAGCGGAACCAAAAAAATACCGCATCTCCACGTGGTGAATGATGTTGATTGGGGCGAAGCTTGGGTGGTGCTGATGATACTGATTTTGGACATAGGTAGTGCTGATGGTGCCGTTTTCATTCATGTCAGTAGAAGAATGTGTGGTTTTCTTCTTTGTCTTTTTGTAAGAAAACAGATGGGATGGCAACTCAGAACCCCCTACTCTTTTTTTTCTTCTTTTTCTTGATACTGATTTTGGTCATAGGTAGTGCTGATGGTGCCGTTTTCATTCATGTCAGTAGAAGAATGTGTGGTTTTCTTTTTTTTCTTTTTTTAAGAAGACAAATAAGATGGCATCTCAGAGCCCACTATTTTTTATTTTTTTTCATCTCTTTTTAAAAAAATTTTTTTTTGCTCTTGCTGCTGAACTCACGAGCAGGGGCACGCAGGACGGCGGACGGACATACGGAAATGGCTAGCCCCTAAGGAGTTTCGCCCCTAAAAGAAAAGAACAAAGCACACACTAAGCGGAAGCGAAAAAGCAAAGAAGCAAATGACGCGCACACTCACGCGCCAGTTCGCGAAGGAGGTTTGCTTGGTGGTGTATGATGAGGAGGAAAATTCACACTTTGCTAGTCACATGATTTCGGAGCAACCACAAAATCTATCGCGTGCTGCGAGCGCCAAAGTGCAGAACAGAAGCGTGCACGGGCCACATGGGGACGCTGTGGAGGAACGCTTGCGATGGCTCGCTGCGTGCCTCGACCTTGCCTTTGAAGTGCCGAGTTGTTCTCTTTTGTTTTCAACTTGCGCTTCACGATTCATTTTTTTTTCTTTTGGAACAGGACAGGCGTTTGCATGTTTCTTGCGGCCGTTTTCTGTTTCAGAGTTCAATATAGCCAACGGGATGTTCGTTATAAAAGTACATTTTACCTGCATTTTCGTCCGAAATATGTGGGCGTTATACATGGACAGTAATACGCTATATCCGGGTTCGTTTTACACGAGCGCGACTGTAGCCGCTTTATGGTAGCACTCTAAGCCGACTCTCCCAATTACACCTGCATTAAAAGAACTTTGAGCCTTTCCATGCTAGTGAAGAAGGAAAACCAGCAAAGCTGTGTTATGGTGGGAATAAAGTAATGGCCGTCCGCAAGTTGGCAAGCCAGAGTGGAAAGGTTAAAAAGGTTGCCATGATCTATGAGCGACGGCGGCAAGCAGACAACCGGCAAACACAACACTCTGGACAGCTACCGCCATCTATGAGCGGCGGCGGCGATCAGAGTGTTGTGTCAACATGTTTTTGGTACTGGACACAATTCTAAGGAACCTAGCCCTTAACAGTTCCGCCGTAAAAAAAATAATATACGTATATATATAAACTCGTTAACACAGAAACGGATGTGGTGTACGAAATTTGTGCCTCGGCGAAGAACAATACGGTGACTTCAGAGTCCCCCTCCATTCAATGATCAGTGTGGCACAGTCCACGCCGCTTGCGAAGGGCAACTCACCACGTCCTTGATGAGACCGTCAGGCCCCACCCTTCGCTCGAGCGTCCGGTTGAGCTGGGAAACGACCAGGTTGCGGTAGCTCTCGTCTTCCATGAGCCTCCTGATGCGGCTCTGCTTGAACCACTTGACCCCCTCCCCATCCCGAATGGCATTCAGCACCTCCTTCAGGAACTGCTGGTTGTCACTGCACGCAGGGCGACACAATTCACAGATCACAGAAAATCCCAAATAGTACAATGGGTACGGCTCAACGAATTAGAAAGCATCGGTAATGCTGCAATTATAGAAGGAAAGCAAGGAAAAGGACGGAGACAACTCTGATGTTTGGTCCAGTCTTTATCCTTTTTGTTGCATTCCTTCTACACTTCTTACCATAAAGTAGACTGATTACTCAAACTCCATGAAGCCTTGAATTTTGTTTGAATTATCAGAAGTTAGAATTATCAGGAAATTCATCAAAATATAGACATGGTATCCCTGGAGCAAGGGGACAAAAAGGGATGGACAGACACGAAACTCCAAAAATTGTAGGTTTCGTGCCTGTCTGTCCCTTTTTGTCCCCTTGCTCCAGGGTTACCACGCCTATCCTTACCCAGCTTGCCTGTTTACTTGCTTTAACATCTACGGTAAATATGATGCAAGATAAAATTACGATTTGTTCTATGAATGGTTACACATACAATGCAGACATTTGATGATTTCCTCTATATAGAGGCCTTTCGATCTGGATGAGCATCGTACCGGTGTGTAGTCGTGTATCACTACTGCGTGGTGCACATTAAAGACGCCGGACTAGCGGTTGGACTGTACTAGCTAAATTTCTCATCTACAGGTGATACTCCATACGCCCATTGAGTCTGACTAACTTCCGGTTGTATAAACATACACACATTATATATTACTAATCATAAGTAGGCATGCCACAGATGAAATATTGGTGAAATGTCTGAGGTAACTATATACCTCCCTCAAAAATTTTGTACCATCGTAAACTGTATCGACAGCAGATGACACCTTAGAACAGAATTAAGTTTGCTCATCCAGAAAAAATGTGTTTTGTGCACTATTAGCCCCGTTAAGCGCGCTTCCTACCGAGCACTGATGCACTGCAGAGAAGCAACACCCGCAGATACAAGCTCTGTGGGTGTTGCTTGTTCCACAGTGCACCGGTGCTCAGTAAGGAGCGCACTCAACGTGGCCACGAGAACAAAAAGTATAGATTACGCAAAAACCCTATTCAATTAAGAGGCTTAATGCATTAAACACACAGCGGGGCAACCAAATTTTTGAAATTTGTTTGAATTAACCAGAAGTATGAAATATCCAAGTTTGAATTATTATGAGCCTACTGTAGGCATACAATGCCCACCAAACTCGTATGGAGCATGCAAACCATGCATTTTCTCGTGGCAGAGCTCTCCTGGAAGAAGCTGAACGACGGCTTCTCGACATACAGTTGCCGACCGTTTTTTCTGACTCCGATAATTCGGACTTGTTCGATATTTCGGACCTAAAGGAGGAACCGTGACTTACCCCATAGAAATTGTGAATATTCACGACTAATGTTTGAGACAGCTTGAAGTCCGAGAGTTTGATTATTCGAATAAAATTGTCGCGAGCGATCAGTGGGAAACACCACTGAGAAGCGGCCATTTTGAATTCTAGGTTGGCTGCAAATGGGTTGGCATGGTTTGGCAGCGCTACTTGAGTACTCCAGAGTCCTACCGCTAGGTGACGCTATGCTAGCCCTTTTCTTTCCATTTAGCTGCATGCCATCATCATCATCATAATTATCATTTTGCTTTGTTTCCTTCCATCCCTTCACGCCTCCTTGCCTTTGCCCAACGTTGCCTCCCCCTCACTTTCGCATCGCCAGTCGCCATTTTGTGCTCGTGGATTTGCGCCTCTCATCTGGTTCGGAAACCGCTGGCTTGGACGTCATGGCCCCATCTGTTCTTCCGCCGTCGCAATATGTCGTTAAGAAGTGCAGAAAGTATGCGACCATTTATGTATCTGTGTACAGGACAGTGCACTGCTGCTTAGGCCACTTGGCTGTTTGCAGGCACGCAAATAAACCCCATCTATCTATCTTTAACGCTAGAAATTAGTAGGCAGCGATTCTCAAGCTAACAGAAAGTTGCCGAACGCAAACGGAGGCGTAACCTAAAACAAGGCACGCAGGCGTTACCTGAAGCAAGGCACTATGTACGGCTTTTTTAAGCCCACTTGGAAGTAATAAAGGCAAGTTTTTCAATCTGCTGATTTTTCGGACTGTTCTATTATTCAGACGTTTTTTCGGTCCCTGCAAAGTCCGAATAATCAGTCGGCGACTGTACCACTTTGGGATGGTTTGTTTAAAGGGACACTGACAGGGTATTTATGCTCGCCGAGGTTGTTAGTTGTACGTGACATATGAGGGCTCAACTACCCAGAACAGAATTTGCGGCTCAAAATTCGGTTTCTTTCCGCCCGAAAACCGCCGATCAAGAACTGGCCGGTTCGAGTCTCGCTCACTCTCTTTTCCGCGGTCACGGGCCATTTTCTAAGGTATCGATGCGACCACCAAATTTAATCAAAGTCGTGGGTCACTGAAGGCACACACTCAATATTAAAAATAGAAAAAAATATGAAACCCATTTTTTGTGGCTTCTAAAAAGCTGCAAATACGTTGATTGAAAAAAAAAGTTCCACAGACAACCGGAAGCATTCTGTGCGTTCGTCGTTTCGCGTATCGTGGGACTCGCGGGGACGGCGATGGCAGCGGACGACGGGCGTGGGACCTCTATTTCAGAACTGTCGTTCGCGGTACCGGCGAATTCTGTCTACCGTTAAAAGAGAAATTTGGGACTGATCAAAAGAATTGGTATTCATCCCGTACGACACGCCCGGCCACCAAGCCGATTTGCACGAAGACGTCGCCGAGCCGTCGCTCCCTTCTCGTGGCTGAAGACAACGCTCGCGCAAACGTCAAGCACGACGTGTCTACTTCGAGTTGAATATGCACGCGTACGATTTCTTTACTAGGTGCGAATGTCCCCAAAGCGTGGTGCTTCCCGACTTCGACCCGGGAGTGCTTTTGCTAAAGAAAAATCGACAGCAAACTTTCAAACTTACAGTTTACCGGCTGAATTATTACTAAGGAAAGAGATCCACCAGAAACGAGATGCCCCAGTAGCTCAGTGGGAAAGACGTCCGCTTCACACACCGAAGGTCCGGGTTCGATCCCCCGTGATTTTTTTTATTTTTTTTATTTGCAAACAATTTCTGATGTTTACATATCTTTTTCTTTTTTTTACAATCATCACTGAAGAAACAAACAAAAAAAAATAACAAACAAATGTTGTGGACGATACTTCGCTGAATTAAACGGTATGGGATTTCCGTTTTGACACCTGCGAACTCAATGTAATCACTTTCCACAAAGTGCAAGGAGCATATAAATCAGGTAGCGTCCGCTTTCCGAGGTGCCCGTAAATGTTCTACAGGAATTGCAGCCAGCCATTGGTCCCGATCCCGTTGATCTTTCGACAATGCCACTTTTTTTCGGAGGACATGTGAGCCAGCTCTTCACGCAACATCTTGGGTTTATTCTTTTCGGAGCCGATCATGGAAATTCACCACGGGCACTCACTACTCATCTCTAACTCCTCAATGTACAAAACAACTCATCTTGGAGTACATAACAACGAGCGGAACAAACATAACTGCAAAAGAATGGCACGGCAAGCAGTTCCCGCACGCCGCATGTCGTGTCGTCTGCTACCGGAGAGGAGAAAAACAAAAAAAAAAGCATGGTCGGGTGTAGCCACGTGACTTCCGCCAGTCACTCTCTTCTCTCCACTTCTCCGACCTCCGTCGGGTTTCGGTTTCGAGCAGTTGCGTCTTTTGGCTTTATTAAAGAAATACGCTACTCTGTTGCAAAATATTAATTGGGTAGTCCTCCGACACCATAATGAAGCGCCTGGCAAAAAATAAAAAAATTTTTTTGGGGGGTGTCAGTGTCTCTTTAACGCCACATTACGAAGCCTTAGCTTGGCAGTTGCCAGGATGGCGATCCTACCGGAAAGGACGCAGTTTGAGTGTTCCGTACGAGCTTGGTAAGCACTGTACATTGCGAAAATGTGGGCTCATCCTCGGCTGGAATCCAGCCGGGAGCAACTGGATCCAGATGTATGTATAAAGCCAAATGGGAAACGACCGAACCCAGCTGGATAATGCCTGGGCCTGGTTGAACGGGAAACGACTCCACATTGAGCATTCAGCATTCAGCTGGAAAAGCCCCTGCTCCAGTTGGAGCGTTCAGTGTCCAAGCAGATACTTCCAGCTGGAGTTTCTAGTGTCCAACTGGAGCACTGCCTCCAGTTGGACTAGCAATTACTCCACCTGGGTTGGCAGAAAGATAGCTAGAGGCAACCAGTCATGCCACATACAGACGGGGTTAGTTTCAAACACCGCAGCTGTTACGCATTCGAGATTAGTTTGGTTTGTTCGCAGATCATTGCAAAACCAGAATCGTTAGACTGAAAAAAAAATGACGAGACAGCGGCTGACAAAAAAATAAAAAGGTTCCTTTGTTGGCCCAGCAGAGCCATTACTGTGCCAAAATTGGCATGAAGTCCTAGACTGCTCTTGAAGCAAAGCTCAGGAATGTGCCGACCTTTGAGTGGTGGACTGCTCTTCAAATGTTTGCAGAGACTTGGGCGGCTCCTGAGGCTGAAGCCTCTTGGCCTGCTGAGGCGTGATGTGCTTGATGAGTGGCGTCCTCTCCACGGGTCCCCTCCTCCCCATGTTAGCTGGTTAATACAAGCATGCACACAGCAAGCGTTTAGTAGTTAGAGGGCATTGTTAGTCAGCCATCATGCAAATCCATTAGTCAGATCTAAAACAACAAGTACAGCAGTTTTGACAGGGGGTTAGGCTATAGTTGTTTATGGAAAATTCTTATGTCTGCAATGCCAAAAATCACAAGGGACCAGGAACAAGGCAAAGACGAAGAGCATTGTGTCTGCGTGAACTTCGTTCCTGGTCTTTTGTAATTTTTGATGCTGTTAATATATCGGAACAAGAAGCAGAGGCTACCGAAACATCTAAACTGCCTCTCGTAAATAAAACTCGCTGCTGTACACCAGTAAAGTAATAGTGTGTTACTTTGCTAATTCAGTTCATGGCAGCTCTTGTTACCTTCATACTTCACTTGAAATGCAGTAATAACAGCTAACAAGCAGACAGCACAGAAAAAACAAAAAAGGTTGAAAACGAGCTCTTCACTAACCTTTGGGAAAAGGTCCAAATGGGGGTGCTCTTTCTTTGCCCTTCACAGTTGAAGACATTCTTCCTCCTGCGATTGTTTAATAAAAAAAAAAAACAATAGCACCATCAATTCCACTACAACCAGCCCCACTGCTTGCACTTCGCAGTCTTACATCCATGCAGCTTTTTACAAAAAAAAAAGGTGAGCGGTACGTCCAGCGCTGCAAACCTGGAAAATCCCCTAAGCGACAAAGCAAAAAACAAAAAGGAGAGCTCTAGAAGAGTGCTGGAATAACTAGGAAGTGGAGGAGGGAAGGGAACAAATTACTTCTCTCGCCGAAGAGGCCAGAAATGCCCTGGATGACGTTGGATGTGTGAGCGGCAAACCCATTGAGTTCGTTGCTCATGGTGGTGATGAGGGAGCCCGAGTCGCGCCGGGGAAACGAGAGCTGCGTCGTTGGGAACTGGCCTTCGCTGGACGACTCCGAGGGACAAGGATCCTGCTTCTCTCTGTCACGGTCGCTCAAGGCCTGAACAACACAGGACAGAACATAGTAAAAAAAAAAGAAGTAAAATGCGTCTGCTAGGGTACGTGAATATTCAAACTTTCGAATAGTAGTTTAGAAAACTATGCTATTCGATATTCGGTTCGAGATGAACTACGATGTTTGTGTTTCTCGAAGTGTTGATCGTGGTGGGTTAGCCCCATTGGCACGCTTCTCACCAAGCGCCAGTGCACTGCAGAGAAGCAACGCCCGCAAAGCTCGTTTCCGCAGGTGTTGCTTCTCCGCGGCACACTGGTGCTCGGTAAGAAGCGTGTTCGACAGAGATAAGCCGTCGCAATCAACAATTCGAAAAGTAAAAATATTGCTTTCAAAGTGGGATGATGCATGTGTGTGCTTGGTGCATTTCAAGAGAAATAGAAACTTTGTGAACGTTGATATCTACACTACAGTAAAATTTTCAAAATTAAAGTGTAGCTATTATGTGAGAGTATATTTATTAAGCGGAGATGTCCTGAAAACCTGTGTTCATCAATCATGACTGTCTTTTTTCTTTTCTTAAATTCGGGACTTAAGAAAGTATATTTGCATATAGCATGATTTATAAATTTCTAGATTACGGTAGGTGTAGCTGGGCATTTCTACAAGTTTAATTTTATGTCGAAAGCATAATTTACTTGCCATCCCAATGTATACATTGGACTTTCTGAGGCCGCTGTCTATAAATATAGTTTATAAAGTTAGCTTAGAAATGAATAAATGGAAGCTTGGGGACAACTTTCTCGAGGTCAGCCGGCTGTTCGTTTAAGTATGGTGAAGTAGTGAAAGGCTTGATGAAACTATTCGGCATTAGATTCTAAAATATTCGGCCAAAACCACCATTTGCTTCGAACTCAAAATTCGTCATTCGCACATGCCTAGTATCCATTTTTGTTGTTGTTTTTTAGACCTGAAAGGCTGTCATTAAAACCATAGGCATGGGGGAAGATCTCACTTGGGGGGCACTAGCCTAAGTGCCAAATTTTTGCTGCCCACCAATATCACTTACTAAAATGTGAAAAAGCGCCGATGTCGCATTCACGTCAACCGCGCCACGTGGTGTACGTGATCGTAACTTGCAAACTCGGCAATAATCTGTGTCAATGAAGTGTAACAGGAGACGAGAGGAGGGGTCAAACCTTCATGAGGGTCTTGCGTCCAGCCTCTCGGGCGGGTTTGGTCGCCTCCAGCGCCGACCGACTCACTTCGGCCGCCGCCTTGGAGGCCTCGCGGGCCACTTCCTTCGCCTCCCGTGCCACCGCCTCAAACAGGGAACCCTGGGGGGGTGAGCGAACACATTTATTGTATGTCGACAGAATCAAAGACACTGACAGGTGGTGGAGGGAGCAATACACTGACGGAAGACCTCGCTAATGCGGGGGCCTGGCGTATCGAACATGTTTTAAACAAAAAGGATATGCAAGGTATGGGGCCGTAATTCTAAAGGTGCTGGAATTTTGTTTCGGCAGAAATATTTAAAAGATATACGGTACCAGCCGACCCAAAACATTCTCTCCGACAAATATAAAATTTTTAAACTGTTTCGCTCCCAAACACTTCAGGTGAAAGAAAGAAAACGGCAAGTACCTAAGAGTCACGAGTTGTTGCGAATCAAATGTGAATCAGTGCAGTCATTTCATGATTATGCATTGCAGCAGTCAGTCAGTAAACGATTTTACTAACATAAAAAGGTACCTCGTAGCATCTTGAGGGAACCATTCGTGCTAATGAAACATTGACCAACCCGTTGACTGCTGCCTTGCGTCAATTACGACGGACTTGGGCTATAAAAAAAAAACAGTCGGCCATTTGCCGTACTAGCGTGGCAAAGGCCAATGGTAACACAGAATGTGATGTGCGAGTGTGGAGAAACCGTGTACGGATGTGGAGACTGGATGGTGCAAAACGGCCCAACGTTGTACAAAGTAAGTGAGTGAGAGCTCTGTGGTAGCCTCACTTATGGGTACCATCTTCTGCGATTGAGATCTAAATGTGACTTTCTCGGAGCCCTTCGAAATGCGAGATGCAGTAGACGGAGTGTGCAGAAAACAGAGCAATCGGAACTCGGCAGCACCGAGCAAACCCCTGGCGCAGTTCGCGGCAGGAGAAAACCAAACACTCAGACCCGTTGCGGCAAAGGAGCTGCTTTTCTTTTTTCTCCACTTTTCTGTCGCTTTTTCTCACGCTCTTTCTCCAAGGAAGCCCGGTGAGCACTTGTTTCATGGAGCAAATCGCCGCCACACACCTGAACACGCAATGCTTTACCCTTGCCGGGAGCAATACAGGGGCACTTGAAGAGGGGATCGAAGTGGCAATGCAGATAAGTTGGTTCACGATACAATCGGAAACAGCGCAGGAATAACAAAGACGATCAAGGTGTGGACAAAACGAGCTCTGGAACAAGGGTTTTCAGCTGGCATTGGTGTCGAGTTGGCAAGGAGACGGGCACTGCGTCAGCGTTTGGCCGGCAGCCGGCCCATCGACTTCTGTTGCCCGGCACCTAACCGGATATGGTTAGGTGTCAGCCGAATAACTAGGATTCCGTGTTTTTGGAGTTTATTTCTTGTGCAATTCACAGCGTGTTTTTCTGAGTTTATTTTTCGCTCCAAAATCAGGGTTCATCGGAGTTTTATTTTTGTTTAATTCTCAACACTCTGAAATTGTGAATTCATTTTACCATGTTGCCATTTAAAAAAAAAGCTTTCGGCCTTTCCAATTTGGTGAAGAAGGAAGACCAGCGAAGGTGTACTATGGTGGGATGACCTCAAGGCCGACTTCTTGGATGACCTCGAGGATGACGCCTAGGGGACGACGTTTTGGGCGTCGTCTAGGACAACCTCAAGGATGCCATCTAGGACGACCTCAAAGATGACTTCTAGGACGACCTTGAGGACGACGCCCAAGACGACCTCAGGGACGACGTTTAGGATGTCCCAGGCAAAAATTTCTAACTGGGATTAGTTGGCACCTCAACTGGTTTCAACTGGGACTAACTGGTACCAACCGGGAATCAGCTGGGATAACTGGGACCAGCTGAGGGGTCAACTGGCTTGAACCATTCCGGGAGTCAACTGGTTTGACTCCCAGTTGGGAATGTAGTAAACTGGGACCAGTTAAGGAAGGAACTGGTTGGAGCGATTCCCAGTCGGACTTCAAATGGTTTTCCCGTTCCCAATTCACATGGAGCAACAATTTTGACAAGTTGGGGGTGTATTGACCTTTGCTAATGAAGATAACTAAAAATACTTGCATTTTTAGATTTATACAAATAGGGAAATTTTTAATTACTAAGTACAATAATGTATTTACAAAAAATTTTTTTTAATTAACTATATAATCTCTTTTAATTGGAAAATCTAATTAGCGACATTAAATATGTTTACCAAAATGAACATTCAGTGCATATATTAAAATGTGTTAAAACATTTATTTAAATACCTACAGCATTTTTATCATTTGGCCAATCGGAGCCAGCCGGCCGCCGTTGCACGCGGGTGCGGATTAGTGGTACGCCCTGTCGACAGATGGCGCTGCATATGCAACCAACATCGGACGGAAACAGTAAACGCGACGCGGTAGAGAAGGGTCGACATCGCTTAAGTTGGCGTCGTTATGATGTCAATACCACAGCTGCGCCTGTTTGGACCCAACTGTGCACACACCATGGTGGCAGCGGTGAACTTCGAGGATGGAAAGATGCAGTTCAGCGATCGGGGGGCACCCAGGAAAGACCAGACGGAAGAGAAAACCACTGCGGAAAGCACAATGGCAAAAATGGCGGGGGGTCTACCTCGAAAATGTTTGACTGTTGTGACAGAGGCAATTGGAAATGTTGGATTGCAAGGTGGGAGCACTGCCGCATCCTATCAGGACTTCCCCTGCGCAACGCGGGAACACGGGTGAGCACCTTTCTTCACGCAATGGGGAGAGGCTGAGGACGTCTTCACTAACAAACGCCAGTGGCCTATCTTCCTTCATCTAACGAATACTATCCCTGAAAAAGCGATTCAATCGTTGCAAGCAAGTGGCTAAACCCGGAAGCGTGTTTGTCATCGAACCTATTATTTAGTTTTATTCTCCCAGTTTTTGACAATGAAGACTTGTCAACCTTCCATTTTGTGCCGTGTTACATTGTTGTTGGAGTTGGCACCAGCCGTAACTGGGACCAACTCCAACTGGGACCAGTTGTAACTGGGACCAATACCAGCTGGGACCAACTCCAACTGGGACCAGTTGCAACTGGAAATTGTTCCATAAACCAGTTGGAACTGGAACTAGTTGGTCCCAGTCGAACATTTTCGCCTGGGACGACCTCAAGGACCACTTCTAGGACGACCTCAAGGACCACTTCTAGGACGACCTCAAGGATGACTTCTAGGACGACCTCGAGGACAACCTCTCGGATGATTTCAAGGATCACTTCTAAGACGACCTCGAGGATGACGTCTAAGACAACCTCAAGGATGACTCCTAGGACGACCTCAAGGATGACGCCTAGAGGACGTCGTCCTCTAGGCATCATCCTTGAGGATGACATCCAGGACAACGCCTAGAGAAATTCAGAGTGGAAAGGCCTGGAAAGGTTGCCGCTATCTATTAACGACAGCGGCAAGCCGGTTGTCTGGTTGCCGCCGTCGCTCATAGATGGCGGTAGCTGTCCAGAGTTTTGTGTCAACATTTATTTGTTGACGGACACGAAACTGGAGAAACTAGCCCTTAACAGCTCCGCTGCAAAAAAAAAGTTTGGGCACCATAATTTGTCCTGAAAGGAACCTCAGACGAGCTAAATGGCAAACCCCTTTTTTTAAGCGGTTTGAGATTTTAAAGGAAACTGAAGTGGCACTTCCTCTAGACCACTGGCCCTGCACTCCTATAAAATTTAAAAAAAAAAAAAAATGTTTTTTTTTTTTTTTTTTTTTTTTTTCAATTTTTTTATTTTGTTGCAATTTTGAATTTCAGAGCTTTTCGGATTAGGGGCGACCCGGGTGCTTAATCTATTTTTTTTCATTTATCGAAACAATTTCTTGAAAATTGACATGCTTTTTATATTGTGATATCATATTTGGAATTATATATCCGATATCTTCTCTAGAACAAAAGTTATGGCAAAATACCTAATTCCAATTACGTCATTTCTTAGGGGTCCCACTCCCTCCCCCACTGTACCTGGCTCCCCTGGGAGGTGAGGCTGCCGCTGCCGGGCCCCCTGCTGAGCACCCCTCCGGCTAGGCTGCCCAGGGCACCCATGGCCCGGCCGGAGGAAGCGGCGGAGCCCCCCTCTGGGGGCGTGCTGCGCCCGCTGCTCACGCTCCCCACGGGGCTGCGGCTGGGGCCAGACCGGATCGTCGAGGGCGTGTGAGGCTCCCCGTCGTTGGATGAGCCGCCCCCGGCCGGGGCGTCGTTGTCTCCGCCCTCGGAAGGTTCCTAGGCCAGCCAGAATCGAACACCTTAAGCTCTGACGATAATGTGTTTGTCCTTTGTCCCCCTTGTTCCCCTTCTCCAGGGATTACTACTCTCATCATTGTCGTTAGAACTACACTTCCCTGTTTTCGAAGGATTACGTTTCTTCAGATGGCGGGACGTTTTTTCGGGGGGTTTTGTCTTTTCTTGACAGATCTGGCGTCCTTCAGTTTCAATTTTCAGCGTCAGACAAAAAGTCAATGTTTGTTAGCCCGGCATTGGCCGAAAATCGGATGTGCTCGCTGCCTTGTAACTACGGTTTCGCGTTTTTGAGGGTTTGGTTTTTCTTCAATTTTGGGGATGCTTTTCAGGGTGGTATTATTTTTGTGCAAAATCGGTGTTTTTCGGCTTTGATTTTCGGATGTCAGACGAGAGTTCGCCAAAATTATCGGCCGGGCGTTGGCCGTAATGATACCCTTATAACCAGAGTTCCGCATTTTCAGGGGTTTTCTTTTTTCAAATTCAAGAATGCTGTTTAGTTTTTTTGTTTTTTTTTTTTCTTACAGGTGCAGTTCTATTTAATCTCAATTTTCAATGTCTCACAATAAAAAAAAAAAATCTAGTGTGGTTATCGGCCAGGCATTGGCCGAAATGAGACACACCACCTTCTACTAGGGCTCCGCGATCTCGAGTGTTTATTATTATTTTTTTTTTTCAAATAAAAAATAGTTTTTCCTTGTTTTTTTTCTTGTTTTTTTTTTATCCCCCCAAATTTAATGTGTTGGTTTAAATTTTCAATGCCGGACAAACATGAAAATCGGGAGCATGGAGCTCTCAGATCACCAGGGAACATAACCAAACAAATGGATGACATTCCGGTACCGATAAGAAAGCAGGACAATGGGCGTGATGCCCCAAGAAAGCAGCAGCTTGCAGACAGTTCAGCGTGGTATATGTTCAATGTCTACAGAAAACAAAAAGCCGTAAATAAAAAGCTTTCTTCCCATGAAGCTCAAGTTTGTTTGTTTTTTTATTCAAGGACAGCCTCAATATGAAATATATATATTTCAGTTTTTTCCAATTTTGATAAGACCGACTAGGGCTCATTTTTGGCATTTGTTGGTATGTACCAGAAACACAAAATCCTAGTTAGAGCTATTGTAAAATACTGGGCAAGCGCCCACTCAAAATTTAGAGATAATCGCGAAAAAATGGGGGATGGGTGCTTGTCCGGTAATCAATATTACACATCAATGTATTCTGCACATTTTCTTAGATCTTACAAATTTGGGAATGGGTGCTTAGTATGGAATGGGCGGATACACGGTATTCTACGGTAGTGTTTTCCCCTATTAAGTACTATATACTTACAAACACTCAAAAAGAAATGCCCGAGCTAATTTTTTTCAAAATCGAGAAAAACCAGAACGTTACGAACTGAGGCTGTCCTTGAGTGAGAGCAACCTAATGGTGTATTCGCAAGATGGAAAGTTTTATTCGAAGAGGGGATTAAACATCACCGAGGGGATTAAGCGTCACGGATGTTCTGTCCGAGCAACTGGGGAAGGATTATGGTTACTTTGGGAGAAGGATTATGATCACGACTACTTTTAGGGAAGGATTGTGATCAGGAGTGTTGAGCTATGGGTGTCTTTCTTTTCTTTTATTCCTGCCTTTTGTTCGATGAGCCCGTGACGGTTACAAATAGGTTCTCAAAGAGAAAGACTTCACAGACTCAACTGAATGTGACACAGCAGTGCGAATGCTTGCTCAGATTTTCTCAACCGCACCCTCCTCCTCGAGGCATTTCCTCCTCGCAGATCTTTGACAGAGTACTCGGTTTTCTCCGTTGATCTAAGCCTGTCAAGCGAATATACCCCAAGCTTCACCGTTAGAAATCTGTCTGGAGTTTTATTCACTGCAAACAGCGCATGTCCACAGAGGGGGATAGCTCACTCAATGAGACATGAGGAAACATGCATGCACGAAAGATGGCCAAGTCTAGAGAATGACCCAAAACGTTAAAAACCCAGCACACACAAGAGAATACTACTTCTATGAATGGTTGACACATTAAGCTGTTGGTAAAGCAGCATCCTCACCTGCCCTTCCGTCTTAGGCGCTGGAAAAGCTCCTCCAGAAGCGTCTCCTTGTGGTTGCCCAGAGGGGCTGCGAAAGAAAACATAAATAAAGAAATAAATAATAAAAAATAAAATTAACAATAATGTTTACCTTAATATCCCGAGATAGTACAGATAAAATTAAGAGCAAATCTGGTGAAAATATGGAGTGAGATAACTTCCGGTGTACAATCAAGAAAAGTTGAAAAAAGGCCACCCCTAGGTTATGTGTTCCTTCCAAGCTTGTTATGGTGGTGAGGGGCAATGAAGCAAAGATGACTGTACTTCCCAGTCAGCAACATTCGCTTTTAACTTGCCATAGCTAACTGGCTGCATTTATGCGGAGTTCATCATTGATCCCAACACTACTATTCCTAGAAGTGGGCCATCTTTTGGTGTTTTAAAAGATATAGCAAATCAAGCCATATGTAGGGGTGGGCCATCTTTCAAGGGAGGGGAGGGCATCTCTTGGGATTTTATGGTAAATATTCTCTTCTTAGCTTCAGCTCAATAACGGATGCGCGGAAGGAAAGCTGACAAAGGAAGGCAGCTTTAATGATCGTAAACCATACACATTAGATACGAATAAACCTCCTACCAACCGAAGGTGGTGACACAAGTAATTGAGGACCCCCTACCTCGACAGAGATGAGTTGGCCGACGAAGAGGTCCCTGACCCGTGCAGGGAACTGCGGGAGTCGGTTCGTTCCAAGGTTTGCTGGTTCAAGTCCGGCATTTGAAGCTCCACCGGCGGGTTGAACACAGCGTTGTAGTCTGCCCGATCAAGTATTGCTGCTGATGCCTCTTCGACGTGAGCTCCCCCTTGGAGAAGGAGAGAGTATCGCGGAAAGACTGAGAATAAAGGGCCTCCCACACCCTGAACCTGTGTGAGACAGTATGGGTAGGGGACCGCGAAGTGACCCGCGCATTCTCGCGGCGTTTCCACACCACCGGAGGACGACTCACCGACATTTTCTCCATTGAATTCCACCATATCACAGACAAAGTCACTTAAGGAAGAGTAGGAGGAGCTGGTGCTACTGGCGTCATCACTTTCGCTGCCACTTTCACCTGCGTAGACAGAAATCGCATCTTTCGAGCACGGTGTTTTTCACATTTTTCTTTCTTTTCCATAAGGATGGCAGCCAATTTAAACGCAACCCTCCTCAAGCCGCCAGCCAAGAAGCCGGAGAGAGATAAAGCAGTGCAAGTAATGTGCCCAAATTCTTGGGTGCTTTCCGGACGCTCCACCGACAAACCGAGACATACGCTCTTCCTTTCCCTAACCACCTGCATCTCTTGAGCTTGCTCGACTCTCAACCCATGTCAATATTGCAAACTCGGCTTATATTCTAGAATTATTAAAGTAAACAATAATATTTTCAATTTAAATGAAGCAGGGGCCTGCAATTTTGGTAGTAGTCAATATATGCGACATCAAACCAATTCAAGGAGACATGCGCCAGGGTAATTTTTTTTTTTTATTATTAACGATATTGAAATAAACTTTTCGCAGTTTATGGTGCTTAATCTTCTCTTTATAAATATGGTGTTAGATTTGATACGGCTTGCTTTTTTAGGTTCTCGATGCAATGTACATGCAGAAAAAAACGTTCTCGAACTCACCACGTGAGGCGTGGCAACATACTTAGAAAAGCCTAGTAAAATAAACACAAACAACAAAAATAATGTGTGCGACAGATCTTTCATTTTAAAATATTTAAAAACTAAAAACGTTTCTTAAATTTTTCATAAATATTAAAAAATATACATTCTAACCAAACCTACATTGTTTAAAGTATATGCGTGCGAAAATTGGATACAATAGGGCGATATTAAGAACAGAAATTCTTTTGCACAAAATGTGAAGATGCCCCAAAATTACATAAAAAGAATTAAAAAGAAAAATGTGCTTGAATGTTACCATAAGTGTGTAGCTATAGTCTTTCGGGGCATGCAAAATAGTAATTTGTTAATAAATTTCTTTGAAAAATTGAAGCTACAGAAGTCTGCAACAGAGAAGAGATAGCTAGGCCTATTTGTCAATGTAAATGTGATGGCGGGCGACATCCCAACATGAAGAACCACGCAGAGAAAAATGGCTCGAATTCATGCTGTTCTGGGTTGCCTGGAGGTCTTCAAATGTGAATTCTGCAGTCTTAACCGGCATTAATTATTTTTATACATCATATATAAAGATTCAAAAAATAACAAAACCCATAAAACTCAAAATCACATTTTTTTGCAAAATATTGTCGTTTTTCAACTCGCGTCTCCCGTTTTAAGCAGAAAACCTATAAGTGCAGTGCAATGCGACAATGGTTTTATACCTATTGAGGTGTGTGCTAGGGTCCTTTGCCACACCGACACCGAGTGGTTTGGTTCACCACTCTAAAGTAAGCAGAAAACCTAAGCGAAGCGCAAGTTTGTCTGCTTCTTTTCTAAAGGTTGAAGTGACATCAAAATGCTGAGCTCTGATTGAAGTATAGTGGGTCAACCTCAAGGCAGCTTGCTTTGAGGTCTATCCATTATCCTTCAATCAGAGCCAACCAATCAGAGCTCAGTGTTCTCATGTCACTACTACCCCTGCAAAAGAAGCAGACAAACTTGCAACCCGCATAGGTCTCAGTCCATCATCTGCTTTCTCGTTCTGACGTCATGCCAAACATCTCACTTTTGAAAAGCTAGGCACATTGAAACTTCAGGACACCCACGCATCTTTGAGTCCCCAAACGCAACATTTGTTTGTTTTAAAAAAGCTAGTCAAGCCGGAAATTTCCGGACATCTCAGCAATATTTGAGCCCCCCTTCAACAATGTGTCCCGCCTTCTAAAGTGACTGACGTAACCTGCAGTTTGGGAGATGTGACTAAACAATAGTGGCCACTGCTAGTACCTGTAGTATTAGCAGGAAAACCTAAGTGAACCTACCCGTGCTTGCTTCATCCGTCAGACCCATGGCCGCCATGCTGGTTGTCAGGGTACAGCTTTCGGACCACACATCAAAATAAATGGGCTCCAACTGATGACAATACCATTTCCCCTTGTCCCCTATCACTGCAGGATCAAACACACCTAAAAAAAAAATTTTTAATCGTTGTCAAACATTGGAACTAAGCCCATGTGACTATATCCACAATCCCCTGGCATTTCTACAGCGAGTTGCCAACCACGGACAAAGCAAATAAATATATCTGTCTCCACACGTACCGAAATCGAGCTAGTCTAATTACCATAAAATACTGCGCAAGCACCCAACCAAAATTTTGAGATAGTCTTGAAAACACCGGTGGGTAGGCACCTGTTAGGTCCAAGACCAAAATGCAGAAGGGGCACATAACGGGGTGAGCTTGTGGGGATTGTGATCCCTCAACATTCTGTCGCGTCAGCGTTTTGGCGCGCCGTGGCGGCCGAGCTGGCGTAGCGAGAGGTGGCGCTACTTACCACTGTGAGTGGCTTCCTCCTCTCCCCCTTGGGGCGATTTCCGTAACGGACCCCCGCAGAAAGGAGATCGACGTGTCGCTCCTTGATTGGCCACTTCGCCCCCGCCGTGATCTTAAAACCAGCGGACAGCAGTCTCGCTGCTCTCTTCTTCCTGGGATTCGGCGGCGGCGACAACGGGGACCCTTCCGGCGCACCGGTGAGCGTTTACCCCGTACTTTGTACCTTTGTGAACGACCGTTCGGCCGTGGGCGATCTCCACACCGACGGCGTTCACCAGCTTATAGCCGCTGTGTTGTTGTTATTTTGTTTCATTGTAAATAAACAGTTTATCACCGTTACCAACGTGACTGGTGTCTGTTTGCGCTCAAAGAGCAGCATGCCACGCGAGTACGAACCCGCTTCGCGGTAGAGAGTCTCGCCGCGAACGTGGTACTCCCCAAAGGCAGTGGCCCTAAGGAGAACCACAATTTGGCGCCCAACGTGGGGCTGACGACCAGAACCCCGGTACGTCTGTGTGTGGCGACTGCTGCCGAGTGATGAGTCCTCGCGCAACCAGCGCTTACCGTGACGATGCAGACCGACTTCTCGGATTTGCTCACGCTGGCGACCGCGGCCGACGCATTCGCGCTGCCCCCACTTCAACGAGAAGCGCCCTACGGCGCACCCCTGGAGCCGAGCGTGGTTCCGACGCCATTGCGGACGGGTGCCATCGCTCCCGGATCTTCCCTGAACACACGTGCTCCGCCGCCGGCACAAAGCGAAGCCTATCGGTCTCCCCACGGAGAAACCGCTGCGGCGCCTCACCACACCTTGCTCGAAAACGCGGCACGTGTGATTGAGAGTCTGACAGGTGCGTTGCGAACGACAACACTCGCACCACAGGCCCAACGACCTCCGGTCCGAATTCCCGTCCCGACTTATCGGGGTTACGCAGACAGAGCGAGCGCTACGGACTTCCTTGACGATTTACGGAAGTACCAACGCGCGATGGGAATGTCCGATCGTGAAATACTTGAGCGCATTCTGCCAATCGCGCTCGTCGACGAAGCCGCCCGCTGGTTCCGACTTGTCGGTGACCAACCCGGAACGCTCGATCAGTTCCGAGAGGCGTTCCGCCGCGAATTCCTTCCCGCCGACTACGAGAGAAGGATGCGGCGGGAGCTCGAACAGCGAACCCAGCATCCGGACGAGTCCCTGCTGGAGTTCGTACGAGCCATGCAAGAGCTCTTCGAGCTCGCAGAACCCTCAGCTCCCAATGCAGAGCGAGTGGAACGCGTCATACGCCAAAGCCACCCGACTTTCGCTGCGTATCTTCGAGGCAGCCGTTTTCGCGACCTGAACGAGCTCGCCTCCGAGGCCCGGCGCCTTCAGGGTGACATTCTCGCTGCCCGTGCGTACCGGCCTCCGCCTCCAGCGTCAGCGGCCCTCGAACCGCGCTGCGCGTGGAGCGGGGACACGCCATCCCGAGCACCGAGGCGCTACGATTCCGCAAACTATGCGGAAGATCGGGGCCGAGACACGTACGCAATCTCAGATCGTGCGCTCGACCCGTACTCCTACGGTAGACGAACAAGCCGGCCGACGACGCAGTTCAGAACCACCGACTCGCGCCCCAACGAGGCAGCGAGGCAGGAGGAAACGAGGATCCCTCAATCTCAGCGAGCCAATGCACGCTACGACAGAGCCGGCGAAAACCAAAACGCACGGCGGAACCCCCAGCGAGGCGACGACAGAAGATGTTTTCGGTGCAATCGCCCCGGTCATCTCGCTCGCCAGTGCCCGGAGCGGCCGAACACGGAATCGCACCGTGCGGGAAACGAGCAAAGCCACCGGTAAACGGTCCTTGGACGGACGGACCGGTGGCTAACAAAGAACCAGAGGGTCCCATGGCCACTCTTTTACCGACCGCCTACAGAATAGGCTTCCCGACCGGCACGCCGGCCCCGTTCATTTCTGTGACGATCGCCGGCAAGCCATTCAAGGCACTCCTCGACACCGGAGCAAGCGCTTCGATGTTCGGCGACGAAGTGTTGACTCACCTCCGACAGAATTCTGTCCGACTCCGAGAATGCAACACTGCCTTTCGCCTAGCCTGCGGAACCGCCCTTTCGGCTGGTACCGCGCGGCTGGTCGCGAGATGGGAGAATCGAGTAAGACGACAACGCTTCGTTCATCTCCCTGGCCTATCGGTGCCCATTATTTTGGGCAGAGACTTCCTTGCCAAAACAGGCATTGTAATCGACGTCAGCAGCGCAGGCTATCGGGAGGGCACGTTTGCACCCCTGAAACCCTTCTGCGAACCCCCAGCCGTACCGCCAACGCCACCATTGGCGCACGCGACGAGCCGTCGAGAGGAAGCGAGGGACTCCCTAAACCGGGTCATTGACCCCAAGACACCGAGTCCAGCGCCGATGGCAGCGAGCGCCGCCCCCATCGGGGAAATGACGCACCCACTGCTCACGCAATCATGCAGCGTGTCAGGGCGAGAAAAAGCCCGACTGTCGTCGTTGTTGCGCCGCTATGACGCAATGTTCACGGACCGACCGGGCTGCACAAACGAAGTGCGACATCGCATTGACACGGGCGACGAACTGCCAAGAAGGCAGAACGCGCGACCCGTAAGCTTGGCTAAACGAAAAGCCATCGACCGTGCCCTGGACGAAATGATCGACACCGGAGTTGTCCGGCGATCTAACAGCCCCTGGGCATTCCCCGTGGTGCTGGTCCCAAAGAAAGACGGCACCTCACGTCTTTGCGTGGACTACCGCCGTCTGAACGACGTCACACGAAAGGACGCCTACCCGCTACCGAGCATCGACTCGATTCTGTCCAACTTGGGCAGTGCGCGGTACTTCACCACCCTGGACGCTAGCCGAGGCTACCTCCAGGTTCGAATGGAGCCAGGTGACGAGGCAAAAACAGCCTTCTGTTGTCACCGCGGGCTTTTCGAATTCACACGAATGCCCTTCGGTCTGTGCGGAGCGCCTATGACGTTCCAGCGATTGATCGACCGAGTACTGGGAGAAGCCAAATGGAAACACGCAATGGCCTATCTCGACGACATTGTCGTCTACTCCAACACCTTCGAAGATCACCTACGTCATCTCGAGGACGTACTCGACCGGCTAAAAGCCGCGGGAATGACCCTGAACCCCGAAAAGGCCCAAATAGCCGAAACCCGCATCGCCTTGCTCGGGTTCGAACTGGATCGCGGGCGCCTTGCGCCACACCCCGACAAACTACAGGCAATCCTGGAGTTTCCTGCGCCAACCGACGTGAGCTCCCTCCGTCGCTACCTGGGAATGGTGAACTTCTATCGCCAATTCATCCCAAACTGCGCGACGCTTCAAGCACCACTGACACGCCTATTGCGAAAGTCTGTGAGTTGGAGCTGGGGTCCCGAGCAGGAAGCGGCCTTTCGCCGCACCTCCCGAGCGCTCGCGGACACAGCTGAACTCAAGCTACCCGACTTGAACAAGCCCTTTCTGATCCAAACAGATGCCAGCAATCTTGGCTTGGGCGCGGTCCTGCTCCAACAGCACGAAGGTGTACTCCGACCGGTGGCCTTCGCCAGCCGCTCGTTGACGCCAGCTGAAAGGAACTACAGCACATGCGAACAAGAGTGCTTGGCCATCGTCTTTGCACTCCGGCGTTTCGACATTTATGTCGACGGGACCACTTTCGTGATCGAAACAGATCACCAAAGCCTAATATGGCTCTCCCGACTTCGCGAACCCGCTGGTCGCTTGGCAAGATGGGCTTTGATGCTGCAAAAATACGACTACGTCGTGCGGTACCGGAAAGGCAGCACAAACGTGGTGGCGGACGCATTGTCACGAGCCCCCGTAGACTGCACACAAATTTCCGCAAAGACCCAGGCCGAGCCAACGACATCCACATTGTCAGGCGAAGCCGTGACTCAGTCCCAAAGGGAGGCAGCAGATCTGACCACCCCGGACGAGACGATCAACCACCTAGACGCAGTGAGCGCCGTGGGAATCGTGTTCAGCAAAGAAGAGCTTCTAAAAGCTCAGCAGAATGATCCGTTTTGTCGAAAGGTGATCGACGGACTCGCAGAAGAGTCGGACGCCGTGGAGGCGGGCGGTGCGACCGCCGGGCGCAACACTACTGGTATTGTAGTAGGCGCCGAGTGCCGGGACGTATCTGGTATTGGTGCGGGCACGGAGGATTCATATCTGCTGAGCAATGACGGGCTCTTGCTGAGGTACATACCCTCCGAGAACGACTCCGACGAGGCGTTCAAGGTAATGGTACCCCGCAGTCTGAGAAACGCAGTTTTGCGCTACTATCACGACTCGCACTTGGCCGGACACGCGAGCGGCTCCAAGACTTACACAAAGTTATGTCGCATCGCCACCTGGCCGGGCATGAAACGGGACGTTTTCCGTTATGCCCGCACCTGCCACTCTTGCCAAAGCTTCAAACCAAGAGGCGGCAAACCCCCGGGCCTAATGCAACCGATTCCGAGCCAGCAATCATGGTCTCTGGCAGCCTGCGACGTGGTCGGCCCCCTACCGAGGAGCCCTAAAGGACACCAGTATTTGCTGGTTGTAACTGACCACTTCAGCAAATGGACGGAACTTTTTCCACTCCGTAAGCTGACAGCCCGAGCGATCACGGAGAAGCTCATGGAGGTTTTCACCCGTTTTGGGTTCCCCGAAGCTCTTTTGACTGATCGAGCGAGCTACTTCGTCGGGAAGGTATTCGTGGACGCGTGCAAGGCCCTTGGCATAAAGCACAAAACAACCACGCCCTACCACCCGCAGTCGAACATCACGGAGCGATGCAACAGAAACATCAAACCAATGCTGGCCGCCTTCGCGGAAAGGCACCGTGACTGGGACACATATATCCCCGAGATCGGGTTCGCACTTCGGACCACTCTCAACCGTTCGACGGGCTTCACCCCCGCTTTCCTCACATTCGGGAGAGAGCTTCCGAACCCCATGGACCGTGTCCTAGGGACGAGCGCCGGGGTGGACAACGCGCAGCCGACGCAAACGGACCACGCGCGGCAGCTACAAACTCGGATGACGGAAGCCTTCTCGGAGGCGCGTCGCAATCTCGGGGTAGCGCGAGCGAAACAAAAAGCTCAGTACGACCGCTCGCATCGAGACCTCCGCTACAAAGTGGGCGATCTCGTCCTCAGACGCAACCATGTTCTGAGTGATGCCAGCAAAGGCTTCTCGGCTGCTTTGGCTCCGAAGTGGTGTGGCCCGTACCGAGTGCAGGAACTTCTCTCCCCACTCGTGTACAAGCTGACAAACTTGCAATCAAGAAAAGTCGGTGGGCCGGTACATGTGTGGGATCTGAAACCCTACCATGAGAGGGAAAACGGGGCCAACGAGCAAACTCAGCCCCCGCAGAAACATGCACACGCAGCACGAGATAACGCCGACGATGAACAACAGGCGTCTCGCTACAATCTGCGTAGACGGAGGAACTATTATCCGAAGTTTTCGTAGAGGCAGCCCCATTAAGTGGCGAAATGTCACATTAAGGGAAGTGCAAAGCACAATACACCTGCTGCCTTCGTGAACGCGCCAGACACCATTGTTTACTGGCAAGCAGTGACCTACATACGTCACCTCAGCGTTCGCTCCCGGATGAACCCGTAGGGGAATCCCCCAAACACGGCTTCCGAGGGAAAGGGTACGCGTAACTGCCATTGGTCAGTTATTGCCACCTACGCTCACGTGTGCCACTTGTCAACGCGAGAGCGCGGTGCGAGCGTCGTCACAAGCGGTCGGAGACCAAGTGGTCATTCTACCGCAGTACGTTCCGCACCTACGAAGAGGACCTTCATCCAGCCTTTCCTTCGCGCCGTTCGTGAGCTGCTGTCTCCAGGCTTCGGCAGTTCGGCGGCGTCCAGGGTCCAGAGCTGCGCGTGATTCGTCAGGCTGTCCCGCTACCCCAGCCGGCCGCGGACCAAACCAGCAACCCGTCGTTTTCCTGGGCCGTCGGGATCGACATCCGGCCAGCGACTGCCGGCTCATCATCTTCGGGACCCGCGCCGCGGTCGGAAAGATCGCCGACCAGGGACCAGCTGTTCCCGTTCGTCCCGTAACAAGTCCCAAGGGCCCCAGGGACCTGGCGCAGTTCGCCCAGCAGGGCTCGTAAGGCACGCACTACATCCGCAGCCGAGGGATGATCCACCGGGACCTGGCCGCCCTCAACGTGCTCGTCGACGAACACGGCTGCTACAAGGTCGCCGACTTCGGCCTCTCCAGGAGCATTACGGACTCCGAGACGGGCGTGTGTACCACCAGAAGGCCAAGGGCGCCCTTCCAGTGCGGCGGATGGCTCCGGAGTGCTTGCATCTTCAGGTGTTCCCCTTCAAGTCCGACGTGTGGGCTGTCGGAATACTGCTGTGGGACATTCGTCACCTTGGGCTCGACGCCCTACCCCGGCCTGTGCGCTAAGGAGGTGATCCGCCACGTGCGCGGCGGTCACGTGTTGACGCAGCCGATCGACTGCAGCTGGGAGCTGTACCGCTGGTGAGGGACCGTTGGACGAGCTTTTGGAGCATGGACCAATGAGCCGAGCTGTTGTGTCCCGTGGCGGCCTTTTTCTTTTTTTTTTCTTATTTTAGTTTTGTTGTGTGTTTGTGTTGGTCTACCCGTTTGCGGGTGACTATTGGCTAAGGAGGGGGGAGTGTGGGGATTGTGATCCCTCAACATTCTGTCGCGTCAGCGTTTTGGCGCGCCGTGGCGGCCGAGCTGGCGTAGCGAGAGGTGGCGCTACTTACCACTGTGAGTGGCTTCCTCCTCTCCCCCTTGGGGCGATTTCCGTAACGGACCCCCGCAGAAAGGAGATCGACGTGTCGCTCCTTGATTGGCCACTTCGCCCCCGCCGTGATCTTAAAACCAGCGGACAGCAGTCTCGCTGCTCTCTTCTTCCTGGGATTCGGCGGCGGCGACAACGGGGACCCTTCCGGCGCACCGGTGAGCGTTTACCCCGTACTTTGTACCTTTGTGAACGACCGTTCGGCCGTGGGCGATCTCCACACCGACGGCGTTCACCAGCTTATAGCCGCTGTGTTGTTGTTATTTTGTTTCATTGTAAATAAACAGTTTATCACCGTTACCAACGTGACTGGTGTCTGTTTGCGCTCAAAGAGCAGCATGCCACGCGAGTACGAACCCGCTTCGCGGTAGAAAGTCTCGCCGCGAACGTGGTACTCCCCAAAGGCAGTGGCCCTAAGGAGAACCACAAGCTTTACCACATTGCACCACCACACGCACATCAAGCTAAACCACTTTGCGCAGGTGTACATGCATCAAGCTTCACCACCATGCGCCAGCGCGCTCAGAGAAGTTGTCGACGCAGGGGAGCATCTTGGTTAGCTAGGTGGGATCAAAACTTTGCCCATACTTCGAATGTATCAGAAGTAGAAACAGCCACTTATTGTGACATGGGTGTATGCTCAGTATTGTATGGTAATGAAGCAACCTGACTGAAAGTATGGAATGAAAATAAATCAATGTGCCATACGAGTCCATGAAATCTAAATCCGTGTCTTTTGCCAAAGACTGAAGGGCTGGCTTAAACTGATTATAACTAGAGGTGTGCGAATATCAAAATCTTCCGAAGCGAATCGAATCGAATAATAAAGATTACGAATCGAATCGAATCGAATATTTTCGAATACGAATAGTAGTTCCAAATAAGGATATATTTGAAAACAAATATTTTCTATTTGATATGAATTAAACAAGAATGCTTCATAAAAAAACACAACTGGAATTTTTTTTTTCAACAAACGTTTATGAAAAGGTTACTTTTATTGCAATAAGAAAAATGTCCCACATGTGACTGTTAAAAAAACAGATGAAGAAAGATCAGTCAGCAAAATACCATTCCTTGAGTGAGGTTAGAGAACGTAAATGAAAGTGCAAAAGTGAAGGCGGGTCGGCAAGCCACAACGCAGTCGGAGATCGCATCGCGGACGAAAGGAGGCACTTGAGCGTAAACGCAAGTACACAAGCGGTGGCGGGTCCGCAAGCCGCAATACGAAGTCGATGATTGCGTTTCTTCTTTGTGCGATCTCTTTTTACGCTCGTGAACGCAACCACGTGAACGTAAACGGAAGTACACAAGCGGAGGCAGGTCGACAGGCCACGGCAGAGTTTCAGATTGCGCGATCGCGCTGCGCAACCGCACTGACTATGCACCATCTCTTTCCGTGGGCAATAGTTCTGTCCATAGAGGGCGGCACAAAGATGCAATAAATTAAGAATATGTTTTGTTTAGTTTTTTTGGCGGGGGGAGGAAGTCTCACTTTTATCATTGAAAACGGGTAGAAATAAATAACAAAAGGAATTCTGGCAAACTGATAAACCGGAAAATCAAGCGGAAAATAACACAAGCCAGATATTACCGATAGCCGAGGTGAGCCATAAATCCATATCCGAATCCATAGCACCTTGGCTACTGTAGTCATTGTAGGTACGAAATCACGAATATATGGTTGTGCTACATTAAAAATGAATGTGGACAGGAACGTATACAAGACGTCTCGGGCTGACGCCCGAAACGTCGTGCGGTCCGTCGCGACGATGCATGTGCCGTTGCAAACCGTAGTCCTTCATCCTATCTATCGCAGCGTTTGCACCACGACCACTTAGCCGACTCTGCAATCCGGACATCACGGCAAGCAAAGGACAGATCGCGCTACCGCGTGCAAATAACTTTCCGATCCTTCCTACAAAAAGAAAAAAGAAAAAAAAAAGATACTTAGGTTGGTTGTGTAGGTTTGCCAAGCTCGAAACCATACTGCGCAGTCCAAAAACAAAACAGAGAACTCGACCGCAAGTTGACACTAATCAATGAGTTCTGCTTTATTCGTAGTTTTCGAAGTATTCGAAGAACTCGAATAGTTCGAACAGCGAAAGGGCGAAGCGAATCGAATCGAATAGCAAGCATTATTCGCGAAGTATTCGAAGTTTCGAATATTCGCACACCCCTAATTATAACATACATAAATCCGGTGTCAGTCAATAATTTTATCACATTTAATTATATTGTGATCTTGGGTGAGCACCTGTCTAGTACTCAGTCCCTTACTAACTTACCAAAAAAGTTAATAGATCAAACTTCACCAAAAATCTAGCAACTCAAAGCTCGTTTGTGAAGGGTTTGAATATTATAAGAGAACTAAATCAATTAAGAAATGAATCAAACTTTTTCCAGCAGTAAATAATTTCTAAATTAAGTCTTACTAAATACTTTAAATGCCCCAACATCCAAATTTAATCAAAATTTAAGCAACAGATACAGAATTAATTCAATTTGACATATCTCGACTAATAAATATACTATGACCAATATGACCAATAGGCTTACCCGTATGCACACGAAGAAAAGCCACATTGGTGGGACAGAGAGACCATTCTGCATAAAACTCAACAGCCTACAAAGAAACCAGACAAGAACCTTCAGAAACCCTCCACTCAAATGTAATTGGATTTGCCTCTATAAGAATAACTCTCTTAAACCAGCTAAAAAACTATGAAAAGTCATCTCACAAAACTCATACATAATTAACATGCACAGACATACCTAACTGCTGTCCAAAAGCCACAACAACTAGTTTAACACATTGTACTGGCTTCTAATATTAAAGTCTTCAGCACAAGCTTTTGCTGTTGTATTCAATGGCATATCACCATGAGTTATGCACCCTGAGCTCACAGGCAGTAACATCAACAAACGACATAGTCGATTCCTAAAAGGAATACAGTAATATGAACACAGTGTCTTCACAATCTTTTTGAGAACTGTTACAAGCATGCACTTAAACAACTGCAGGATTCCAGAAGCTAGGCCTAGGATCCTACCACTACACAAATGTATGCCTTTAGGTCCACAAAAAAGATTACCTGTGTACGAACGAACTTGCGCAGAAACGTAGAGAGCTTAGCCCGCGAATGAAGGAAACTGTTCACTTGAAAGGCAACTACAGGACGTGGATACAGGCGCAGTGTACGCGTGTGCTCCATGAAATGGGCTAGTACTCCAACAGAGTTGAAAAACCGCACCTGCAACAGGAAAGAAACAGCCATCTCAACTCGACGGCAAGAGAGCAATGCCATGCAACTTAAAAATCTCGGCGACTACTCTACAAATCCTTTTAAACAACTCTTACCAGAAAATAAAGCATAAGAAAAAAAAAAAGGTCAGCGTCCCAATAGCAGCAACAAAACATTATCAAACTGATGTTTGACTCTTAAAAGTGTGAGTGATCACTTGCACTCTCACAGAGAGAAGCACATTCATAACAATAATCCCTGGAGAAGGGGAACAATAGGGACAAAGTACAAACACAAATCTCCAAACACAACTAGGTGACTGGAGTGCGATTGAATAAATCCGCCTTGTCCTTGTATTGGACCAGGGACTTCTCCATTTCCAGTAAAGTGCTCTACCAGCTGAGCTAACCAGGAGTTAGGCATCAATAGAGCAAATAGGTTTTAACAACTGTTACCAGTCTAACACCAACAAGGGTGAACGGCCTGCAATTTAGAATTATGATGATAATGCAATTATGGCAAAGGTGCAAGCGAGCTGGACAAGAATAACAATAATAATCCCTTGAGAATGGGAACAATAGGGACAAAGGACAAAACAAATTTCCAAACACAGCTAGGTGACTGGTGCGTAAATGAAAAAATCCATCCTTAGAATCCGTCCCTGGACAGAGGTCCCTGGTTCGATACCAGGACCAGGCGGATTTTTTCAGCTATGCACCAGTCCCCTAGTTGTGTTTAGAGATTTGTGTTTATCCTTTGTCCCTTCTCCAGGATTTATTATCGTTATCCTTGTCCAGCTCGCCTGCACCTTTGCATTAACTACATTATCATCAAGCACGTTGAAGTCAATTAATATCTCTAACTAGAACAATTGGAAATCAATAAACTTCAATCAACCAACTTCACTGGGCTTTGTGCACAAGCATGGCATCAGAATCATCTTTTGCCTGGAAGCCACAATACGATTACGGTGAAACTTCACTTGAACAAACTTCAAGGGACCTCAGGAAAAAGTTTGTTAAAGTGAAAGTTCACTCAACTGAAATAAGTATGTTGCAGCTTGTTATCACAAACTAAAGAAAAAATCGAGTGTTCAAATGATATTTCAACCCATTTATTTGTCACTCTGCTCATTTGCAAGTGCATTTCCACCACTTAGCACTTTGTGTAGAATGCAGTAATCTTTTGCTGCACTTGTGCATTTAGGACTGCGCTGGTCGTGAATTGAGTCACTGTATCCAAGCTCTCATGAACCTTCTCCGGCACAGCAGTCTGCTGGGCAGCAAAGGCCTTCAGTTTCTCCAAGCACATCAGTGCTTCTTTAGCTGAAATTTTTGCTGCTTCCTCTTCGAGGGTTGATTCTTCTTCCTCTTCTTCTTCTTCTTCTCTTCTTCTCCAAGAAAAGGTGATCGCCTTTTCTTGGTGGCTGAAGCTGCGGCTATGGCTATGGCTGTGAAGCCAGCTAAACACGCAAAGCCAGCTATGGCTTCGGCTGGCTACGAGCTTATCTAGATAGCCAATCCAGTTCAAAGCTAAAACGGCGGCGAATTATACGTTGTGCGCTTCTCAACGTGAAAATATGCAACAAAAAGTGCAGGTTGTACTTCTTGGAGTGATCAATATGACCCGGAAGATATAGGATGGTGCCACGGAATAGGTTCGTAGAACTGAAGGTGATCGCCTTTTCTTGGTGGCTGAAGCTGCGGCTATGGCTATGGCTGTGAAGCCAGCTAAACACGCAAAGCCAGCTATGGCTTCGGCTGGCTACGAGCTTATCTAGATAGCCAATCCAGTTCAAAGCTAAAACGGCGGCGAATTATACGTTGTGCGCTTCTCAACGTGAAAATATGCAACAAAAAGTGCAGGTTGTACTTCTTGGAGTGATCAATATGACCCGGAAGATATAGGATGGTGCCACGGAATAGGTTCGTAGAACTGAAATGCGCATTGCGCTGAATTTCGTTAAACTGAAGGGCGTCTGCATTGGGTTCAATGGCGCTTCGGTGGGGGATTTAAAAAAGTTTTTAAAACTGAATAGTTTGTTTAAACGACGTTCGTTCAAGTGGTATTTTACTGTACCATTTTAGCAGATCAGAAGACTGTTTAAAGGGGTGTCCAAACAGGACACTACAAAAGGCACGACTCCGACAAATCATGAAAATGGAAGCGGACGCGCCCGCTTCGCGCCCGCTTCAATTTTCACGATTTGTCGGAGTCGTGCGTTTTGTAGTGTCCTGTTTGGACACCCCTTAAGACAGTTTAAGTATGGCTTACAATTCCCTGCTAAAGTATCCATTGCCAACTTGAGAAAGCAATAAAATTATTCCCTCGCCATGCAAGACTTTTCTTTCCAGCATTCTGATTACTACAACTCCTAATGGAGCTTCGGTGAGACAGTTAGTACTCAAATCAAAAGTGATAAGATGTGGGCCCTTCCACGGTATTTTACGGTATACTAGCAAGTAGATTTCAAATTGGCGGCTTTGGTTGGTACCAACGGGATTTGATGGTCTGTGCACTCACCATGGCTATTCGCGTGGCCACGTCCACAGAGTCAACGTCGTTGCCGTAAATGAGCGGGTTAAAGCCAGAGAGGGGAGGTGGCTGTTGTTCGGGCTTCTCTGGCAGGGAACTGGCACCAGGTGCCGCCCTGGGTTGAATCTTGTCCAGGTTCCCGATTGGCTGAGGGTTGATGCTCATCGAAGCCAAGGCCTGCAGTACAGTACCTTCATCTTTTAGTTCTCTGTCAGTGGCACAGCCTCAAGTAATTTGATCCCTTTGCACATGACATTGAAGGTAGTGTGCCGACAAGTTAACACATACCCAGTCAGATCCTTTTAGTGGGTTTTAAATAAATTCTCTTCTGTGGGCTCTTCTACGTTCCATGGAAATCCCCCAAAACTCCCAGGCTTTCCTATTCTAAAACACCGTGAGAAGTGTCGACAACAGCAACGTTGAAGCATCACTTAATCAATTTTGATTATTATTTTCATTACAGAGAGACCTATAACGCAACACAAGGTATTCAAAAACTATGCTTCCATGGGTAGGTGCGAATAACAGCCCACTATAATTTTTTGTGCATTCCAGAAGCTAAGCCAACTAAGACACAAACAAGGCCAATCGGAACACAAAGGGTCATACACTAATGTAGGGGCCCCATTGCTTTTAGCACGATCAATGAGTCACAGACCGTGCTCATACGAGATCTGCACGTACTAGCACTGGTACATATATTGTGTCCAGCAACATCACAATTGAGGAATGCTGCAGGTTGTTACAGTCCTGTTCGAGGCACATTATCATGTTCTTCTCCAGCCTGCTCTGCAGCCTACTGCAGTGCATTTTATTTATAACATGCATTTTTCCTATATGTTTCGCCCACAGACTTGTGTTCTACAGCAGGACTCGAAATGTTACAGGAAGGATAAAAACAAAATCGGCTGAAATTGCCTCATTTAATTGCTAACAATGAGCTAGGAATAGACAAAAATCAATACATTGATTTTTTTTGCCCCAGAGTAACCAGATATTCACATCAGAAGACACTCAAACCATATAATTATATAAATGATTCATTTAGGTAATCCTTCTTTCCTAGAACAGTAATTGACTAGAATAACCTGCCCCCCCAATGTCGTTAATGCAGCCATCTATTTTGATTTTTGCAATGTTCTTTGTCAATGATGGCACCATAAAATAGTTCTATTTATGTGTTTTTTAGTCCTGCTATGACCTCCGAAGGCATTAAGAGTATGAATAAACAAAACAAAACTAGACGACTGACCCTGCGACAATGACACCTGTCCGTCTGCAACTGTTGCTTCCATACCCAACCACCAGGATTGAAAAAAAAAAAAAAATTGTATTCTTTAGGTGGCTTTTGCGATGAATAATGTTGTCATTTCAGGGACACTCCAATGCACACAAACAGCGTAGGAAGGCAAAGAGGTCCACCAGAGAAGTCTGTAAATGGCTAGAGGAGAAACCCGCCTGCTTGAGGTGGTACAGGAGGTGGCTGCCCTCAGGCTCGGGAAGCGGGGGCAGGTCCTCAACCCCGGGCGGCTTGATGACGCTGTTGGAGTCCAGGTCCACAAGCCAGACGTCGTCTGGCAGGCAGAACGACCGCTTGAGCTTGAAGAAGGTGGCCGGCACGCCAATGATGTACGGCGTCGGCGCCAACAGGAGCTGTCCCACACAACCATGAAGAACCGTCGGACAATGCTCGCAACACAAATGAATGTCAAGACGCGAAAATGGACAACGCAGGTTCTATCTTAGCACACCAGACCTGTGGAGTTCAGAGATGGCTATGTTGAAGCATGTGAGCACATTTGTCCTCCTGTAGCAGCCTATGTCATAGCCCGGTAGATAAATTATATTGTGTGCTCTCCCAGAGCTCGAGCACTGTTCACAATGCAAATTAAGGTCAAAACATGAAAATAAACAACAAAACAGTGAACAATATTGCAAGTTCCCAACCCAGCACACTGGACCTATGAAATTCAGAAACGAATATGTTGAAGTATTATACACCAGTTTACTTTTCGCCTCGTTGAAGCATCTCGCAGTTAGGTAAATAATTTTTGTTTAGCTCTCTCGGAGAGACATCTGTTCCGGTTTTGAGACTTCCCTCAAGAGCCAAACCTCAGCTCCTCCCTCCAGCCATTGTAACCTTCTCAAGTGTTTCACACACTAAAAGAACCTTGAAAAACCACTGACACCCAGAAACAAGTGCGCCGCAGCCCCTGCCTGTTTCAATCTCGGTGAGCATATCATACCATCATGCAATCACTACTGCTAAGATGCATACTAAAGGCCCCAAGTTTGCAGTCATACCGCACTGACTAAGTTTCTCTTCTACAGTGGAGACATCAGACGGGTGAGGCAGACTAACTTTTTACTGTCAAAGCGTCATGCAACGAATTTAACCTTTTTTTTTAAGAGTGCATGTATAATTTTTTGTTTTTTTTAAATATAGCATTTACTTTTCGATTACCTGCTGACGGACACTTACAAGCTCCGGCTCACCTGTTCTGCAGAAGCCATGCACGTTGGTAAAAGCGGGATCACAGGGAACATGTACTCCAAGGGGTAGATCATCGTAACGAAGGCCATGACGCTCATAGACAGCGCGTTGTAATCACGTGACTGGAGCACCAGCTGTAAGGATTAAAGTTACCTCAGTTCATGCACTGTCAAGCTGGGTTAACATTTCCCCAGAGTACCCCTCTGGAGCTACCCGAGCTCCCAAATTTCCTCGGCCATCTCTCCTGCCTCTTAATGAAGTGTCCTTCCAGTTTATGCGCTATTATGAATATCCAAGCCCATTATTAATGCATGACTGCCTATGCACCACACACTCCTCAATACATTTACGAGGTCTGCTTTTGCACTGTTGCACTGCATCAATACCGTGGGTAGGAGGTGACCCTGAGCTATCAATTAAGAGCATTCGTCAAGATTAATAAATTTTGAGAACCCTTGCCTAAGCTAATAATGCCCAAACTGGAGAGCGATATACAAAGAACCCTTGTACCACTGCTGAAAAACGAACTTCCCAGAAAGCAATTTAGCTTGATTCAGAACGCTTTGGGGGCTATGCCTAATTCTGGAGCTCCAGTGATTTAAAATCACTCAACATTCTACCGGTGCATAGTCCGCAAAAACAAATATGGGGTAAAAAAAGACGTCTCTGCTTAGACAATTTGCACGCCGTGCACAGCCTTCACTTAGTGCCTAGTCTAAACGTAAAAATGATCACACATAGCACACCTTGACAAATGTCTGCTGTATTGGCTCACAAAGGAGCCTGTATCATACGTAAATCAAAATTAATGTACTCCATTATTCATAAAATCCTTCACATCTTGTCGCAGTGACCGATCTAGAAAAACAAATCCTTGTATAGACCGCACCTGTGGATAGTCCGCATTGGGTAAAATTTCAACTTTCATGTACAGTCAGTAAAATATGGTAAATTTGTAAGGGACATGTAATCATACTTCATGTGGCTCTCTTACGCTAACTCTGCGCGACATGTCATGGTAAAACGTGAGTCATAACTAGAGATGCTGCAAACTTTTTGCAAACCTGAGGTTCGAAGATCGAACCGAGGGGTTCGAGAGGTTCGCAAAGTCTCGAAACGCAGCATTTATTACATAAGACATTCAATGATTTTCAAACTTTCAATTTTTCATGCTTTGAAATTTGACATTTTCGAACTTGCTACGCTAAGAAATTCTACGATCTCCCAACTTTCGACCCTGGCGAGTTCAAGAGTTCGACAAACTTCGGCCTTTCGAACAAAAGTCAGACAAATTTTGAACCCAGCTCACCCCTATTGGTTTGAGGTAACGAATATTAAAAAAATTACAGAAGGATGCTTAAGACTGCTTACATGTAGGAAGGCAAAAGCATAGTCCCGTGGGTGAAATATTTTCAAGTAATGTTTCTACACGTATTAAAGTTTAGGACGATTTATAGGACAACATCGTAGAGATTGACACCAAGTACGGCATCTAGAATGACATCTAGGACGTCAAGAACGACGTCTAGGAGGACCTCAAGGACGATGTCTGGACGAACTCAAGGACGGCGCCAAGGACAGTACCGTCCTTGAGCATACAATTGAGTGACGCGTGCTTGATGACATATTTTTAAGGCCATCTTTTGGGCACAAAACCGCCGCTTTTTTTGCGAAATGGGACAAGTAAAAGTTCCTTAATAACGCAAGATGTCAATCTGTGAAGTGGAGTTGATTTCGCATTCAGAATCTTACCATTAGCTGATCGTGCTACAAACGACGCGCTTGTAAAGCGCCAAATGATCGCCTTGGGGTGGACTCGGGCTCATACCTATAGTCGGTGACAGGTCAAGAAAGAAGTGGAAGCTCCTCCCACCTCTTTCCACTTTAGTAGAGCGAACCCTGGAGAAGAGGCGACCTCCTCTCCACCATTCGCTCTACCAAAGGGGAGAGAGGTGGGAGGGGCTTCCACTTCCTTCTTGACCTGTCACCGACTATAGTTCATATCACATGAGCGAATGACGTTTTAGTGAACAGCGACATTTGAGCGAATCGACGTTTTAGCAAATAACAGAACGCGTGTTCATGCCAGTACCCGTTGTGGGGGGTGCATTCAGTATGCGAGTAAATACGGTATAACAATGTGGGCCGTAGAGTTATTATCCTGTACATGAATCTTAAATAAATTCGAAATGTTTCGATATTTCAAGCTATTGACACAAAATTCTATATCTTCGAACTCATACTTTCAGAAACCTTAACATTTTTTTAATTATTCTAATCCGAACCTCAGCGAAGTTATAAAGTTGCAAACTTTTCAAATTTGAACCTTAGCGAGGTTCAAAAATTTCAAATCTTTAGGACCCAAACTTTGGGAGGTTTGCAGCATCCCTGGTCACAACCCTGTCAAATGTGAATGCTTGAAAGAGCTTTAGGAGCTCAATAAAAACGTCCCCTTGCCTTGTGCTCCAAAATGATACAGGTGAGCACTTTCATGCAGGTGTCAACACCCAAGAGCTCCAAAGGTAGATGCAACGGGAAGTCGACCAAGGAGAAACGTGTGTGGTCCGGAAGTGCAAACACCAGTGGCCGTTCCACGCTTCTAGGCAGTATGGCAACCTGCGTAAACACCCACACCAGGACCCAAAGGCAAGCTTTATTCTACAATGCCCATTACCACACTAGACGTCTCGAGCTATAGCGATAACTATAATCCTTCGAAACAGAGTCGTCAAACAAAAGGTGGAGGAAGGAATACCAGCACAACATCAATGTCTACCTAGTCAGATAGACTAATTATTTAAGCTAGAAAAACAAACATAAGGATGGTGCTCCTTTGAGGAATACAACACAAACTTAAAAAAACAAGTTTCAAGATGCCTACAAAAACTGAGATGAGAACGCTCTGCTTTAGTAAGCTGTACTGAACAAACGAATGAACACCGAGATGGGCAAGAGGCACACCTTTTAACATGCTCAAGAGTGCATAAAATTTATATAAATTTCCTAGAGCTACTGAGAAATGAGGCAAACATTTGGAAAAAATAAGTTGTACCTAATTGAAGGACTACTGATCTCAATACGGTAGGCTCATGAAAATTCAAACTCTAATATATCATAGTCCTGGTTAATTTAAACAAATTTTAAAATGTCAGTTGTGTCGTTACGTTTTTAATGTATTCGTAAGCCGCTTAAATCGAACAGCGTGTTCGTGCAATTCAGACTCTGTTTGCGCGGCCCCGTTGAGTGCGCTTCTTTCCTAGCACACCGGTGCTAGGAAAGAATTCTGCAGGGCCGTTTGCCGGCCCTGCAGAAAAGCAACATCCGCGGAGCTCGCTTCTGCGAGTGTTGCTTCTTTGCAGTGCACCGGTGCTCGGTGAGAAGCGCACTCAGCGGGGCTCAAGCAAGGCACAAATGAGCTATGAAAACAGGCACCATGCGGAAATTTCCACAGCAACTTAAGCGGATGCTGTGACGTGGCAGCACTTCATAGGCCCACGTCATAGCATTCGCGCAAGTTGCTATGAAAACTGTCGTGCAGTGCCAGTTTTCATCGCTCATGTATATGTCCCCTGCTTAATATTTCACATTAGAAACTTCTTGGTCTGATTAACTTATTTTTGTTTTGAGTTGTCATGTGCTGTCTAAACAGTACCAGATAAACAACATTTTTGAAGGATAAATAAACTTATGTCTTATTTTACAAATGTTTCATGTGTGGCATACCAGCTTATTACCAGCAGGCCTATGTAAACGAAATCATCAAATATCTGCTCTGTATGTGTAGCCATTCATATGGCAAATCATAACTTTCTCTCACAACATATTTAGATGAATTTCTGATAATTCAATCAAAATGCATGGCTTCCTGGACTGACACCATGAACTAGTTGCATAAAAGAATAGGTTGCAAAAAAAAAACGCACAAACATAGAGGACAACTAAACAAGCCCAATACTAGAAGTATGGCCAAGACAACAGATCTTCAGCACTGTGTTTTTAGTTCTTCTCTTTCAAGCTTAATTAATGCCTTAGACATTGTAATGTCTAAGGCATTAACCTCTGTCATAAAGAATTAGGACAAAGGGAAGGACAGAACGCACCTCAACACGTGTCTTGCCAGGCACGGGAACGGGGGCGCTCAGAAGCCTCAGCATCCACGTCTCAATCTCCCTTACTTCGTGGAGGACGGCGCTCGAAATACCTTCCACGACACGGCCCAGAAACACATTCCACACACTGTCTCTGAAAAGAGAGGAAATACACATAGAAATAGATCTAGCAGTAGCCTCTGATGTCCATCACATCCCACAAAATAAGGGCAGGTAATGGTTCACGAGACCAGTGCATTTACATGCCAGTACATGTTTTTGAACCAGTAAACATAAAAGATGCTAGCGAGAACATGTACTCACGCTAAACTGCAGTAGAATAAAACTACCCTAAAATGCTGAGCAAGCACTCAAGCAAAGTTTGGAGATATACCGAACCCCACTGCATCTTCATTCATAGTCACCAAGCATTACAGCAAACTTGTAAATAGCCTTATTTATTTATTGCTCTTATTTGGTGTACTAAGCCACCTGGTACAGGCCGCCGGCCTTTCTTATACACCTCAACCCTCCTGGGTTCGAAATAAAGATTAATATTATTATTATTACTCAACCACGAAAAACTGGGGAGGGGACGGGACACTAACAGGGTATTCATGCTTGCGAAGGTTTTTATTTGCACAGTCGCCTAATTTTTTAATAATATCACGCGAGCATCGACCGCCGGGACGGGCAGTGCTGTGGAGAAATGCGGTGTCACGGGAGAGATTAAGCGCGTGCGCACAAAGCCCTTTCCGGGGAGCGTCGTCTGCTAGGCTATTCCGCTGATCGTACACAGCCCCTTGCTTTGTAGCAAAGGAGCGTGTTGCACTGTTTGTTTATACTCCGTTTCACTTTGTGTTGTACCGCAGCCAACGCTACGAGCCACCTTGGCCAGTCCATCACTAAGAGTGTGTCACGTGGCCTTCCTGTTAGGCACAACTGCACGTGGAAGCACGATGTCATGTGGCAGGGTGACAGCGCTAGATTGGTTTTGATGGCTCGTAGCATTGGCTGCGGTATATAGTTTAATGCATCGTTGCATTCAGCTTGTCGCGTAATCCTTTTTTTTTTTGTTTTTGGTGCTGACAAAGTAAATGCAAACAAAAAAATAAAAGAATAAAAAAAAAGACTAAACTAACGAGATGACGCACGGTTTCTTTCACGCCTGAGCAGTATCACGGTATCACGCAAGCAAGCACTCTTCAGATTTTTGCTTAAAGGCAGTCAGCTATGCCAGCAGATAAGGAACAGGGGCTGTGTGCGGTCCACAGAACAGCCTAGCGGACGACGCTCGCACCAAAGAGAGCTTTGTGAGCACGCGCCTGATCTCTCCCGTGACGCCGCATTTCTCCACAGCACAGCGCTGGCCGTCCCGGCGGTCGACAGTCGCGTGATATTATTAAAAAATTGGGCGACTGTACATGACATATGAGAGCCCAACTTTCCAGACCACAATTTGCAGATCGAAATTCGTTTTCTTTCCGCTCAAAAACTGCCAATCGAGAACTGGCCGGCTTTAGTTGCGCTCACTCTCTTCTCTGTGGTCATGTGTTGTTTTCAATGGTTTAGACACAACCACCAAAGATAATCAAAGTTGTGGGTCATCGAAAGCACACACTCAACACTAAAAATAGACAGCAAATATGATACCCATTTTTTGTGGCTGCTAAAAAGTTGCAAATATGTTGACTGAAAAGAAAACGTTGCACAGCCACGTGACATCCGGTAATTTTCTCCTGCTCTATATTTCCTCTTCCTCCCCAGTCCAGTTTCAGTTTTGAGCAGTTGCATTTTTTTTACTTTATTAATAATATATGTGACGCTCTAGCAAAATTGATTGGGTAGTCTACCGACACCATAATAGATCGCCTAGCAAATAATAAAAAAAAATTAAAACCTTTTTGGGGGTGTCAGTGTCTCTAAGTTTGAGGGCAAAAAGGCAAGAGGCACAATGTAGGGTGGGCTCCACCACTTTGAACCTGCATGTGCAGATTAAGCTTCACTACTTCGCCCCGGTGTGCTTGGACAAGTGACTCACACAGGAGAGCATCTCGGTTAACTATAGGTGAGGTCAGAAGACTAAAGTGGGTGCTTGGTATGTCCATTGCTTATCTTCAAACGCTTCGGAAGTAGTGGGTGGGCACTTCTTGTGGCATGGCTGCATGCTTGGTGTTTTGTGGTAGCTTCTGTGCTGCTGCTAACAGACACTAGACCCCAAAGAATTTAACTTTGCATCATTTTGTTTTTGAAAAAACAATGCAGTCCTTTTCAGTACCACCTAGGAAGACCGCACAAAAAATATTACGACCTAGTTCTGCCCAAATGTGTTTAAAACAGTCCGGCAAACTTTGCAATGCGTCAAGTTGCCGAAATTGGCTGACTCTAGCAGGCGAATTGAGGCGCAACCAACAATGCAGTCAAGGCTATAGACCTTTTCATCTCAGTAGTTACCCAACCAGTGGACAGAAGGTGCTGACACATGCGGCATCATAAGGTGGCTTCAATTTGGTTGGTTTCGGTTTCAGTAGGCTCGCTGCTGTGTTAATGTGTTCAGACATTTTCGCTTAGTTTTGTGATATAAATATATCCATTGTGGTACAGAACCAATGATACAGTGGTAATGGGCCACCTTGAGAACTACAACATAGTTACATGCCTAAATTGTGGACATTTTGATGAACACCTTCCTCTAATCATGGTCATTGTTCGGCTAAGTTCTGCAGTGAAACGAATGTGATGATGCCGAAGGGGGATTAGCTATGTCTATGGCCGTACTGGTCAAACCCACTGGTACCTGTTTCCATAAAAATAAACTAATGAAGAGACTAATGCATGGAGGCACAGTGAAAAAGCAGGTTGACGACCTGACTGACGATGTGCTCAATCGCACAGAATAGATGAACTCGCAAGTTTAGAGCTGCACTGTTCGGTTTTCGAAGACACAATTATTTTGTGAAAATTGCCCAACAGGAAACTTCCCTGTAATGACACATGGAATGCAAGAAAGAAGCGATATTGTCTTCATCGGTTTCTTTAAAGAATTTAAGTACTCAAGAGATGTTTTAATGGCCCATCCTAGGCAGAGTAGGAATTTTTTTTTCAACTATCAGCCCTGCTAAAGTATTTTAGCGGCATTTCCTAATGTTGACCTTAGAAAATTATTTGTTACACTGACATTTCCTGACAACGTATTGAGCATATGAGAAAAGGGACAAACCCATCAACAGAAGTCCGACGTCTGTTTTCCGTAATTTGCAAAATAAAATTAAATGGTGCAAGATAATTTACCTCCAGTTAGCTTGGCTCCAAGTCAAATGCCAAGCACCACTTCATGGATTTGTGAGGATAGATATTAATCTGTTTGAACAGATACGCTTTTTAATGCAAAAGCATTAACTATCCCATGGAGCAGAGCAGGCAGCATCTGTAACCGCAAAAAAAAAAAAAGCGAAAGAAATGCCCATTCGCCCATTGGCTGAAATTAATGGCTCCTAGATAGCCACTGGCCGCCGCATCACCAGAGCGCGTGCTCAGCTGCCACTCTCGTGTCAGGCATTGCCGGGGGGGGGAGGGGGGAGGGGGGGGGGGTTGCGGCCACTTCTGCTCCTTTCAGCACTGAGGAACATGGCGGCACCTGAGGCATCTATATATCGTCGGGGGCCGCAACCTTGGCAATAGCGAAACGTGGCCGTCCATGCCACTACACTGCAGACGAACTAAGAGAGAGGAAGAACGACATTCATGATTTTGCATTTGCACCTCATAAGAGGTGTTTAGGTGTCCTTGGAATTTTTAATTTCAGCGGCGTTGAGAGTAAATTCGCATCGACAATGCTGCACTCGAGAGATTTCCATGCAGACGGCTTTCTGGCGTCGCATATTGTGTGCCTCAGGTGCTTTTGACAGGCATTCACAAAATGTCTTCGACATGTTTTTCACCCGGGGAGCCAACCCTGTGTGTCTAAATAAATTAATTGAATTGGATATCTTAAGAAAATTTTATGACTGCAGACATGAGACCGGGCACAATGTATAGTTCCTTTAAATTCATAAATAAACAATGTTTATACTGAAAAAATGATTCATCCATGTATTCAAAAGCAATTATTTTGGACCTGTTATTAACTCAGGGCATGATGCTTTCAAGAAACACACATAGTGACTCCTAGCATTGATTATATTTGCTTTCTTTAAGATCATAAATGTGTGATCATAAATATATAATGCGCTTCTTATTGCGCCACTAGCAATGGACCTTTTCCGAGAAGCGTTCTGCGCACGCGCGAGCGCCCGATGCCAAGCGGCGGAAGTCGGAACGAAAAATCGAGGAAATTTGGAAGGAGGCTGTATATCAGCGAGTAGAACACGTAACTGCAGCATATATATAATTGTGTTACACAAAAAAAGAACGTCGACGGAAAGGAAAACACGACGTTTGGGTGGACGCCACGGATGCCCCTCTTTCAAGTCGCGTTGGGCAGGCGCCGCTGCTCAGAGGGCGAAGAAACTGGTAGCGTAGCTCCCATTATATCGATTGGTAGCGCAGGTAGGTAACTTCCTCAATTTTTAGTTCGTGCAGCCACCGCCTGGTGACGTCGGTATGTGGAAAAGGTCCATTCACCACAATCCCCTAAGCAAATTTGCACTGTCATAAATCATTGGCCTCTCCACCCTTGTCTGTCTTAGAGACATCTGAACACTCAATGTGCACCAGTGCTATGGCCGACTCCTTTCCTCACACATATCCAGTACGCCGACGGTGGAAATAGTCGTAACCTGTTATAAAATAAATTGCAGAAGTTGTGCACATAATGATGGCATGCAGTTAGGTAGTAAAAATCAGTATCAGACGACACTTTACAAAGCAAGACAAAAAATTACAGTAAAACGTGACAAAACAAATACGCCTTCGCCAAGGTGCAAAGGGGAGAGGAGCAACAATTTGGAGCCACCTTATGGCGTCCGCATCACATCATTCCAAGATGGCAGCGCCCGTGCGACGAAGGGTGAAAAGGTCTAGTGTGTTGGCGTAGTCAACATTGAGCTAAACGTCATCAGCACTGTTTCGATCTGTTTGTTTTTATTTCTCCGGGCAAGCGTAACGGGTGACGTCAGCAACATTTCCTCTTGGCGCTCAGCAGTGTCCACTTATTGGTGTTTATCTGCCTGTGCAGCGCACTTCTTGGGAGCCGTCTGGCTGTCCCACTGTTACCGCCTTCTCCTGCATCTTAACCGCCATCATTGTCTCACCGTTCGTCATTATTGTCTCTAAGGAGTTTCGTTCATGCTACATGCGCAGACTGATATCGCTGTTGTGCAGACATCGTCGAATGATGTAGACACAAAATGTGGTGAAGAGTGCGGTGCAGACGACACTTCCGCCTGGCATACGCCTGCCCCAACGGTGGCCCACTGGCCTGCCCCAATTCTGCCCGCCGCTGCGTAGCGGATAGTGTGACATCTCGTACCTCGTGATAGCCATATTTTTGGCGGCCCGAGGTCAATGTTGCCGGACGGAGCCAAAGCTTCGGTTTCAATTTCTGCTCGTGTACAAAGTAAAATTTAACAATATAATCCCATTTTCCTAAAAGCGAATGGCAGAGTGCCTTTTATTAGGGCTTTTTAATGTGAAATCACTCATTATACACAATTTTTGGAATTGATCGAAGTTGCCTTTTAAACAACGTCAAGGGCAAGACTCGGTCCACCATACACTTCAAAGAAGTCCATTGCTTTTACCTGGGAACTACAACATTTCATACCTTTAGACAACATCCTAGACCTCCAACACCTCGACATCAACTTATAAATCCGGTGGCCCTTGCCTCGCTTGACATCGATATGGGTCATCAGCCTAACAAAGTTCCTAATTATATACTATTTCAATGTGCATAAAAAGTTTTCTCACACATGACAAACTACAAATGATAACTTAGGCTGTGATGACCAAATAGAAAAAAAAGATAGCATAACAAGCGTATATGCCTAGCACCGCAGAAAGATCAATTTGTAGAACCGTCAGCAGGTGTGTAGAGAAACAAACTGAGCGAGTACGGCTACTGCCAATCTTCCGTACCACGGTATTTCTCGTTGACACAGATTGGCACACTCGTTAAACGTCAAGTCGACCGGTTGGTGCACTCACCTGCCCGGGGCCTTCCCCGCCATCCTCAGACCAAACAACAGTCTCTCGTTGGACGAGTCCAGGAGCTTCCTGAGCGTGAAGAGGCACTCTCGGAACGTTGAGAAGAACGGATGGTGGCTGATGATGCACAGCGAGACAAGCGAGTGGCTCGACAGCCGCTTCCGCCGGGCCGGTACAGGGGGTGCCGGACCCGCCTCCGGCGGCAGCACCACGTCCCCGCCCTCGAAAGAGGACTGGTCCCCGGAGCCCCGCGGGAACCCATCTGCCCGGTCTATCGGCCGGTAGAAGTTGACGCAGATGCCGTAGCGGACACGGCTGGTGTCTTTCTCCGTCAGGGCGAAGACGAAGGGTGTCGACTCGCGCAGGCTTGTGCGCCGGGCGCCCAGAAGGATGCAGCCCTCCGGCTGGCAGAAGAAAACCACATCCAGCGGAAGCGGGAAGTCTGGGTGGTCCTCCGTTGGGTAGCGGCGCAGGAGTTCCGGCGGCTGCACCGGGGTGGTGCGGCTGGGCTGGCGCGCTCCAGTGATGACGATGTAGTCTAGGAGACGGGGACTGAAGTACTTGCGGGTGACATCCATCGGGTGCACGTGACTCGGCTGCCCTCCCTCCCCCCTCGAGTGGAGGTGGAGCGCACCTCGCCGCTTCCTCTTTGGTTCGCTTTACTTTGTTTCTCGAGTTGCCTTCTTTTATTTCTTTTCTGTGCAGTGTCGTGTGCGGAGGTAGGTTTCGATCGGAACGCGATGTCGCCGGCTCCAAACCAGAGCCACCAGGAAAGCGTGGCGGAGTAACGGCGACGGACGATATGTACACGAGCCTGGTCTCAAGGAGCCCGCGGGCAAGTCGAGGCTTGGAGGGTGGGCAAGTTTAAAACGAAAAGTCTCGCTTAAAATTGATGGGAAACTACGGGAAGATTTACGTCTTGCAAAATGATTAAACTAAACATAAAAAAGTAAAGTTAAAGAAGCGGTTTCATCTGTAGTTATCTGTTGATGTAGATGGTGCGTGCCGGCTGCCGCATGGCTGTTATATTGCTGATGAACACTGTCGCTCGGAAGATGGCCCACCGCGTCTCCTCCGGAAGTGCTGTACCCACTGTTGCCATGGCTCAATCATTCCTTTGACCTGCACGAGGAAGAGTAAAAAAAAAAAAAATTTGTTTAAAACAACCGCAAATGGAGGAAAAATTGACAGAAAATGGTATCAAAGTCAAATCTGGGGGTTTTACGCCCCAACGAAGGACCGAGGATTAATTTAGACAATATCTGAAGATCTTTCGACGTGCGCGACCAAAATCTCGGTTACACGACACTTTCTTCGTTGCAGGTCAGATTGCAGGTGCCTCGCTAGGAAAGGGATTCGAACCAGCTACCTGGGGACCCGTAGGCTGCAGCTTTGCCTCGGAGCCACCGAGGCGGATGGAAAACGTTTACGGTGCCACGTTTTTGAATAAAATTCGAAAAACACAGAAGAACAATCGCCGGTAAAGCTTTCGTCGATACCGATTTGTCCCTAAAACTCTGAATTCTGAGGTCACGATGGGAAAATAAAAAGCAATGAAAAGCAAAAAAAAAAGATGCAAGTACTTTACAAAATTGAGTGAGAGGACAGGTTTGTGGTCCTGAGGTTAGGTCACTTCAGTTTCCTTTAAAATATCGGACCACCATTGACAAGAGGGAGACCAGTATTTATCTCGTCAAGGTTTGCCCAGAACAATGGGCCACTGCACTTCTGAGCCACGAGAAAAGCCACTCCGAGTTTCCAGTTTGGAGAATACTACCTGCATTTCTTAGGGAAGGAGGGGATTGTGTTTTTATAGCAGTGAAAACTGCAGATTTAATAAAAGCAGAGGGGAGGGAGGGGGGGCAACTGGAGCCTTCTTGCTTCCCAGCAACTACTACATCCTGGTGTTTAGTTATTTCAGAGCATTGATGTTATTTCAAGCAACACTACTTTGCAAGAACTGACACCAATGCCAGGTGCAGCTGCAAACATGTCGTTTGATCCAGGTGAGTTGTTATGATTTTAGTGTATACTTGTGTCCAAATATTATTAATTTTTTAATACTGAAAAATTGGAAACAGTAAAATTAATCTCCAAATTTCGGGGAATTGGGAATCTATAAAAGTGAACTCCGCTAAACCCCGGATATTCAGCGAAAAATAAACTCAAAAAACGTCCTCCAAATTTTACGCAAAATAAACTCCGAAAACACAGAATCCTAAAAAATGTTATTACGACAATGAATGTGTGCAGAAATTGCAATAATCCTTACTGGATGCTGTCTGAAAGGTGCAGGCCTCTGGATTGTTGTTCATTTGCCATTTCTAACAATCTCATCTTCATTAAAGAATTATGAAAGTAAAAAATCTAGATAGAGTAGACTATTTTTTTAATAATTTATTTAGAAGTGAACAAAGAAGAAAGACAAAGAATATTTTCAATGTGTCGACCAGAAAATTTTTAGATACGGATTTCGTGGGTGGTAATTCTTTTAATATGTTTAGTAATATATTTAGTAATAATTTTAACCTTGTGATATGGGGCAGCACAACTAAGTCAACGCTAAACTTGAGTATGAATGCTCTACATTCAGGAATAGAGATGCCGCTAACTTTTTTCGAACCTAAAGTTCAAAGGTCGAACCCGGGGTTCGAAAGGTTTGAGAAGTTTCGCCTTGGCGAACTTTTGCGTTTATAAATTGTATCATTTCAAACTTCCGAAATTCTTATATTCGAAAATTCGATTATTTCGAACTTACTGCATTAACAAATTCACAAAGTTTCAAACTTACTAAATTTAAAAATACGACGAATTTCAAATTTTCTAATTTATTTCTTGAAAAGTTTGTAAAGTAACATAGCTCTAGAACCGCCATCTTGAAAAGTTTGACGAATTGTGAATCTCATCAGGATTCAAAATATTGCGCCGAAGCTTTTATTCGTTGTTCCACTACACCAGTTCTTGCCTATCTTGCATGTTGTTGGCAAGCCTCGATTGGCAACTGCACCGACTTCGCTGCTGTGCGTCGCGGTGTGATTCGAGTTTAGTTTCACTTTGCGACTTTTTTTACCTTTTCGGCGAAGATCCAACGATCGAGCATGGAGCAGGCTGACATACATCCCATTAAAGGAACCAGGAAGCAGACTCTCAAGATAATGAATCGTTTCTCTACAGAGTTGTCTTGGGTGACTGATGTGATGTGTGCTCATTTTACCTCGGTCCTGAGGGGAGAGATCTGCAATGACATTTCTGTTTATTCTGTGCATTTTTTTTTTTCCCTAAACGCTGTCTTCAGAAAGTGCAGCTTTCACAACCTCATTACATGTTTTACCTGTAAAATTTTAAATCAAATTAAAATATTTTTCAAAATATAAAAAATAAAAATTGCACGAAGTTTAAATTTGTTTATAAATAATTTTCTTTTGCAGTTCAACGCACACAAGAATGTGAACCCTGTAAGAGCTCTAGAAATAGTGTACATGCATTCAAACAAATCTGGCCATAAAGGAGGAAAATACTGCAGGACAAAAAGCCTGACATTTTGAGCGAACTAAAGGGCCCGAGCGTCACCACTTTGTTGAAAAATTAAAAGGGAAGAAAGTGTTCAAAACTCTCAATTAAGATGCCCGGTTCTTCAGCAGGAATTTCGGGATTTCCTTGTAGCTGACTCTTCTGCACCCAGCTCTCAAGGTGGCACCTGACAGAAGCTCTTCTTTAGCTATATGGTCTATACATCTTTAAAAGAAAGTCTAGAAAGTTTGTGCGTATGGCACGTGTTTTCCTCGCTTTCCTGGGAGACGCACATGTGCGTGCGGGGCTGTGGAGCAGTACACGCTGAGCTGTTGCTTGGAATAGGGTGCTTTCATGTGCGCTTTGCTTAGGGTGATGACATCTGACCATTTTTTTTTTTATTTTTTGCTCTTGAGTGCGAGCAAGCGCGTCTCCCAGACGGCACGAGCTCTTGGCATTGACAGTGCTATCTATGGCGGCAGTTTGTAACCGCTTGCTGAATTTCGCTGTGCTTTGGTTGCATGTGCACGCTTGTGTTAGCAAAGGCAGAAAAATCACACTGAAGGCAGAGCAGTGAATGAAGTAATTCTGAGACGGCCTTCTTCCAAATGAACAGCGCGCGAGCCACAACATGGAGAAGGCTTTCGACTCTCGAGCCTAGTCCACTGTCCATCACTGTTCCATCGGAGGAAAAGAAACACAGACAGATAGCAGTACAAAGCGCTCGAGTTGAGAACCTAATTTCATGACCAGTGTTTGAGTATGTGCATTTAGGTTGACTGTACGCAGTTCAGTGTACATACAAAGCCTTGTTTATGATTGACGAAGTAGCTTAAAGATAAACAAGGCAGGATGCATCTGGGGAGCCTGTTGAACCGCATTTTTTGGGGCCTCGAGTTTAGTCGTTGAGTGCTCCTTGCGCTCTCGCTGTGTCAGGTTCTGTATTAATTCTATTCTTGCCTGTGGCCCAGTATTTTCTCCGTCCCAGGATCCATAGACCTCCAGAGAAATAGCCCGCCTTCAAATGAGTGTCTCTTTCCCACCAGCCAAAGGTTGTGGCCAGTATCGAGTAGCACCGAAGTAGCGAACACTAAATTAACTATACGGCACGTGCAAGATTTATAGTAAAACTTCTGGAGCTTAGCTCGCGATATTTATGGGAACTCCGGTCTTCGTGAGGTTCGAAGGCATCACTTCACAAACTTGGGCTCCGAAAAAATTATATTAAATTATATTTTTTCGAAGTTTTCAAACCTAAGGCTCAAACAAGTTTGAAATTATCGATTTTGCGAACCTGAATCATAGAAAGATTGAAACTGTCAAATTTTGCCAACCTCAATGTTAAAAAAAATATTGAAACTGTCAAACTTGAAATTTTAGAAGTTCGATGACTTCGAACTTAACGAAATGAAACCTCTGGGAGGTTCGAAAATTTCAAAAACTGTCGAATTCGAACTTTGGGAGGTTCGTGACATCCCTATTTATTAATAGTCGCTATATAACAAAGCTGGTAGCTTATAATAATAATAGCATTCTTTACCATAGAAATATAGCTTGTTCCAATAAAAACAAAATTAACACTGAAATTTCGCCTGATGAAAGTTAATGCTATAGACATGTGCTTAGAGAAAAAAATACAGCCTAATTCATCACTCTGTAGCACAACTAACTGTCTTCGCTAAAACACGCGTCAGAAGCGCCGTTGTTCTGTTTCTGTTCAGCAAATTCATTCCGTCCTAGGGCTGTTAGTGAATCTTGCGCATCCAATGTATAGACGCTTTGCACATGCGCCAGATTACAGCCGCCACTGCTGACATTCTCTTGTCTTACCCAGATGCCGAGCAGGTGAAACGGGCACTGACAAGCGTCCACAAAGGACAATGCTAGGGAAAACGACATGGTAGAATCTAAAATGGCAATAACCTGCCCTGCTGTGGTCATGAAGTGAAGTAAACTTGATAAACGTGATAAGAGGAAACAAAAGTTGACGGTCAATTATGGTGGCGTCCAAGCACGGTTGCTGCAAAGCATATCAATCCGATTTATTTTTTATTTATTTATCAGCTTAAAGAACAGAATGCCAGATTACGTTAAATTGTGCTTAGCCCTTTGACATTAGAATCACAAACATGATAATTCGGTTCATTATAATGAACAAAGTTTCTCTACAGGTATGTTTTTTTTTGCTTTTAAATCAATAATTTGCATTCTATTCGAGAAAAATATGAATAACAATGGAGACTTCATTAGACAGACATTTTGGGAAGGCACTTCCCTTCTTGAAATGTGATACACACTACAGCTTGCCCAATGCAAAAACGTATTGCAATTGTAAAGTATTATACCTGAAGAAGGAAGTATCTTTCTAAAACAAATTTCTATTAAAGTATCTCTTGTCATTCAAATTGCTCTGAACACTTGCAATATCTTGATGAAAAACATTTTTTTTTGTAAGTACATTTAACGAATTTCACCAAAATTACTCCCCGGTAAAATTATTACTTCCTCCAAATGTAGCAAGAGTTTTATCTGAAAGTAATTAATTTTACTGCCAAGTAAAAAATATCACCCTATTTGTAACAGACAGTGTATGCTCTTAACACATTGCAGAAGGTAAAAAAAAATTCCGACAGAGCTGTTCTACACATGTTTATACCATGACTGAAAAATGTTATAAAACAAAATTGCAGTAGAAAAAAAAAATGATCAAGGTGGAAAGACTTTTTTAATTGGATGAGAATATGGATCAATATCAACTTATGTTTATCAACTACAGTGTCTTTGAGATTGATGGGAACCTGACAGAAAAATGGGAAAACTTTGCCCTTTCAACTTAAAAATATAAAGACCAGAACCATATGAAAACTTCACTATTATTATTATTACCACATAGCTAAAGGCCATTCACCTAGCAATGATTGCTTGAAGGACAGCAGCTAGTAAGCACCTGCTAAAAGGGTGTGGCTCCCTCCATATGGCGGCTGTGAGATGAGGTTACAAAATTCTGATCTAAACCCTTGTGGAGCCGGTATTACCGCCAATTCAAGCATTTCTGCTGTTACACAAACTTATGCAGCTGCCACCTTTTTCATTTCAAGGTAGCTCAATAGAAAGGAATTTGACTGCAGTGTCGGTTCACCTGATTTCGCAGATGTGTCTGCACTGAAATGTCCCCTAACACTGTCACTAATGCAACTTCACCAGCAGGCACGTAGCCAGGGGGGCGGCCCATGGGGCCCGGGCCACCCCGAAATCTGATTTTTCTGGGACCTCCTCTCCCCCCTCCCCCTCATACAACATTTTGTCATGGGCGGGCCCCTCCCCGAAACAAAATCCTGGCTATGTGCCTGTTCCCCAGTATTCTTTTTTTTTTTTTTTTCCACAATACCTTTAGCTTAGTTAAGGGCCAAGGCAGGATTAGGCATTACAGTATTTAGTATGCTTTTAAAAAACCAGTCTTCACTTTCATTCTTTTTTTTTTTTTTTGTATAAGGGAACATTACTAGCGATGGAAGCGGCATCTGATTTTTTTGTAACGGGTTCTGTAGCAGGCAAAATGTTGGTTTGGAGCAACCACTGATGCTTTTGGAGCAGATGCCAACATCTGTTAGTGCATCACTTGAAAATGAATTGATTGCATCCCTAAATTAGTTCATTTATGATAGTGATTAAGAATTCCTCTGATACTCGAGCTACCGTTTGCGATAAGAATAAAAGAGCATAAAAGGAACACAGTAATCTTAAATAAGGATATAGTCAGAGGTAGGTTTTATTTGCAATGGGTATTAAAACATGGCTGAAAAGTGAATCGTAAAGGAACACTTCACTAGGTAAATACTCTCTCCCCTCTCCATTTTACATTCAGTTTAGTTTGCTTAGCCTATAAACATAATTTCTGTAAAATGTCAGCACGAACCAGCATATCCACTAATACGTCTACCAATAAAAATGCGTCCTGCAAGTTTAACGAACCTACCAAACTCAAGACTCTAATATCATAAACTGCAAAAACAACCACCCAAAAATAACATAAAAGCCTACACTTGTGCCTTAAAGTTGACACAGCTCTTTAGCGGCGTAGGAACCAGAGTTACGTCAAAGTTTGCTGCTCTTTCGATCGCCAACCGCACGAGAACTACCTGACTACCGTATACATTCGAATATATATAGACCTGTGTTTTCTTCTCTCTTTCTTTGCTCAGTTATTTTTTTCTTTAAATTAGAGATTAACTTACAATTAGGACAAAGAAGGTTGACCTGTAATAATCATGAGCATAATTTCTGTGCCTACTGCGCTAAGCCAGGCAGGCGCTCCCCCAGGTCAGCTGCTGCTCCTCACACTCCGGTGCAAAGCAGTGAAGCTTGATGCACGAATGCTGGTAAGAGGCGGTAAAAGTTGATGCAAGCCGCACAAGTGCCACGGTACTCTGCAGCCAGGTAGTCTTATCAGGAGTACAAGACCCTGGATTCTGTTTTATCACAGTAGCCGCAACCGGCAATCCTACTATTTTGCAAGGTTTTCTTGGGACTCCTAGTTTGTGACACAGACAAAATCGTCTGGAAATTTAGTTAATCACCCAGCCAGAGAAGCAACCGGCCAGAGCCGCTGATGCCGGGCATCAACCGCTCTGGCCGGGTGATTGACTAAATTTCCAGACGATTTCGTCGGTGTCACAAACTAAGCGCGACATCATGGCATTTGTCATCTCCTTTAATGTGTTCTTTCATCAGCTATACAAATCAAGTGGAGCGAAAAACCCGCGACATGCGCTTTTTGTATGTGTGTTTGTGGTTGTATGTGTTCCAAGCCTTCGACTGTGCTCTGACCTAAGACGACAAACTATACCGTAAGTATAGACGCTGTGAAATTCATATTTGTACAATTTTTCTTACCTTTTGCTTCTCTGAATATTACGATCGACCAATAATAATATATTAATTTTTTTTTCTTTAAGCCCATCTTGGCAGAGGTGTGGTGCAATTCTTAGCAAAAACTGCATTTTGGTGCAAGATGTAGATTTTTCTTCATGGCACAATTTGGTGTAAATGGCGCAACACTTCTATCACTGCATTACGGGTGTAAATTGATCTGGATGGCTGCTTCTGACTGGATGAGATATTTGTGGCTTTATGTAGCATTAAATGTAAGGAAATATCACTTATAATTAATTTATCTGCTGCCTATGTTTGGAGCACTGTATATATTTACAAGGAAATTAACATAAACCATGGTGGACTCTTTTTCCTGCACACACGAAATGGTGACATGGCAGTATCAAGAAGTCTGGTGACCCTTTGCCACCTCCTTGAGGCAAGCTTAATTAAGAGCTTGACTGGTTCCACACGAATTCATTAAGCTGTCTTCCTTTCAGCTACCTAATACGCAGCTACCACATATGATGACACTGAGACAAGCAAATTCATGAAGCCGTTATATAAATAGGCACATATCCATCATGTCAAATTTCCCCCCTTAGAAATGTACTTGAAAAAGAACCTGAAAAGAAAAACAGCTGGGAAGCATAACAAAAATGTCGCAGAGGTTACACAAAATAAGATAATGTTAAAACACTGAAAACGCCGTATCCTTTTCGAAGCGCGTAATCGTTTCAGCAAGACGAGAGGTGAAGAAAAGAAAAGAAATAAAAAAAGAAACAAATCAACGTTAGAACAGATAAAAAAAAAAAGTAAAATTGCGTTTGAAAGCGGAACACACTACGCTGCCAGCGTTTTAGATACTGATCGAAGCTGAGATAAGCGTAGAGGCGCGCCCGCGTTGGCGGGTACGAAGTGATGCCCCCAATCGCTCAAGTTTAAAACCGAACCACAAAAAAGCTAATTATTTTTTATTTATTTTTTATTTTATACGCTGAAAAGGGATGTTGCTGTTGACCTAAAGCCGCGGGAAGATCCGAGTGGCACATCTGGGTCTCGTTTCGGAATTTGGAAGCGACGGACATAACCGGCGACCCCAAGCCCGGGCTCCCGACATCGAGCTAGTTAGAAAATCAATACGGGCAGCTCCGCGCAGTACCTACCCAAAGCAACGAATCACCCCCCCCCCCCCCCCCCCCTTTTTTTTTTTTTTTTTCTTCTCTTATTTGCTTGTTTGCAAGCCGTTTTTACGCTTACCTGACTGCGATTACGCCCTTCAATTACCGAACCTTCCAACCACGCAAAGAAACATCCAATGTTCGAGGTAGTGGAAGCGAGAAGGGGAAATGAACAAAAATGACAAAACCGCTCGCAGCCCGAGGGCTGCACCAGTGACGCGATAGGCGACCCCATACGTTCCCGCAAGTTGGAAGAAGGTTTGAGCTTACCACTTCGTGAAAGTGACATCTTCAGAGCCGAAGGAACCTGAAGAGGCCGTTTAAATTGGACAGAGACATTAGGGGAAAAATCAAAACCTTGCGTCGCTCGGAGCTGAAACCCGGGGTCTCCGCGCACGACAGCCACCCTTTGGCCAGAAGCGCCGCACTGCCTGCAGCGCCACCGCCTCCGACGCGACGGCAGCAACGGCAGGGACGAGCGACGAAACAAATGTAGTTACAAAAAAATAAATATATATACACACACACTATCATTCCTCGACACATTTTGGCGAAATGTACTCCCCCAAAAAGATTCGCCGCTGTATTTGCGGACACTGCGAGATGAAGTTGCAGATAGCGAGGAGTTGCGCTAGTTTACGCGGTGGCACAGGTTTCGGTTTTCCCATCGGAAAGGGCGAATCTGTCGATCGCTTGCGATCAAAACACGTTCGAACATATCCCGTTTTCTTTTTCGCCGACGTGGGCGGCATTTCCCGGTGGGGCAGAGTATGGTAGAACGTAGTTTCGTCCGACAAGCTAGGATTCGGAGTAGTCGGATGGTAGGAAAGCGCTCAACCGCGAAACAAAGCCAGTTTATCGATCCACATTACGCGGTGGTTAGTGACGTCAAAGTGCGCCGGCGCGGCCTTTCTCTGCAGTAAGATCGATTTTTGTCAAGGTCCTTATGGAAGCCAATGCGACTACAGGACAACATAAAACCGCAGAGCTGTTTGTTTTCTTTGCAGCACTTTTTTTTTTTTCAGTAAAAAACAAGAGCCTGGCGCGAATTGCAGCTGCAAATCAAGTTTTTTTTTTTTTTTTTTTTTTTTTGCGATCGAGGTTTGTTAGGGCATGTACGCGTGGCTGTGACGCAGCACAAATTTACAGCTGCTGGGTCGCGTGTACCACCTGTAGCTTTCAAAAAATACCGTGGCAAAAATGACATTTTCAGCACATTATTAGTAGGAACAAACACATGAAGTGGATCATATTCCGCAGCCCTCGTTCTCACCCAAAGGCCCGGAACTGTGTCCAGAAATGATTGAGGGAAGAACAACAGGCACCGCTTGCTGTTTCCTTGTTTGATGTTAATTTTATTTACAAAAAAAAAATGACTTGTTTCCCGAGGAAAAAAAAAAAAAAGAAAAAGATCTCGAGAAATTCACACAGGAGCCTTTTTCACGTGCGCTTTGGTACATCGCAACACAGCCAAACACATCCACGTTCTTGTTTACATTCCAAGAAAGTTTCCAAGAGACGTATCCTACAGAATCGGTTGGCATGTAAATGCAACATGTGGGGGAAGGGCAATAATACTTTCGGTATGCAACAGCTGTCTAGAGGCTTTCAGAAAATGTACAGATATCCCTGGATTACACAGCAGCTGGCATTCGATACGACATAAGACTTTTGCTGCTGTTTTGTTGATGGATATATCCCAAGCTTACAAACCAGAGCATGAAAAAAAAATTAAGGAAGAACGTAAAAGGAGAGGGAGAGCCAAGCAGGTGATGTGCGCACACACATTAACACTGAATATAGTACACCCGTTATGTACAGCTAATGACTGTTTCACGAGAAGACCAACACAGTTCCGTTTTGTTTTCTTAAGTTCTATAAACATGCATACGAGCAACACGCATACACAAAACTACACTTTACTTGTGCTTGGGAACAGGAATGAAGAAATCACTTGTCATTCAACCAAATTTATGAAGTAGGGAGAGAAGGGGGGAGGATGAAAGGGGCTTGAAATACGACAACACTCAAAACCCAAGCTTTAGTGAAACATCGGTGAAGGCACGTGACTGTCTCTCAATGTGAACCTCGCAAAAAAAGAAATGTGGGGTAGACAGGACCGATGGGTTTGTTTACTCCGCGATGTAGATACATCCAGCACACCTCCCAAAAATTATGCGGGAAAACTAAGGAAGAAAACCGGGAGAAACTTGCTCTAATCACTTCATTCTTGCCAACTGCTCATATCTTCTAGAGTGGAGCTAGGTATGTAGTTTGGAGATAGTGGCCCTCATAAGCTCATACATACAGGCGCGACTATTAATAGGTCTCGGGTATAGCCACAGAGTTCCTCTTTAGTCCAGCCAGGCACGAGCACGCCGTATGCTAGGGCTCAGAACTGCGTGTAACTAAACCAGAGGGGGCTGCGGTCTAGCGGCGAAGCGCATGCTGCCTGCTTCGGGTTCTGTACAGGGTGGCGGCGCAACGAAAATTGAAATACAAAATCCTACCGTCTTTCTAAAGCATATGTATCTACAGAATGCGCAACTTTAGAAACGCTCACCTATTTTGGCGGTAGAATGGCCTAGAAATGAACCAAGGTGTTTGGGGACTAGCAAAGCGACAGAAGGACACCGTCTCGCGTGCAGCTGAAACCTAGGCTCGGTGTGTCGCAAATAAAACGATGGAACGGTCAGAGGATCCAGCTTCGGGTCTCGTTACCTACTCAAAGTGATGATATGCAATGTCTACGCTCATTCACCTCGGCTCACTTTCATGTTTCGTAAGGAGTAAAAATAATAAAAACTAAATCAAACTCTTGAAAAAGGAACAACTCGTGTGACAACAACTGTCGAGCACGTCATACTTTGTGCAGTGCAGCATTCAGAGCTTCTACCCAAGTGCATCACCTTTCTATCCTCCAAGCTCACAAACACACCATTAGTAGTTGCGCAATAAACGCCGTTCTCAGCATGCCCGCAGATACTGTCCTCCGACCTTCGAGACGCTATTGCTTGGACGCTCGACCGACTGCAAAGTGAGCCGCTCGATTCCGATTGGTGCACTTTTCGCACCCACAAAGCGAGCGAAAACCTCTCCTTTTTTCCTGCATTTTGGTTGCCTGTTGTAACGTAATGACAGTGAATTAAAACATCCACACTGTGACCGTGTTGAAGGGCGCTCGGTAGCGCGATCCACGTGACAAGAGTCGCGGGTTGCGACTCTTGACAGGCGAAAAAGGGGGCAACCCTGGTCGCAACTCGAGGTAGGGGAGTTGAAGACCCGAATGTCCCCTCAGCTAACTCAAACGTCCCTGCATGCGACTCGGTACAAAAAATTATGAATTGCGCAAACACCCACATTCCGGCGACTTAAGGAACGCACTCTGCCATTGGTCACGTGGCCTGTCAAGGAACAGGAGATTCTCAAAACGAGAAATGTAATATCTGAAACCTAAACACACAAACACAATTGAACAGTCTTAACTTTCTCTCTCGTGAACCTTACATGTTCAACAGGCTGTATGTCGATGAAGCACAAATCCCTCGGGGAGTGAGTGATCATGAAACGACCTTGACTCTTCAACATCGCTAAATGAAGGGGCTTCTCCACGACGGTCGTAGTAAGGTACAAAATGATCCTCAGTCGAAAATAAGACTAATCGTCTCCGTATGAGACACTCAACCTCATCAAACAATCGCTGCATCCTGCATGTACAAAAACAGCAATGAAGTTTAGAAGAGTTGTTGCACGATTAGAAACACAATTCTAATGCGAGCAGAGCCTTTTCTTTTCTTCAATGGAAGTAAACAGAGGTGTACCCAAAACAAGCGAATGCCAGAGAAAAAATAAAGTTGCTCCTTTAAAGACGGTGAAAAACTGCTTGAAAACAGTGTTTTGGAAGTGGTTGCTTTGAGAGATAAGAAAAAAGAAATTATATACATTTGTTTTCTAATAAAGAAATGCGGCCAGAAATTTGGGCTGGCCAGTAAACTGCTCGCTTGACATTCTGCTGCCGGAGAAACATCTGCTTGAATTGGGATAGGCTTTAGCTGCTCCGTGCTTTACTGGCACAGTTTTTGCGTCTTGCTCAGGAACTACTGCCAACGTGAAGGGTGCAATAAATTATTGACTGCTCTATGCCTGGCTCACAGGCCTATAAAGCAGTAAGCTTACATGGCACATTAAAACCAAATTGCTATTGGTGCCGCGACAGCAAGCTCCCAGAGTTAGAAGAAGCCACAGCAACCATATTGTTTGTTCCCTTGAAATAGCACTTAAATGACACGATGCAAAAAATATATATAGGTATACAACGACAAAAAAGGCTCCCAAAGTCGAGCGAAATGCAAAACAAAAAAAGAATGTCCTACAAAAAAAAATAAAAAAAATTAGCATCTCTTTTTCTTCTTTGCACAACTGACTAGTTATCCCTGCTTAGATGACGATAGTTGCCTAGATTGTGCCAAAGAAACGGCGTAGTAGAACATTACAAAACTGCACAATTCACTAGATAAACGGAAGTCGGGCTTAGTGAACAGAGTAGCAGCCAAGCCTGGCCATTAGCCGAAGCACTTTGTTACTGTCCGGTGGCCGCCAGGACGGCAGACTGCAATCTTTGCTCAGCCATACTTAACGCGAAGCTCGTTCCAGACGAGCCAATCCAATCTGGAACGTCCGGCGCCAGCCGTAGAAACGGGACAGTCTCTCTTTCTTTTGACACGAAAGTATAAAAACGCACATAGGTCCCGCATAATGACGGGACGGGAATAGAAGTTGAATCCGCATCCAAAGTCAGGTCTCACGGCTTGCTCAACAGCACAGAGGAGGAGAGGGAAAAAGCCACAAAAGGAAGCCAGGGGTTCTTCAGCGCTGAGCGTGTGGATGCACGGTTGAGAAACGGCCAACACAGGTACTAAAAATCCACCTCTGTCAATTTCCACGAAGTTCGACGCACACGGAACCAACCACCACTTTCATTCTACCGACTTCTCTTCGGAAAAATAAAAAAAATAACAAAAGACGCCTGTACGTTGCTTTTTCAGACCAAGCGATCGCCTTGGAGCCCTTGAAGCGATGTTCCCATGTGCTTGGGTCCCTGCATATAATGAAATGATGTGCCTGCAGTGTTTGCTCAACAATAAACACTTGATACAAAAAAACAGAAACGGTGTCCACGCAACATGAAATAGCAGTAAGATGGTAATGAATCTCAGTAATGCATTAGTTTTTGGCACACAAACAGGTAATGCTATTTGGTACAATGACAGTTCTGCTACGGGTCAAAAACACTTACGTCATCAGGTCTCCTTTCTGTTCCCATAATCAGAAGGTTACTAAACTCGTGCTCAAGTAGTTGACGTGCCTGCAAAGAATAAATACATAAAAAAATAAAAATGTTGCACTTACAACTGTAAAACTCCCCAAAAAGATCACGCATCCAGTTTCTTTAGTTAAATGTCCATGGGATGCAAACTACCGAAACATTGCCCACCCCATCAAGTTCGAGCGATGTTCAACGAGATCAATACAAAATCGGTCTATTAAAACAGCTCGGGAACCAATTTAAGCAGCCCACTAAAATTAATTGCCCTTTGCTCTGGCAAGGCTCGAGAAAGAATGAAGTGTGGATTACGGTACAAGTACAGCACAGGTGTGTGAATTCACCACTTCACAAAAAATTAAATACCGTATTTACTCACAAAATAAATCCTCCTCCCCCCCCTCCCTCCAAAAATGATTGTCAATATACCATATTTACACAAATGTGGGTAGACCCACTTTTCAATTTTAGAAAATATGAAGTCGGGGGTGGGGGGTCGACTTGTAATCGAACCAAAGCATTCCATTGCCGACAAAAACGAAACAATCGCGATATCAAGTTACGAGTTCAGCCGGCTGTACCTGTTGCATCGCGCTATTCTGTGCACTCATTTTACAAATTTTTTTTTTTTTTTTTTTTATTTACACGAACAAGTATTATTGATAGCGATTCAGAAATTAACCAAAACGTAGGGCTGTGAACAGCACACGGCACGCCTGACTCCCGGGGGTGGTGGCACTTCTTCCGGACGCCGCTGGAACAGCCTTACAGCACACTCCTCGCGGCTTCTTTTTGCAAGTTTTTCACACGGTTCACAATCGTACATCGCTGGATCGAGGGTCAAGATCATGCTGGAGCACTAACTACGTTGTTTCGTATTGACATGCGTGATTCGGGCAGTTTAGATTTTCGGTGCTCGTTTATGGCCATTTTTCACCCAAAAGCAACCAACAACTGCGCTGTTGAATGCAAGTTCGACCCGTTGGATCGGGCGATGCTCCGGTGGAGCCTGCAATGTTGCGGGATCTTAAGGGGGGACATGGGCCTAAAGTTTTTATTTTTTTTTGAAAAAATTCATTTTTCAATTTTGACGTTTTCAGTTTTAGAAACTAATTATACACCCTTACACCAAATTTGATAACCATACGCCAAATATTTACGATGATATAAAATATTTTCAACAGTTGTGAGGCAGTAACAAAGTAAAGGAGTTCAATGTTTGAATGCATTTTTCTCAGTTCCACTTTTTGCTGCAAATTTCATACGAAGGAATCTTTTGTTCGAAGGTGAAAGTGTTCAGATACCACAATCAAGATGTTTCTGAACTGAAATTTACTGGGGAATCGGGCTATCTACTTTATTTTGTTTTAAGTTAAAGTCCTCAGTGATAAAAAGCCAAGTTTTCAAAAATTGACATAGGACAGATTTGCATCTCATATTTTGAGGTAATCACTCTTCCTGAAATATTTACATTTGAGTTATAAAAACTAGATAGCCCAAAGTGCCACATCCCCCACTTTATATTCTAGCAGTCAAAATGGTGCTTAATAGCTTCATTTGCATATGATAGATTTCTTAACAAAGAGTGACACATTTTCTTATGCAGGTATGTAAAGTTGTCCTGGAGAGCTGAAAGTTTGCACAGTACACCTACATCTGAGGTTAAATCTCCTCTCTAAATTTCATTCCAATCACTTGAGTAGTTAAGAAGTTCGACCTCTAGCCAGTGTCCCCCCTTAAACTACGACGGCAGACAAAGAGGCTTCCGCAGGCCAAAGTTTGGATAGGTGGGGATGCCTTCTGGAGTTAGAGATCAGGCTTGCAACGTACACCGCAAAAGTGTGGAACTGGTCTCCATCCGTGACGTGCAACGCGATTGCCGAGCAAGCGTGGAAGATGCAGTTGATGCTGTCATTCGCGAAGTACGAGATTTCGTTGGACGACGCCGACGACGTGCTTCGAGAACGTAGCAGTGATGGCGACGGGACTGACATCACCAGTGCGGACAAGTCCTAGACTAGTCGCGGACGGAAAGAGAACGACAAGGAGCAGCTTCAGTTGTCCCGCCTCTAGGCGTGAACTTTCTAGTATCGATAACACCTGGGCATCTCATGCATCTCGCGTGTGCATGCGCAGCCAAAGCACGCCAGAAGGAATCGATCGCGTGTTGGAGGCTGGGCTTTCAAAACAGACACTTTGCCGTTCTCACGTGTTCGCAATAAAATAAACATCCAAATTTTTTTTTATCAATGTGCAATGTTGGAGGGTTAACTTACAATTGAGTCGACTTACAATAGTGTGAATAGTTGAAATTTGATTATACGCAACCAGATTTTATGAAATTCCCGATTTAACAAATTCTAATTCCCATACAGATTCCCAAAGGGTTCCATGCTCTTATAAACTCAAAATTCCGGTTAATTCAAACAAATAAAAAAATTGTAGAGCCCTTCCACTTCATGGGAAGATGGAGGACCAGCGAAACTGTCATTTTTACTACGTCTAGGACGATGCCTAGAGGACCGCGTCTAGGACGGCCTCAAGGACGACTTCAAGGACAACCTCGAGGACGCCCTCGATGACAACGACCTCAAGGACGAATTGTAGGACGATTTCAAGGACGACTTCTAGGACTACCTGGAGGATAACATGTAGGACGACATCAAGGATGACTTCAAGGACGACCTCGAGGACTTGTAGGAAAACCTCAAAGACGATGTCTAAAACAACCTCGAAGACGACGCCAGGACGACCTTTCGGAAGACCTCAAGGACAACTTCTAGGACAACCTCAAGGACGACGCCTAGGACGACCTCAAAGATGACTTCTAGGATGATCTCGAGGAGGATGCTTTGAGATGATAACGAGGAATCAGGACCTCACTATCTAATAATGCCAAGGAAGGCTACTCCCGTCAATATCCGCGGACAGATTCTTTCCCAGATCCTAGCGCATAACAGCTTCGCTGTAAAAATTGTAGGATTGTGCGAATATCCGAAGTTTCGAATAGTAGTTCCAAATTATACACTATTCGATATTCGCTTCGAAAAAACTGCAATATTCACGGTTTTCCAAGTGTTAATTGCAGCGGGCTAGCCCTGTTGAGTGCGCTTCTTACCAAGCACCGGTGCGCTGCGGAGAAGCCAAACCCGCGAAAGTGAGCTCCATGGGTGTTCCTTCTCTGCACTACATCGGTGCTCAGTAAGAAGCGCACTTAACGGGGTAACCCGCCGTGATAAACAATATCGTAATTGCGTGCTGGTAAGAAAAGCATACGTTCAAAGCATAATGGTGCACTCTTGCCGACTGTATCTGAAAATAAGTGGAAACTTTGTGAATGTGTATATCTGCATTGTAGTAAAAGTTTCAAAATTAAACTTTTATGCAAGAGTGTACTATGTTAGGCAGAGATGTCTTTTACAACCTGTGTTCATCATGCACAATTCATTCTTTTTAACTCGAAATTAAAGAAAATATTTTATATAGCAAGATTTGTAAATTCACTCAATTGGTATAATTGGTCATCTCTATAGGATTCATTTTATGTCAAATCCGTCATTTACTTGCAATCCCAAGACATCAGACCTTTTGAGGTCACAGTTCAAAAATATAGATGGATTAAACTTAGCTCAGAAATGAACAAGTGGAATAACCTTCCCAGGTTTAGCTGGGTTTTCATCGAAACATTATGCAATGGTAGTGAAAGGCGTGGAAAAACTATTCGATATTCGAATCGAAAATATTCGACCAATACCACTACAGGTAATCGCTTCGAATTCACTTCAAACTCAAAATCCACTATTTGCACAAGACTAAAAAATTGTGATTGCTTGTTATGTTTTCACTGCATTTATACGCTGCTTAATTTTTTCACTTAGTAATTCATACTATTGGTTCATCGTGGAGCATTAGCCCTGTTGACTGTGCTTTTCCCTGAGCACCTGTGTACTGCAGGAAAGCAATACCCAAAAATCTCGTGGTTATTGCTTTTCACAGTACATGGGTGCTCTGTGAGAAGCACACTCAAGGGGACTAACCCATTGGGATTATGCAAGCAGGACTTTCCTGGCAACCTGCTCTCATTAGTCACGATTGTTTTTTTATTTTTCTGAGGGGGTTAAGTTCGAGACTAAAGAAATAATATTTGCATACAGCAGGCAGATTTATAAATTCCCTCGATTAAAATAGCTTGGCATTTATTTAGGTTTAAGTTAATATCCAATCTGTCATTTACGCACCGCTCCAATGTAGGCATTGAACTTTCTAAGGCCATAATTCATGAATATAGTTATGTTAAAACTAACTGAGCTTAGAAGTGGGCAAGTGGAAGCTTGGGAGCAACCTTCACGAGTACAGCTGAATTTTCACTTAAGCATGGTACAATGGTAGTAAAAGGCTTGGAGAAACTATTGGACATTCAATTAGAAAATATTTGCCCAGAACCACTATACACTTTGAACTTTACCAATGTTTTGTTTGTGCCTGTTTATAAATAGGCCTGTGTAGAGAAAAGCGTAAAAAATCTGCTTGGTATGTGTAGCTATTCCTATAGCAAATCACTACTTTGCCTCACATCATATTTAGATAAATTTCTGATTATTCAAACCTTTGATATATCAAATTGAAGTCTGTGGCTTCCTGGAGGTTCGAATTAATAAAAATCAACTGCCATTCCAGAAAAAAAAAAAAAAAAGTTCAAAAAGGTGTTATTTTAAATGTATTTTAAAATGCCTCGAAGTTTGTTGCTGGTGTACCGGCAATAAGACCGCCCGGCCCTAGTTTCAACCTTAAGATGAAACAAACTTAGCACTCCGGGCTTTTAGTCAATTATGCCAGATGGCACTAACCGTTTCGTGGCATCTCGTTCGTGTCACACGCGACAGCACTGCATAATGCTTAGATGAAAACCCAGCTAAACGTGTGAAGGTTGTTCCACTTGTTCATTTATAAGCTAAGTTTAATCTATCTATATTTATGAACTGTGACCTCAGAAGGTCTGGTGTCTTGGGATGGCAAGTGAACGACGGATTTGACATAAAATAAATCTTGTAGAGATGGCCAACTATGCCAATTAAGTGAATTTACAAATCTTGCTCTATAAAATATTCATTATTTAATCTCGTCAAAAAAGAATGAATCGCACATGCTGAACGCAGCTTGTAAGGGCCTCTCTGCCTAACATAGTGTACTCTTGCTTAATAGTTTAATTTTGAAATTTTTACTACAATGTAGATATACAGATTCACAAAGTTTCCACTTATTTTCAAATACAGTTGGCAAGGGTGCACCATCCCGCTTTGAACGTATGCTTTTCCTCCAAGCACACAATTACAATATTCTTACTTTCCAAGTGTTTATCGCGGCGGGCTACGCCGCTGAGTGCGCTTCTTACCGAGCACCGATGTAACGCAGAAAAGCAACACCCGCGGAGCTCGCTTTCAAGGGGTATTGCTTCTCCGCAGCGCACCGGTGCTTGGTAAGAAGCGCACTCAACAGGACTAACCCGCCGCAATCAACACTTCGAAAAACGCGAATAGTGCAGTTCTTCTCGAAGCGAATATTGAATAGTGCATTATTCGGAACTACTATTTGAAATTTCAAATATTTGCACAACCCTAGCGCTCATCCTCAAATGCTCTTTTCGCACCTTTGGTGGGGTATGTGGACCTCCATGCGAGCCTTGGCTGGCACTTGCAGTTTGCCGATAAAAGAGCACGGATTGCGGTGTCCAAAGGAAAAACGTTAACTCATTCCCTCGGGAGTTCCAAGTTTTACTCATGCACTGGCGGTACTGGTTGTTTTCGCAGATTAAACTTGTGCACGTGTAAATTGTGTTTTTGGCACGTGAGCACTTTGGGATTGCAGTCTTGCGATGGCTCTCTAGAGGCCAATACATCAAAACTAGTTTGATCAAATTTAAACCCGAAAAATACCATTCTTGATTTAACGAAGTTCTCGATTCGACGGAGTAATTCGTGGCTCCCTTCAGCAATTTATGTTACATCAACTTTTATATGTATTTCCATGTTTTTTTTTATTCCTGCACACAATTAACGCATTTCTAATTTAGGGTCTGCGAGCCTCAAACTATGTTCTACCAAGCCAGCTGCCGAGACAACCATCAAGCCAACCACCAAGCCAGTCACCAGCCACGAGCTGCTCACCTGAATATTTTGCGTCGGTATCTGCAGAGCGAGGGCCAGCGCGCAATGATCGAAGGCGTCCTCGAGCGCTATGAGAGCCCCGTGAACTCCCGTCTCCAGCAAGTTGTTGGAGTAGTCGCGTAAGCCGATGGCATTCACCCACTTGATCACACGCTCATTGGACCACACCACCACATCTGTAACAAAACATTTTATACCGATTTGATTTATGCAATTTTTATGCGTGACGTACACAATTATGCGAAGAAAGATGTCAGGTTAACCTGTCTTCCCTCATTCTTCCTTGCATTTGTTTTCGTCTTCAAATCTTTTGAGAAGAAGTGATTTGAGAAGTTACTTTGATTCTTACTATTATTGTATCAACTATCGTAAAGTTCCGAAAAAATGCCCACCCAAGATGTAGAGATAAATGGTAAAAACCATGGGGTGGGCTATCTTTGGGGAGGCCACACCAGAAATTTATAAAAAGTTAACGATAAACACCTTGGCACCAGCTACAACTATGCGACAAGGGAACTGATACCACAGATCGCGGACACCGTAAATTAAATTTGCATTTCACAATGTGATAAACACGTGGGAATTTGCTACAAACTCCTGTGTCACGAGAAAAAATACCGCAAGGATTGGAAGCAGCAGATTCGCGTTTCACGGAACGAAGGACCCACGGAAACCCGCCGAGAATTCGCATCTCACGGAACGAATACTGCAAATCGTGGACGCAGCCGATTCAAGTTTTATGGTGCAATAAACACGCGGGAACATGCTACAAATTCGCCTGTCACAAGAACCGATATTGCGCGCACAGATTGTAGACAAAGACGTGAGAATGCACTAAAAACTCGTATGTTACGGGAACAATTAACGCAGATCGCAAACGCACCAGGATCGTATTTCAACGTTGCAATATACACGCCAACCAACTGGCATGGAATCAAGATTGAGGGCGCAGATCGCAAACAAGAATACGGGAATCCGCTACGAACTTTATGTCATGGGAACGGATACCGCAGTATGTGGACGCAGAAGATTCACATTCCACGGAGCAACATTCTTGTGAGAACGTCTTGTGTGTTACAGGAACCAATATTGCACACGCAGATTGCGGACAAAAACACGGGAACCCGCTACGAACTTGCTTGTCAGATGTGCTGGTACAGCAAATTGCACAGTTGGTGCGATTCCCGTCAGACATAGCTTGAAGTCCGACGAGAATGGGGGAGTGGGCGATGGTTCGGAATTTCTGTTCCAGATATTTAGTCAGAAAAACGGGATGGGCAATTTTACGGAGGGGGGAATGCTTTCGGGACTTTACGGTATGTGTTTTGTTATTTTAACGAGAAGTAAAACGTAAACTAAGCTTCACGTTAAAAAAAAAAAAAAAAAAAAAACATTTCGAGCACTTGTTAAACGAAAAGTTGTTCTATAGACACACAAAAATATTCTATTTGTCGCTTTAAAATTTAAACATTATACTGTCCCAAAATCACAGACACCTACACGTAAGAGCTGTTTGGGGTCACAACCTAGCGCCGTTTCCACAATAAATGTGAAAATCAACATCTTTTACTTTCGCAGATGCCAAAGCGCAAAATATGCTCTTTTTCGCCCCATCCATTAACCCCCCTTCCATCGCTGCACACAAGTTTTTTTTTTTTTTTTTTTTTTTTGCACAGTGTGCGACCCCTTCTAGAGAGAAAGCCGTCATGACCACAGCCTACCTTTGGATTCATTCTCGCTGTTCTTCCGGCGCTCGGAGAGTTCCTGCCTGTCATAGTTGACCCTCTTCAAGCAGCTCACCCCACACTGCAGGCTCGTCCTGAAAACACACCAAACGCAGGCATGACCTATGGACCTCGACCTGACACTTTCATTGCGGTACAACAGGCGTAGCCAAGCCACGACGACAGGAGCAGTAACAGCATTCCTGGGGTTTATGAGACAGTGTGCACGAAAAAATACCGGGTTTCGTGCACGACATCTACCAGCATAAGCAACGACGTGAAATAAAGAGGCACTGTGCATGCGCCCCAACGGTAACGCGAACCGGGACTTGACGAAAGTAGCTTGCAGAACGGCGTTGCAACCAACCACCTCATATGCAAAACATCCTAAACAAGCTTCCAAGGTTATTCTCTTGCCAATAAAGAAAAAAGTGAAAAAAAAAAACAGGTTTATCAGGTTAAGCTTTTCAGTTGCAAAAACAGTAGGATGCGGTCAATATCTTTTTAAAGAGCAACTGCAAAAAACCAGGCCAAGCTGTTCCATACGGCAGAGGTTCCTGTTATCAGAAGATAAACATAAAAACTCAAAAATATTTTTTAGTTTTTATCCATTTAAAAAAATGGTTGAGAACCACTGCTCTAGCAGATAATTTCGGATTTGATGTAGACACCCGAAACCAAACTTTGAGCTATGATATTTATAAAACTACATGCAATATTGAAAACCAAACACTTCGTAATCGTAAAATATATTTCGTTCTCAGCTAATGCAGTGTCGCTGCTTTAGCTGAAAACAGTCGTAATCCCAGATTGAAAACTTTTGACCAATGTTGCCCTTTAAGCTGAGACTACAGCGAATGCCACAAGCCCAAGAGCATGAGATCATCACTTTGAAACGTTTTTCCACCAGAACGAGCGCATACGCTAGAAAGGCACATATCAAAGCAAGAAGCTTGGGCTAGCTCAAATTTATAGCTTTGGCTGTACTCTCAGCTTAGGGGTGAACGGAGTACATCTAGACGGTGGTTTTAAAAGCGCAAAGGAGTAAGAAGAGAGCGCTTTTAAAACCACCGTCTAGATGTTCAACCAACTAGCCCCCCCAATAAATTCTGGTGAACGGAGTATATGAAAAACCCAAGTATAGAGCAGGTTCTTAATGCTGTGGTGTGGCTCGGTGCTAATGCCTCCGCTTCGCATGCAGTGGACCCGGGTTCGATTCCCGTGGGCGCATGCAATCTTTTTCAAGGATTGGGCCACGTCAACGACAAGCTCCCTCGACGTCACCCTCAACACCAACAACGACAACAACTAATACATTAGCGACTACTACAACTACGACACCAACAACAAACGTCATTTCCAGCGGTGGGAAGAGCTCAAATAGCTCTCGCTGTAAAAATTGCATTTCCTACAACCGTGGGACCATAGCGTGGGGGATGAGATAATTCCGTGCGATAGAGGAAGTGGGCTTCTGTTTCATAGTCCCTTTAACTGAAAGCCAAAATATTGTCCCCCTTAGAAACCAAAATACAGGGTGATTCAAGGAGAGGCCAGGCTCTTTAAATAGACCGCAAAATTCAGTTTCTTAACCTATCGTACTACGACTTTGTGCAGCGTTGCCCACAGATGGGGCATTTTTTTTGCAAAATTTGCAAAGAGCGAACTTACCTGAGGAAAAAGTAAAGAAAGAAAAAGGCTTAGCTTCTATGGAAATGCAGCGAAGCCACCGGTCTTCAAACAACACGGCGCCGTTTGGCACTGGAGACAAGAGATGGCTCAAGCGGTCACGACGCCAACTGCCGCCAACGAACAAGCATACGACGCCGAGAGCCGGCGTCTTTAGCAAACAAGGAACTGCAGTTCCTTGTTGTTACCGTGCCTGTTTTTGTTTCTGCGATTGTCGCCGCCTGCGGAACGCGCGCCGCTATTGAGTCGAAAAGATTGTCTGCTAAAACGCCGGCTCTCGGCGCCGTATGCTCTTTCGTTGGTGTAGGGACCTTACGTTGCGGCGTTCGTTGCGCCATTTCTTGTCTCCCATGCGAAACGGCGCCATGTTGTTTAAAGAACGGTAGCGTCGCTGCGTATTCATACGAGCTAAGCCTTTTTCTTTCGTTACTTTTTCCCCCAGGTAAGTTCGCTCTTTGCAAATTTTACAAAACAAAATACACCATCTGTGGGCAACGCTGCACACAGTCGTAGCGCGATAGGTTAAGAAACTGAATTTTGCGGTCAATTTAAAGAGCCTGGCATCTCCTTGAATCACCCTGTATTTATCATGATCCTATGTATAAAATTGGTGTATATACTACACGAAATCTGTTTAGACAGCATTCTTTAAGGCTTATGGTGGACTTTAGAGTTATTTCTTTTCATTTCATTTCATTTTCTTTACGTGGCACTTTCCGTATCTTTCTGTGGCATCAAATCATGTGATACGGCCTGCAAGTCTCCCTTTTGGCACAGTGGTAGAGTGTTGCAGCTCAAAATCCCAGGGTCGTGGGTTCGACCCTCGGTGAAGCACGCCAGGACTTTTGTTCTTTCGTCTCACTTTATCGCAAATTTCATCTTAATTGCACATTCTCTTCCACATATTTTCCTCCCAGGTATGCATTACACATTTTGTGTGAGGGCATGCTAAGAGTTTTGTTTTTTCATCTCATTTTATCACAATTGCTTCTTAATTTCACGTTTTTCTCTACACATTTTCCTCTGAAGCACAAGTTTCATCTTTCATAATGCTTTCCCTGGCGTTACGTCACACCTTCCTCGGGGAAACTGGCCCTCAAATGCATTCTGTATAAAAAAACAAAATCACAGGCGGTTGCGTCAAGTCGTGCAGCTGCCACGAAAGACGGTACAATGGTGGAAGACGGTACAATGGTATAAAGAAGGTGCCCACCTGTGCAAGTTGTCGATCATCTTGAGGTGCACCCTGAGGTCCTTCTTGGTGAGGTGGTTGAGCATGCGTGCATCTACGAGACACTCCATGAAGGTGGAGCGGTACTGGGGCAGCCCCAGGCTGGGCAGCCACTCGTTCCCGATCCACTCGTGGTTCATCTCTCCAAAGGCCAGGCTCTGCACACATACAAGCCAATCCAGTAAATATATCCTCTCCTGCGCACCGCCCTTTTTGTACACTGGGCCGTGGAACCCATTGTCGGCACGCGCGGTGGCTCTTTCGCGCAAAGTTTTTGTCGCCGAGCGTTTGTCCACGGCGGTACGCCACGAGAGTTGGAAAGCTCTGTAGGCAGAAAAGGCAAAAGGAGACATTACAGACAAGGTCTTCCGTCCGAATCAAGCTGGCCGAAGAAAACGGGGATGACAAGACCTATTGTGTGAAGCCTCAACAGGGGTGCTTGAAATTCCATATTTTCCAGTCTGTAAGTCTCAGCTACGGTGATGGAAGAGGCATTTGACCTCTCAGAGCAGGTTCTGTAGCAGGCAAAACATTGGTTTGGAGCAGCCACTGACGCTTTTGAAGCAAATCCTAAAAACTGTTACCACAACGCTTGAAAAAAAAATTGATTGCATTGTTAAACGAGTTTACCTTTATAATGACTAAAAGCTCTCTGATACTGGAGCATAACACTTATTACCGTTTGTGATAAGAGTAGAAAAAGCGCAAAGGAGCATGAGCTTGACAAAAACCCGGGGATTGCGGGTAAAATCGACAATCACACTAAAAAGTATTTTTAGTGTATGTGCAGTTTTTTTTTTTTTTTTTCCTTTTTGGTGTATGCGTTGTTTTTATCCACAGTCACGGGTTTTTCACCATGCTTAATATTCACCAGCTCGTTTGTGCCCTTACATTCAGTTCATTAACACAGAGCTTTCCTTTTTAGGAATAAGGCTCTGGTCAGAGTAAATTCCATTTACAATAAATTAAAAAAAAAAGAAAAAGAAAATGGTTACAAAAAGAATTATAGAGCCAAACTTCATCTGGTATAGAACCTCAACCCCCCCTCCCCCCCCTTATACTCGGTAGTTTATTTAGCTTGAATATAATTTCTGTAAAATGCCATCAAAACCAAGCATATCCGCTATTTCTTGGCACAGCTTTTTAAGATTAGACGTTAACCTACACTCAACATTAAAGACCTAAGAGTTTTGAGCACAATTCCCAAGCCTATCGCACCAACCCAGGTGCTCCCCATGTCAGCCGCTGCTCCTAGCACTCCGGTGCAAAGTGGTGAAGCTCGACGCATGCGCTCTGGTGAGAGGACGTGAAAGTTGACCCAAGTGGCGCAAGTGCCATGGTTCTCTGTAGCCACGGCATGGAGGCATGAGGCAGACATGATAGTGAAGTGATCTCATCAGGAGCAGTGGCATAGCCAGAAAAGAGGGGAGGGGGGGATTTCAGCCCCCCAAAATCCAGCCGACTTTGGTGATCTGGCTTGTCAACAGAACACACTTTGACCATGTTCCAAAATTTACTCGATCTTACTCCAGGGTAAGAGTTTTGTGCCTTGGCGTTCCAAAACCTACCCGCGTCCAGCGTTCTTCAATCTGTGTTGTCACGTGACACGACCCGCCGGAGTAACTCGGGTTCATTTGGGTAAGGTTTGGAACACAGCCTTTGTGTATTTGTGAGTGGCGCTACGTTGCGGTGCTAAAACAAAAACCAAAATGCCTTGGAAAAAAAAAATGAAGTCAAGAAGGAAAGGCGGGGAGCGAGCGCGAGTGAAGAGGCGAAGATAAAGCAAGCCACGGCACAGGCATGCACTGAGCAGTAAAAGGGAGGAATCGGTGGCCGAGTGGGCTAGCGCACACCGGCTCAGAACACGTGGAGCGAAAGCTTCAGCTGCAGAACCCAGAGATCATGGGATCAATCCCCACCCCTGCCCGTTTCAATCTGGATGAGCATCGTACCGTCGTGCGGTTATGCGTTATTACTACTGCGTGATGCACGGTAAAAGCTCTAGGCTAGTGGTTGTACTGCACTGGTTAAATTTCTCATCTACAGCTGGGAGACAAGTCACACGTTGAGGCAGATCAAGTTCTAGGCTGTCTAAACTTATACACACCCCAATTGTTTTTTTCGAGCAGTGAAAGAAAAGTTTACTTGGCTTCCTGCTCTCTGCCACTCACTGCCTGTGGAGAGAACTGCTGCGCGGTGCGTGTTTGTCGCGCCTGCTTATTTTGCGTTCCTGCTCGGTTGAGCACTCCCCCTTCCTTCACCCTCCTCGCACTGCCAGCAGTGCTCTGTGGCTCCGCTCTCCTTGTGTGAAAGAGTGGCGGCATTCGGCGATGTGATAACATGTGATAATGTGGCGGTGAGCAGGCCTGCTGAGTATGACAACTTGCAGCCATGTGCGCAAGCAAATTTGCATTGTCACCCTGTGGCATAATCGAGTGGTGAACGGTCAGTTGGAGCCGGGAGCAGCAAAGCCACTGCCGCCCACCATGGGGAGAACCCTGCCCACTGCTGCTCGTAAGAACTGTCTATTTATCCGCCAGATCAACTAAAGCCTTGCTGACGCATTTATTGCCTTAACTTTTGATTAAGCCTGACTCAATAATGTTTCTTACCGTTTTATCTTTATGCTGGTAATTGCGCACGTAGTGGACACAGGTTTGTATTTGCAGTTATAACAATGCATTAACAGATGGCCATTTCAATTTCTTGGTTACGTTCACGTAATTTATCATACATACATCTTCCCGCCTGGCCTAGATCTTTCCTGCCACATGTCAACGGTATTTGATGCACGACTTCGTGTATGCAACAAACGGACGCCGGTGCTTCCTCGGAAAGCCTACCGGGACTTTCCAGAAGGAGTCTGCCGATTTGCACATCTTGGCGACTTTATCTGGTTCCGAGAAAACAACCTTAGCCTTAATGCGGTCTGCTATTTTCTTAGGGTTATGTGCGGTCTTGTGCATATATGACGCAACCATGTTCTCAAAGGTTCAGCTCTAACTCCCCCAAAGGTTAGCATTGATCAATTAGCTGGGTGATCCCTTGACATCATAATCGTGATTCTCAAATAAAAAAATATTAATTATTCTTGAGGATGTCAAAAGACCTTCATTATGAAAATAAATAGATAAATAACCTTGCACACATGTTCCGAAAAAATGACGAAGAAAACGAGACCAAGAAGGCGAAAAGCAGAAAGAACTTTGAAGGTTATACTTCTTTAACCCTATCACTTCCAGGGGAACTGTGCTTCTGTGTCAATAAGAAAAACAAAATATTCAGGATAACTGAATCCCCCCCCATGAACATTGAGTGCTTGCAGACTTGCTAACTAATTAATGCTAAAGCCCAAGCTCTTGTTGCCCACATTCTTAGGACGACGTGCCTCGCCGACCTTAAACTGTCGCAGACACTAAGCCCTTGGGCATCTGTCAATGAGATGAGCGTACAATGTGAAAACGCACAGCTGTTTCACTCAACATTTTCAAACTGTGGCAAAAGTCAACAGCTCCTTGGAGAAACCGGATGGAATATTCCTGGATAACATGAAAATTTTCTGCCTGGAAATATTAAGGGAATGTGGAAAAATATATGCATTTAAGAGATCATTAACATTACAAGCTTATGGAATGACATTCGCACAATGTAGATTTTGTAGACAGAAAGCACTTCGAGAGCGCGCGCTGTCTCCGCGCCAGACCACGTGCTATGTTCTCCGCACTACTCCACGCCAGATTGGTTGCGCTGGCTCGTGTCATTCGCTACGGTCCATCTCAACGACATCAAGGAGCAGGCGCATATTTGCGCACGTTCGGCTTTGCAGCAAAGGGCCCATGTTTTGCCGTACGTCGGTAGTTTTTTGCTGTAATATCGTGTAATGTGAGCCCACGTGAATTCGCTCGGGAAGACTTATCCGATGCGGAGTCTTCCCGAGTTTGAACTATCAAACTTTTCCTCCCATAGAAATGTATGGGCACTGGCCGGGACTTTCGAACATTCTCGAATTAAACGAAAAGTCGAATTAACCGAGGCCAAACTAACGGAAGTTTACTGTAATTTGTACATACTAGGTAGGTTGGAACATTGCTCAGTCAGGCAGACGAAATAATTGGTCAGTTACGGCATTTTTCTTTCAAATTCATAGCATTCAAAACATGCTAAAACGGCTTCGTACATGTATATTTGTGCACTGTCGGACACTGTTAGAGCGAACATGACATCGGTGCTTTCCAGCATCAGGGATATCCATGCCAAATGAATGAAGGACATCTGGAAACCAAGAGAGACGGCGAGAACTCCGCACTAACACTGGATCAGTGACTATCCCTGCATGTATGATCAAAATAAAATGAAGGCCACGTAATTTATTCCTATTTTAAATAAGTACTGCTTTATTCTTTTTGCTCTGTGTGAAGATGCTTGCTCTACGTTCAAAACATTGCCCGCACGTGTGAAGTCTTTGAGAGCAAGTGCCCGACTAAAACTGCCCGGCAGAGAAAACAATAAGAAAGAGAGACACATCGCTTGCGCTGCGTGGCTGGCAGACCGCCAAGCCAGCATACGCAGTGAAAGGAAATTTCAACTCGAGCTTAATTTAACATATTTTTGTATATCAAATTATTGATTTATAAAACTATTTTATGATCCCTTTTGAATTCAATATATCCGGATTCGACAGTACATAAACGTCACTGGAATGTTGGCGAACCTTAAACACACTATATTCCTTTCGATTGTTATTTTGCTTTGAATTGTCGTTTTTTTTTTTTTTATCCACCTGCTGTGGAACAGATGTTTGGGACTGAATTGCAGCGAAGTTAAACATAGTTCACTAATGAAGGAAAATGTGTTAACTAAAGCCATTACACTTTTACAATGTTAATCAAGGTACACATTGCGACACTGTTAGCGCGAACACGACGTCGGCGCATTTTCGCATTTTATTCCTAAATAGTATTAGCGAGCACGAAATGTTATCGCTTACATTATAGAACTTAATGAGCTCTTTCCATACCAATAATAACTTGGATGACATCCTTTGGTTTCAAAGAGAAACACTCGAAAAACCGGCGATCGCTTGTTCGCGCTAACAGTGTCGCGCTCTGTACATATTAGTATTCGGTATGACCTAAATAACCAAAGTGCTCCATGTTATTTTCTGGCGCTAGACACTAGCACCAGTTCAACCTCTAGCACTCTAGCATACATTATAACAACTCTATGGAATTCACTAAAATTTGTTCATCTGAAAGGTTTGTTCAACCGGCACTCATTCAAGCGATATTTTGCTGCACCAGGCGTAAACCAAGAAAAAATATTTTGACATTCGCGCTTTTTAGATGGCGTAGATGAGAAATTTAGCCAGTGCACTAGCATTGCCAGCCGGGGTCTTTTGCGTACATCCGCAGCTGCGATATGCGATCGCACGCTGGTACATCGCTCGCCCGGATCGAAAATGAGGAATCGAACCCAGGATACCTGCGTACCGCAAGGCAAGCATTTCACTACCCTGTGCTCCATGCTGCGGTGCACCAACGCGCTTAGCCACCGATCCCCCACACAACTGGCAAATGGCCCGGGGCAGACACTTGCCGTGCGTGCAGGCTTGGCAGCAGACGGGCTGGTCAGGGCCACCATCTCCTGGATGGCCAACCGCAGCTTGAGCCGATGCAGCGGGTTGCTGATGCCGATCTCCCGCTGGATTTCCGTGTCCGAGAGGGCCGACATGATGGCGCCGCTCTTGACGTTTGCCCGGCACGCCGCCACGTACCATGCCGGCATGCCGACCCATAACTGCGGACGAAACCGATCGTGATCGTCACAAAAGGCTGGAAATGCACCACCTTTCTCTCCCAGTGCGTTCGGTTCGTCTCCTGGCGTGCGTCTTTGAGTCGCGGTTGCGCCGTTAACACGTACAAAAGACAGTCTGAAGACACTGTCTGAAGCGGGCTTCTTTCTTGTATGACAGCCCTGCCACGTGGGTCGTGCAGAAACAGTCAGCAGACATGTTTGAAGCACACACATGTACGAAGCACAATGTGCTACGAACATGCTCACGGTATGCCGCAGATAATTCTTTTACACGTCCCTGCGGCGAACGTTGCGTCTTTCGCACAATGTGTGGGCAGTGTGACTGTGACTTTTTTAAGTAGTTTCGTTTTGTCTCGGCATATATACATGCCCTTTAGTGGTTGCTATGGCTTGTTTTCTTGGCCTATAGATCACGTGTAAATAAGGTCCCTTGATTGCACTCGGTTTTTCCAACTGTTACAATATTCTGGGCTGTTTGTCAGATGGACAAATGGTGCCTATTGCACCTCTTTTGATTTTTGATATTACACTTTATGCATCCACCGCCTGAAGTTCTCCTTCTTAGCATGTAAAATGCTAAGCGTAAATTGGATACCTCACGTGAAAATAATGTTTTTAAGTCGTGGGACATGTATATCCACATGTACCAGCCCCTGCATTCCTTCCCCCTCTCCCTCCCCCGCGCCTTCCTCCGTACAATATAACTGCAACATTTGATTTTGCACTTTGCCACACTTATGGTCTCCACAGCCTCTTGGTTTGAAACACAATTTAGAAGCTGGGATGTACACCTTGTCTACTATGAACTAGAAAGTAGAAACCCTTATATAGCAGCTTTAGTTGCTAGAGTAATGACACTACCTAACAAGAATAGTCATGCGCAAATAGTGGATTTTCAGTTCGAAGCAAATTCAAAGTGAATAGTGATTTTGGCTGAACATTTTTTAATCGAATGTCAGATAGTTTATCCAAGCCTTTCACTGCTGCACCATACTTAATTTAAATGCAAGCCTAGATCAAGGGGAACCAAGCTGCGGCTCTTCGCGTGTTTAAATGCGGCTTGCAACTCTCCCCCCTCCCCCACCTCCCTCCCGGTCACACGAGCACATCCCCAAAAAGAGAAATGGAACGCATTTTAAATCGAAAGACAGGTTGCGGTTTGGTAGTCTTGTGCTATTGCTACCTTACGTACAGTTGGACTGCTTTTGACTCGGATAGATTGAAAGTAATCCGAGTTTCGTTTATTGCTCTGGACAAAAGTTTTGCCCCCCTCCCCCACGGCTCTTGGAAGTTTCGTGGTTTTGTTTGCGGCTCTTAGGCCCGGTCAGCCTGGCCACCCCTGACCTAGATAAACCTATGAAGGTTGTTCCCAAGCTTCAACTAATCTATTTCTAAGCGAATTTTAATCTAATTATATTTATGAACTGTAGCCTCAGAAAGGCTAATACCTACCTAGGAATAGCGAGCAAATGACATATTTGGCATAAAATTAAACCTATAGAGACACGCCCAGCTATACCTGGTCGAGAAAATTTATAAATAAATCTTGCTATATGCACTTTCTTAAATCTAGAATTTGAGAAAGTGCATAGAGAATTTGAGTTTTTCAAAGCTCTCCCCGACAAAATGATAACGTTCAAAGGGGATCCTTGCACTGGGGGAAAATGCAGTAAAGAGCGGGTGACCGTGCTCGTGGCAGCCAACATGACAGGCACGGAACGTCTGCCTTTTTTGGTGATCGGGAAATCCAAGACGCCACAATGCTTTCGGAACATCCCGCGGCTTCCAACGGACTACCGTTTCAACAAAAAAGCGTGGATGACACGTGAGATCTTTCAAGATTGGCTTCAAAAATTGAACCGCCAGTTCGCGTCCAAGGGGCGCAAGGTCGTGTTAGTAGCGGACAACTGCAGTGCGCACACAAAAATGCCGGAGCTGTCTATGATCCGCCTGATTTTCCTTCCACCTGCAACCACCTCACTCTTGCAACCAATGGATCAAGGAATAATCATACACCTGAAAGGCTTGTACCGCAAGCATCTCATGGCAAGAATATTGCTTTGTCTGGACCAGGGTAAGCGCTATGAAGTCACTCTGTTGGCGGCGATTCATATGCCTGTTAAAGCTTGGACGGACATGCCAAGCCAGGTCATCGCGAACTGCTTTCGTCACTGTGGTTTCTCGTGTGATGGAAATACCGCGAGTTCGACGACTGCATCGACTACTACGTCTACATCGGCAACTGCATCGGCTACTACATCGGCAACCACAATTGAAGATGAAAACTTTGACGAAGAGTGCAGTGCTCTAATGTCCGCTCTACCCGAAAACATTAGTTTCAATGATTACGTTGCGATAGATGATGGAGTGCTTGTGTGCGGTCAATTGACTGACGACGAAATCATCGCATCGGTTCAGCGTCCCGAGGGTCAGGAGGACGACAGCTGCAAGAGTGACGCCAAAGAGCCGCCGCCACGCCCATCTCCTGCCGAAGCATCCGCTGCGCTCGATGTACTTGCGAACTTCGCAACGTTGAAGACACCGACGGGACGATGTGGCCGCACATTAAGGATATGCGGAAATTTGTTTTTGCGAAGCGTCTGACGGGAATGCGGCAGCAGAAAATATTGGCGTTTTTTTCGAAATAAAACTTAGTCGTCACAGTTGGCTTTTCGCCGCTTCTCGTGACGTACGTCGTTACTCGTTTTTGATCGATATTCGATAATTCGACTCTTCGATAATTCAATCTATTTTCGAGGAACCGTCAGAGTCGAATTAAGGAGCTTCGACTGTAGATGAAAATCGCGAAATAATGCTAATTAAAAAGCAATATTATTTGTTTGGCACAAACTACTTGTGAGCCGAAAACAGGATTGCTATAATGGCGAGGAGTGCTTTAAAGTACTTGTCAGTCAATGTTGCAACTACCTTGTTGCATCACTGGAAAGATAAAATGAAAATAACGTTATCCAGAATGTACCGCAGCATTTATCACGTACGGAGTGGACTGTGTCAATTCCTGGTCAATCTTCTGTTCTTGAGGAAGAAAATATTGAAGAGAACCACTTTCACGAAGGCTGACAAACACACAGTTGCCACCTCCTTTGCACCTCGCCGTAACCGCTGGCAGTACTACACTGTACGATGGTAATCGCATGACCGCACAACGGCCATTTGCAATGCATGGCCCCGTCACGTTCTCACACGTGCGCAGACGTTTGCCGAATATTTGTTGAATCTTTGCCAAACATTTTTTCAAAAGTTTGATATGGGCCGAACTTTGCCAAATTTGAAGTTTGGCAGAATCGGTCCATCACTAGGAACTACTATTCGAAAATTTGAATATTTGCATAACGCTCAACAAGAATAAACAGACACGAAAAGGGATGCCACATGCACCTTTTTCAGAGAGGTGCATGTGCGATCCTATGTCTCGTTTGTTTGTTCTTTACCCTAAAACAAAAAGAGGATACAAAAACAAGAACGAAGCATCATGTTGAAATTTTTGGACCTTACCTCTAGCCACGCAACAATGGTGGGTCCGTTCCAGAGTGCAAAGGGTGTGCCAGCCTTCATGGCTTCCGCCAGCAACTCGTGCCTGAACGATGAGCTGAAGAGAATTGTACAACCACGCTGACATCGTCTCCGAGAACCATGACCTTGGCATCATAGGCCGGAAATCATTGAAAGGCTCTTTTTCTAAAAACAAGAGCTTAAACTCTTCTCTGAACACATGCAGCGGTTATTTTCAGCCTAAAGAAACGTTGACAAATCTGTGGCCTATTGGTAAAGAAGAACCTTAGACTAGAAATTAAAATCTTATAGTAAACAAATTTGCCTCCAAGAAAACAACAAGCAGTAATACTTTTTCTCTGGGCTCCTCGAGAATATGTCTAAATATCGACACAACAAGAATAAAAATGCGCAAGTCACCAGTCAACAAACTGCCTCCGACAAAGAAGAATGCGAAAAAAAGACATGTCGACAACTTACTTTTTCTTAGTACGCCGATCAACTTCGGTCTTGGGACCCATCCCTCCTGCCATGGAAAGGGTGCCCATGTCGCTTGCACAGAGGTCGCTGTCCATGTAGATGCCGCCTGCAAATGATACGACGATCAAACACCCAGAAAGACATTTCCGATGCGCTGGACAACCCCCAAACTCGCTGTGGCTCCTACCGCAAAGAGATCGAAAGGATGGATCGATGAATGGTTGCAGCTAAACCCTTAGTACTGGACAGTTGCCCATGTCACCTAGCCTAGAAAAATTCAAACCCCTCTGCTTTAAGGGCTTAGGCCTCTAACCCAGGCCATGCAGGCATTTCCTGAAGGTTATAATTATAATGCAATTAAATGCAAAGGGGCAAGCGAGCTGGACAATAATGATGAAAATAATCCCTGGAGAAGGGGAACAAGAGGGACAAGGGACAAACTAGCTGTGTTTGGAGATGTATGTTTGTCCCTTGTCCCTCTTGTTCCCCTTCTCCAGGGATTATTTTCATCATTCCTGAAGGTGTTTGCTTTCGGTAGCAAGTAAAAGGATCCCCAGGTGGTCAAAATTAATCCTCAGTCCTCCACTTGGGCGTGGCTTGGTATGTAAAACCCCCGAAATTTTACTTATGAATGGCTACTAAATTTTGTGCCCCAAACTGATTAATAATTGGGGCTTCTGGCTTGCAACAATTACCAAGAAAGCATATATGTCGAATGTTATTTCATCGGGTCATTGGGAGAGAATAAGCACTGCATATCAGACAGACAATTTCGCACCTATTTTTCTTAGGGTATACCTTTTAGTTTCAGAAATCTGCCCAGTTCACACTGATACAAACCACCGATATAAACCATTCTAGTACTGAAGTTTACTTTTGCGTTCTGCTGTTCGCATTTTCACAAGTAACGCTACCCCCTTGTGAACAAAGCCTGCACGTCTGCTTTCTCCCACAGCTTGTGAAGAGCTTACCATTGTGATTTACGACTCCAACGAACGCTGAAGCTAAGATTGTGTTTGAATCCAAATGTGGCATCTGTACATCGAGAATGAGCAAAGTCCTCATAGTGCAAATGACCAAAAACTTGGGTCGCTGCTTTGGGTTCACACATTGTCTGTGCATCTTTGTTTCCTTGTCCCCCTCCGTAAATAGCATCGACTGGCCTCCCCTCGCACTGTGCGAAAAAGAAAAAACACAAGGCCTCATTCGCGACCAGCGCACAACTTCTTTCGAGCATCGACGCCTGATCTTGCAAGAAATAATCACCAAACACCAGAGGCACTACACTCGTCAAACACAGAATTTGGGGCCAAAGTTCACAGGGCGCGCCAAACGGATACTTGCGAACAGGCCATTGTGCTTAAGTTCGAAAAGCCCAGTCAGCGCACACCACAAACTTTGACTCCGACTTCCAGTTTGATGAGTATAGCACCCTAAGTATCTAAGGACCGGCAATCTTGCGGTACGGTTCGAAGAAGCTCACGCACCCCCAGTGATGCCGTACTCCTGTCCATAGAGGTCCTTCCCTTTGACCTTGTCCTTCTTGCTGAAGAAGCGTCCTAGGGAAGACTTGAGACCCTTCTTCTTGGCCGCCTTGTTGAGCGAGTCTTGCGAGGAGTTGGTCGAGCTCAGTGGAGACTGGGCGCTCAGGGAGCTTGGACCCCCGTCCATCGTTACTCTGCAAGGCCAGGAGCGGCAGGGAAGTCGGCGAACATTAGAAGGACGCTCAACTATGTAGATGTGTAGACCCGGAAACTTTTTCTTTTTTTTTAAAGTATTGTTGTTATTGGCCTCAAGTGTAGGTTAGGACACTTATGTAACGAAATAAACTTTATCCACTCCCTCCTCCTCCTCCTCTTCCTTCTCCAAAAAAAAAAAAAAAAGTTTTTTTTAGTGCAATGTTGACGTTAACAGAAACATTTTGAATTAGGAATGATTCCAAAATACCGTATTTGCACGAATATAATGCAAAAACAACATTTGATGCCCTCAAAAATGAAAAAAGAATACTGTTATAAAGCGAGTTGAGGCGGCGTAAATTTACCGCACTCGGGGGCGTAGCAGAAGTAAAAAGGCAATAGAAATTGAAGAGATATCAGTTTATGTTTTGACTGCACTCATCCTTGTTCTCAGGTCCTTCTGTTTGCAATCCGCTGGCGACTTCGCATATATGCAGCAGCACGGTGCCGCTTGTCTAAAAAGCTCCTTTTTCTTCAGCGTGAGCTCAACAGCCCACAAGCAAAGCAAGGCACAAAGCAGAAGCACTAACACACAAACACCAGACCACTCTGGAGTAGAAACTAAAAAATTGTAGAGCCCTTCTACTTCATGTGAAGATGGAGGACAAGCGAGGCTGTTATTTTTACCATGTCTAGGACGATGCCTAGAGGACGAAATCTAGGAAGACCTCAAGGACGACTTCTAGGACGACCTTGATACTGCTGCCTAGAGGACAATGTCTAGGACGACCTCAAGGATGACCTTTAGGAAGATTTCTAGGACGACCTTGAGGACGACACCTAGAACAACCTCTTGGACGACCTCAAAAACTATTGGGTTGAGGCGGCGTAAATTTACCGCACTCGGGGGCATAGCAGAAGTAAAAAGGCAATAGAAATCGAAGAGATATCAGTTTATGTTTTGACTGCACTCAGCCTCGTTCTCAGGTCCTTCTGTTTGCAATCCGCTGGCGACTTCACACATATGCAGCAGCACGGTGCCGCTTGTCTGGCAGCTCCTTTTTCTTCAGCGTGAGCTCAACAGCCCACAAGCAAAGCAAGGCACAAAGCAGAAGCACCAACACACAAACACCAGACCACTCTGGAGTAGAAACTAAAAAATTGTAGAGCCCTTCCACTTCATGTGAAGATGGAGGACCAGCGAAGCTGTTATTTTTACCATGTCTAGGACGATGCCTAGAGGACGACATCTAGGAAGACCTCAAGGACGACTTCTAAGACGACCTCGATACTGCTGCCTAGAGGACGATGTCTAGGACGACCTCAAGGATGACCTTTAGGAAGACTTCTAGGACGACCTTGGGGACGACACCTAGAACAACCTTTTGGACGACCTCAAAAACAATTTCTAGGTTGACCTCGAAGACAACTTCTAGAACGACCTCGAGGACATCTAGGATGACCTCAAGGACAACTTTTAGGATGACCTCAAGGACGATGCCTAGAGGACGACCTCGAGGACAATGTCTCGGACGACCTCAAGGACCACTTCTAGGACAACCTCGAGGACGACGCCTGGGACGACCTCAGAGACGACATGTAGGACAACCTCAAAGACGACACCTACACGACTTAGGGACGACGTCTAGGACGACGTCAAAGACGGCCTCTAGGACGACCTTGAGGTCGTCCTAGAAGCATGTTGTGCATGTTCCCTCTCTGTCCTTGCCTTTTTGCGCACTGTTCTGTTCACTATTACTAGCTCAAGCCAGGCATAAAACAAGGGCCTGTAATTGGCTCAAAAATATAAAAATTGGCAAAAGGCTGGTAAAAAAGACAGTGCCATTGCATTGCCAAGAAGTCCGCCAATGCCGTTCTGATCGGCGCTTTTACAGAAGAACAAGGTTTTGTTATTCAGTACCTAAAAACTGCAAGCTGGTTCTGTCATTCTCATTACGTCGTTCCCTCCTGTAAGATGTGCCTCCACCACGAATTTCAATTCGCTCAATCGAACTAGATGTCATAAAATTCACCCGAAGATTGCAAAAAAAATTAATTTAACTGCAGAATAATAAAATGAAGGAGCGGAATAGAAGACACAGCCAGAGAAAGAGAGAGGAAAAAGTAAAAAGAGGTGCAGGTGTGCACAACCTTTCTTCGAAGCACCCGACTCCTAGGCCAAAAGGCCAGTCGTCAAACAATCAGTATTACTAAAAGAATTTTAAAAATGTGCAAAAGCAGGCAAACGTTTTGAGGGGACTGCACAGGCTTAGAAGCAGAACATCCCAATATCAACTTCTCACAGTACAACTCAAAGTGCCGAAGGCATTGTGGGAACACGGTTGAAAAACAAAGAGGAAAAAAAAAAACTGGAAGCGTGTGCACCCCTTGCTCACCTGAGCAAGGCATCTGGCGGAATGCCGGAGAGGCAAGCAGGGCTGCCGCCCAAAGAAGCATGCTGCGACAGAGACGGTCCAAAGGACCTGCACAGACAAAAGCTGATAATCAAGCAAGCACCCGTCACGGGCGACCGCAAAGCCCACGAGGCCACAGGGCTTTGGGTCAGATTTCACTTGCTCAGAATGCGGTCCGAACTTCTATGTTAAACGTCGTCGCGTAGAAATTTACCAGTGCATTTGCACTTGCTCGAACTGTGTTGTGTCAAATTCATACGGCAGGACCGTGCAGGCGCTGTCATTTAATGCCCTCCAAAGGGCCTTTAAAGAAACACAAGTAAATAAAAAAATAAAGTGTTGCTCGCTCAGATTTCTGTCTAAACTTCTACTGCTGCTACCAATTACCCCACAAGAAGTGCAAGAGCAGATTTGGCACTCGATGGTAAGGTATTGATGGTGGGCAATCTACGCAGGCTGGCTTTTGCAAAAATGCTCACCATGCACCAAAGCATGTTACTAAAGGTGCGAGATTCTATATGAATCCTAAAGAATTTGGTTTGTGACCTCGTGCTTTCCCATCACGGAAAAAAAGCTGCCTTAAAGCGCAGCATTCTTAGCGCACAAAGTTACCACCGAGATGGCGCTAGCATCGTCGCTGCCAGGGCACTGAGGTAGCACTGTGGTGCGTGAGTAAGCGGGAAAAGAAGGGGTTTGCATGCACTGAATCACTGATAGAGCACAAAATCAGCGCTGTGTAGACAGCAATGAGTTAATGCCACGCTGCACGTGAATTCCAGTGAACTCCACTGAACTGCACTGGAGTTCAGTGTGAACTCCAGTGAACTTCCGTTGAAGATATGCAAGCATAAGAGCTGTATTGTGGATTTATAACACCACGAGGCGTGTTTCGAAGTCTTCATAATGGCTTTTCTCTCATTCGTTCATCTACGCTATGGACTCGGAGTGCAATAAAGATAGGACTGTCGCTCAGATTTGAACATGCTAAAGTTAGCCAGCCAGGTGCGGGATTCTGGTGCACTTTATGACGCAGCTACTAAATGCAGTCTTATTGCTGCAAGCATTCAGAAATGGAAACTACTGGAATTTGTCAAGCAGCAGGGCGGTAAGCGAAACTCCGAAGTAAGCAAAAGGCACTCTCCGAAATTGTAAAATGACACGCAGATTTTGCACAGCTGCCATTGGTTGGTCTCATCGCTCCCGGTGTGAAGCCCGCAATTGGTTCCAAGTTCGCACCAAGCACTGATACAGCACTCGTGCAGAAAGCGTTTCAATTCTAGTGCACTCTGAATGGCGACGAAGCGCCCTTTTGTCCATGGCGTGCTCACGGTGCATGACCAACCAATGGCGGCCGCACATAATCTATGCATCATTCGAAGTTTCTAAAAGCGTTTCTAGAAAGAGACGAAAAGGAGGTGCCGCTAAGGTGAAAGCCAAAGTCAATCACATAAATCACACTGATGCTCTCAAAATCTTCTCAAAGAGGTCCAAAAAACAAATTAAAAAAAAAGTGGTTCCAGTAATTGTTTTTACAACCAAGGGTATGCAGCAAAGCCTGGACGTCAGCTTGTACATTCTACTGATCATTTCACATGCGATTTGTTGAGGAAGAGCGGCTAAAACACAGGAAGGGCGAGGTGGACGTACCTTCGAAGCTCCTCGGAACTCTGGGCCAGGGCCTGGGCGACACGATCGATGCGAAGTGCCCGAGGTGTCGGAGGGCTTGTCTCTCTTCGAAGAAGACGGTCGTCCCGAACTTCCAGGGACGCAGGCACCTGAGGCACGAAACCAAGGTCACGGCGACGACAAGCTATATCCGGACTGCATATCCGGTGCATGTCCGAATCCGCGAAAGAAAATGAAACCTGGTTTTCTGGCCTGCATGAATTAATCACGTATCGCAGAAAGCTGAAACTCCGTCAGAATACTACAAAGCCAGCAGCGAGGGATAGGGTGCAAAAGTTTGAGAACATGGCGTCACCTGGATCGAGATTCAAGAGAAAGGCAAAATTTCTCAACGAGCCAAAGTCCACCCAAGCCCAATTTTGCCAAAATGGGAAATGACATTGTGGGTGCCCGTGGCATTCTGTTCGGAGAAAAAGATTGTCGTTCTTACTGGTAAGTGATTTTCACTTACAGGCCGACGCACACTTTGTGCTTTCCACATTTCCTCCGTTCCACCTTTCCCATATTTTCTCCACCTTTAAACCTGCCCCAACATTGCTCCCCTCACAGTTTAGGGGAGGCGGGCGCTAAGGGGATTATCTTCCCTGGAGAAAACTGAGGTTGTACGTCGGTCTTTGCTACAGGCACCCACCATGTCCCTTCATGTTTTGATGAAATTAGGCTTAGGTAGACGTTAGCTCGTAAAGAAATTTCGTCTTTCTCTTTCCCCTTTTAATCCAGGTAATGTCATGCCCCCAAACGTTCGCATCTTATCCCCACCTCTGCAATCCAGTTTATTTATACAAGTCTAAAATCATGTTTAATTTTCTCTCACAGACTAAACACACCTGCAATCTCCCCAAGAGGAACCAGATTAATGGTGTATTTTTAATAAAAATCTTATATGGGGCAACTCCTGTTACTGTATTTTTGTACTGTTTACGTATTAGGCCATGTAACTACTAAGTTACTTTGCTACGCATACACTGCAGCTTACATATAACTCCAAGATTTTTCAAAATGTGCTTGCTATCTAAGGAGGTTGTTATTAGTGAACCAGCATTTAAATGTGATAAGCCAAGCTCAAAATCTGCTGTTTCCTTCATATCTGCTCCTCATGACAGCATTTTGTATAATTGAGCTGCAGAGTATTCAAATCTCCCATAAAATGCACACCCACTACGTAGATGTACACATTTCACCACTGTTTGTTGAAACCATACTTAACGTACCAAGCACGACACAGCATGGACAAGCGATCATCAGATTTTCCCCTTGTTCCCTCCCAACCATAAGACTTAGATTCACTGTACTACAGTCATGTCCCATTGAGACAGACCACGTTATTATGGATTACTTTGCCATGTAGACCAGATTTTCGGGGAAGAAAAAGGTGAACACATGCATTTTTGTCTCATCTTTACGACAACTCACATCATAGACCAGGGGTGGCCAAGCTGACCCGGCCTGAGAGCCGCAAACAAAATCACGAAACTTCCACGAGCCGTCGGGGAGGGGGGGGGGGCGGAGGAGGGAGGGAGGGGCAAACGTTTCGTCCAAAACAATAAATTAACTCAAACTATTTTCAATTTATCCGAGTCAAAAGCAATCTAACTGTACGTGAGGTTGCAGTAGCACAAGACTACCGAACTGCAACCTATTTTTCGATTTTAAACGCGTACCATTTCCCTTTTCGGGCAAGTGCTCGTGTGACCGGGGGGGGGGGGGGTGTAGGAGGGGAAGCCACGAGCCGCACTTTAACACGCAAAGAGCCGCAGCTTGGCCACCACTGTCATAGACAATCGTTTGGGGGGAAACGAGACGTTACTTGGCGTAGAGGAATGCAACGATCAAGCCAGACAACTTTGGTGTTTGCAACTGACCAACGTGTGCACAAAACACAAAGAGACGGTGACGTCACGTTTCTGCTAACCGTGAGTGCATACAATTCTCAATACTTTCGTTCCACAGAATGATATCATACATACAAGGTGCGACTCCCGAAAGGTGCGAAAAGTGATGCCCCATCCCCCAGTAACAACAGGTGCTACAGACCGTGTGGTACTTGGGAAGGTACTCCCTCTGCGGGCTGTGGTGGGGTCCGCCAGAAGGGGGAGTGGAGCGCCCACTCAGGGGTGGGGAGGGGCCACCCCGCTCAAAAGAGCGGCCCCTCGACAGCAGAGAACCGAGGGGCTCCAAGCTGCTGCCGACACGCGATTCCAGTTCCTCCGCCCGCTGTTCTGTGCTCTGCTTCTCTTCCTGGATCAACCTGGCGACCCCAGAACAAGAAACATAGAACTTGGACCCATGCAAAGTACTTTCCATTTTTATTTGCTCTAAACTATTCAGCTTTCTGGAAGTTCTGGGCCGGCGAGAAGCATTGAGGTCGCTTGGCGGACTGCCACATCCGCCCTGATGAAAGTAAATATGGTTGCTTCACCACGTTACACGGGCGCGTCGTCAGAAAGCCCCCTCGTGTCATTTGTCGTGCAGCGAGATGTTGCTTCACCGCATTATGCAAGTGTGTTGTTAGAGAGCCCACTTGCCTCGCCTGCATCATGCAGTGAAGCAAACCCACACAGTTGCTTCACTGCATTCACAAATGCATTGTTAGAGAGCCCGCTTGCGTTATCTGTGTCATCTGGCAGAGCAAACTACATGGTTTCTTTACTGCATCGCACGAGTGCATTATTGGAATGCCCACTTGGCCATTTGTGTCACGCAGCAAACAAACCAATCTAGCTGCTTTACCGCATTACACACGTGTGCTGTCAAAAAGTCCACTTTCATTTGCGTGACACAGATGGTGCAAGTGGGCTCCCTGACAATGTACTCTTCTAATACGGTCTAATAACCATATTGGTTTGCTTTTCTGCATGACACAGATGGCCCAAGGGGGGTCTCTGACAGGGCACAGATGTAATGTGGTAAAGCAACCAAAATGGTTTGCCTTGAAGCATGACACAGATGGCCCAAGGGGGGTCTCTGACGGGGCGCAGATGTAATGTGGTAAAGCAAGCAAAATGGTTTGCTTTGAAGCATGACACAGCCAAAGCAAATGAGCTTTCTGATGACACACTCTTGTAATGTGCGTGAAGCAACTTCAGTGTGTGGATGGTTGAGCGTGTTGGTGTATAAATTATGATGATAAAAGAGGGACATGGAAGATGATACAGATGACTTGCACGAAGCAAACCCTTGTAGTTTTTTCACCGCATTACACAAGTTTGTCGTCAAAAAACCCCTTGTGCCATCTGTGTCATGCAGCAAAGCAAACTAATGTGGTTGATTCACCGCACTACACAACTGCGTTGCCAAAAAGCCCACTTTTGTCATCTGTGTCGTGCAGCAAAGCAAACTTATGTGGTTGATTCACTGCACTACACGACTGCATTGCCAGAGAGCCCGCTTTTGTCATCTGTGTCATGCAGCAAAGTGAGTCAAAATAGTTGCTTCACCGCATCACAGAATAAGCGTCGCTGGAAAGCCAGCATTCCGAACACAACCAACCATAGCAAAACTGGCAGGCGGAATGCTGGCTTTGCCATGCAACAGAGGTGCACTGCGACAAAACTAATCTGCACATAAACACAATTTCTTTTTTTTTTGCTTTAAAACAGGGGTGTTTAAACCTTTTGGTTAAGGGGCCGGATGGGGACTTGTGGAAGACACGCGGGCTGGAAGATGTTTAAGACAATATAAATGAGAAAATACTAAATAAAAAGTCTATATAGGATTTAAACACAAAAGATTATTCTAAAGCAAAAATTAAAAAAAAGCAAGGTGGATGAATACATATACTTTGCTTTTACATACAATATGTTCCTAATTACGACATTACAAAAGAATAGCAACTCAGAGAACTCGCCAGGCATAAATCGAAGCACATAAGAACTCTGGCATATTCACTCACGGCAGAAGAATGTTGGATCTGCTGACGACAATACGCAAGGTATGACACGTTAAGCTCGACATTCACGAGAATGCTAAGGAATTGTGTCGAATTTACACAGACATGCAGCAGAAAACTATGAATAGTAATGCTTGGGATGACAATGTACAATGTTACGGCGAGAGATCTCACACTTTGGTGCAGTTCTTTTTCATTCAACCCGACCTTTGTTTGCACTTCTAGAGCGAGTCGCAATGCTTTATTTTTTACGCGCGCTTATTTTTGCATTTTTAGCAGCAGACCTAGGGCCGGGCATCAATGGAAAAACCACATCCATCCGCGGCCCGCATCTGGTTCGCGGGCCGGGGTTCGGAGACCTTTGGTTTAGAAAATGGTAGTCTTTACTTCAGGGTCATTATGTTAAAAGTTGTTACATACCGTATTTACACGATTGTAGGTCGACCCGATTGTAAGTCAACCCCCCCCCCCCCCCCACATTGCACATCAGCAAAAAAAAAACAAAAAAAAAATCTTTTTTTTTTTTTTTTTTTTAGTTGCACATTTTATTGCAAACACATGAGAACGGCAAAGTATCCGTTTCGAAAGCCGAGCCTCCAACACGCAATCGATGCCTTCTGGCGTGCTTTGGCTGCGCATGCACGTGCGAGGTGCATGAGATGGCCAGGCGTTATAGGAACCAGGAAGTTCACGCTGGAAGCGGGACAACTGAAACTGCTCACTGTCGTTCTCACTCCATCCGCGACTAGACTATGACTCGTCTGCACTGGTGATGTCAGTCCCGTCGTCATCACTGCTACGTTCTCGAAGCACGGCGTCGGCGTCGTCCAATGAAATCTCGCACTTCGCAAATGACAGGATCAACCACATCTTCCGCGCTTGCTTGGCGATCGCGTCGGACGTCACGGGTAGGGACCGATTGCACACGTTTGCGGCGTACCATTGCAAGCCTGACCTCCAACTCCGAAAGGCATCCCCACGATCCCCACCTATCCAGACTTTGGCCTGCGGAAGCTTCTTCGTTTGCCGTCACACTTTAAGATTCCGCGCCACCGCAGACTCCACTGGAGCATCACCCACTCCGACGCAACGGGTCGAACTTGCGTCCAACAGCGCAGTTGTAGGTTGCTTCTGAGTGAAGAATGGCCATAAACGAGCACCGAAAACCTAAACTGCCCGGATCATGTGTTTCAATACAAATGAACATAGTTAGCGCACCAGCATGATCTCGTACTCAATCAAACGATGTGCGACTGTGAATCGTGCGAAAAACTGCGAAGAGAAGCCGCGGCACCGCGGGGTGAGCGAGCCGTGAGGCTGTTCCAGCGGCCTCCGGAGTGGCCCTTACGAGAAGTGCCGTCACCCCCCGGGAGTCGGGCGCTCCGTGCTCTCTTCACCGCCGTGCATTCGCGTTAATTTGCGAATCGCTACCAATAATACTCGTCTGCACAAATAAAAAATAATTAATTTGTAAAATGAGCGTACAAAACAGTGTAATGCTAGCCGGCTGAACTCGTAACAAGCTGAGGTGTCCGTGATATCGCGATTGTTTCGTTTCTGCTGACGGTGGAATGCTTTGGTTCGATTATAAGTCGACCCCCCACTTCAGATTTTCAAAAATTGAAAAAAGGGTCGACCTACATTCGTGCAAATACGGTACCTATATAAATATTGTAGCGGTGCTGCCGAGGCGCGTGCTAGAACCCACGGAGGACAAAGACGAAACGCGTGCACACGGCGCGTGACACACTTCCAACCTGGTCTAATTTGGTTATGGACGTCCTTTTGTAAATTTAAAAACGTAACAATATAATAAATAAGAGTGGCAGTTGGCACTGACCGGATCTCATTGTTGATAGCATCTAGCTGTTCCTGAAGCATGAGGGCCAGTGCCTGGGCATCTGAATGGTGGCCAGCTGGCGAGAGCATGTCCATGGCTTCCAGCAGACTCTCATTGTCTTCCTGGCTGCATTCCGTGTCGCTGCCACCCGTGCCGTCTAAGCCGATCCCGCTCACGGACGACGAGGAAGCGCCGCCAACCTTGTCCCACTCGTGATCCACCAGCATCTGTCAAATGGATTGATAATGGGATCGAAAAATCCATTAGTTTCAGATTTACACAGGTGTTAAAATTGGTACTCTGAGTATTCATTAAGAAAAATTAAATGCTAAAACTAAGCACGACAGTAGTATTCAAGTTCGAATAAACTGTAGAACTGTAATCCTATGCCTCAAGAACTAAACATGAACAATGTTTAATTCTTAACAACCAGCCCTTAGATGCCATACTTCCTTATAGGTATCTCGGTGCTTATATTTCTACTAATCTCAATTAAAACATTCACATTGCATATGTAACTAACAAAGCTAACAGAATGTTAGGATATTTGCAACATAACTTTTCACACGCATCTTCTCTCAAACTAACACTCTATAAAACACTTATCTGCCTTGAAATTGAATATGCCGCATCAGTTTGGGATCATTGCCAAGAAAGCTTTATTTAGTCACAAGAAATGGTTCAAAATAGATACCTCCATTTTTTTTATATTTTCTAATTACACTAGAACAGCCAGCATAAGTACCTACCATCCCAAACATCTCGCTCCAAAAATTCTCGTGTCTTTTTCACAAGCTGAGTAATCGCCCATACTTTTGCGACACTTATTTTTCCTGCTTAATACATTTTATCTTGATCAGATTAATCTCATAAGGTCAAAATTCCATTCTCCAGAACTGTAATGCTTTCCTTCAGTCATTTTTTTCAAGCACATCTGAAGAGTGGAATTGCATTGCTGCACCAACAGCAACCATCATAAATCATCAACATTTCGAGAATGCATTAGCTAACATTGTATAATTAGGAGCCTTTCTAACCATTGTATATCTAATATCTCCAGTTTGCCCTTTTTAAAATATTGCAGTTGTAACCACTCTTTTCTCTAATGCCTCCTGGCCCTGAGGGTATAGTCAAAACTCTATCTAAAGAAGTCGAGGGGAGTCGCGAATTACTTTGCTAAATCGAGACCTTCATAAAATCGAGAAAGTAATTTTTCTGACATTTCGGTCAGGAAAGTCTTGATGCAGTGGCATCGTGAGAACCATGGTATCAATTTTACGTGTTCAACGCACTGAAATTTTTAACAATGCACGAAAAAGTCTGCGAAGGGGTCACACCACGAAGGGCTCACCCTGGCATTCTTCGATTTCAAGATTGTCGAAAAAGTGCTGGCTGGTATGCCATGCTCTGTTGCAACTTCACATTCCTTCTGTCCGCTCATGACGGCACGAATGATATCCACCCTCTCTTCAAGGGCCGGCACTTTTCACCTTGGGGGGCTCCATTTCTCAACAACGCAGAATGTAGTGGAACAGATATCGTACACAGAAAGAACCAGTCACGGGAAGAGACAAGCAACAAAAGAGAACGAAAATCTTAACAAAGAAAAAAAAGCGGAGAAACGGAGACTATCAGTGCCATCTGTCGCATGCGACAAAAAGAAACCGCCGCCGCTAGCGGCACCTAGTCTAGGCAGTCGATTCAAAGCCATGCGGAGAGTTCGTGTTCCGTACAGTTTCGTTTTGTAGGGTACCTCCGGTACCTTGATTCTACCGCTGGCATGTGAACGGCAAGCTTCAATCCATTCTGGGAGAAATAAATGTAGAATAACCTTCTTTTGCATATAACTTTTTCGGGAATACTTTGTCAAAGCGGGTTTGAGGGTCAATTTAGGTACTTCGTTATTTCGAGTTCATATAAGCATTAAGCCCTAAAGGAAACTTTGGGAGAAACACAATCTGTTCGTTAGATCAGGAAATTTGTAAGATCACTGATCTTACAAACTTGATTTAACAAACCCCGATCTTAGATAGGGGTTAGTTAAATTGAGTTTTGACTGTATTTTAAACAAATCCTTTCACTCACTCCATGGGGCTAGTAGACTAATAGTTTCTGTACGCACCCTCAAATAACCATTCTATATAAAAAAAGAAAAAGGAACCTTGGAAAAATGACAGAGTGGCTACCGCTGCCACCAATTGTGAAGACTCTGGCTAGGAGCTGCACACACACCGTCGTCGGGGCCCGACGTTGAGAGACAGTACCCAGCACTAGTTCCAGCACATAACTTTACCTAAACTCGGCTTGAGTACGCGACACAGACAACTGCTACGACTTTCTCCGTCCGAAGGCTTGCGATGGCTAACCACCCTTTTTTCTTGACCCTCTTCTTTTTCCTCTTTTCTTCCCCTGGCCGCGAGGCAAGGATTCTTTGTAATCTGGAGCGAACGCCACGGTGGGACACACACACGTGCCCGCACGCACAGCACCGAATGAGTCGGTAATACACTCCGTCACAACATTATACTAAGGGACCCTGTTAAGAAACCTCAGCTGGCATTCTGAACCCCACAAGGTCTAAAAAAAGTACACTAGAGCCAGCCAGAGTAATAACATGAGGCAAAAGCACTTGACGCACGACAACAAAAGGAGCAGTGAACATCCCCATCTTGGTCTTGAAAGCCATTGTGGGAACCACATAAATAGTGGCCCTTGACAGCTATTTTAAGGGTCTGACTGTTCTATTCATTTGACTGTGCTACCTACATCAGCTATTTTAAGAGTCCAATTATCCTATTTGCTCAACCACATTCTTATGTCAGCTACTTCAGTCACACTGTTTCGTTTGTCCTACTTTAATACTTATTTCAGCTATTTTAAGTGTCCTTTTATTCTCTTCGGCCAACTGCATTACTTACGTTTGCAACGTGATATGGTGACGCGGATATAGGCACAGGTCATTGAACTCTGTAAAAAAAAATAAAAGAGGCTTGACAGCGACTTTCGATGGAAACTGGCGGTCGTAGCTGCCGCATAGAGCCGCTCTGCCGTCCCCCAATCGCAATCACGTGACAGAGAGCGGGAAAATGATGGGACTCACCTTGGCAGGGTCTTCTTCGAGGGACCTCCGCCTGACTCTGGGGAGGACCCGGTGTTGCGACACCGGCGTTGGGGGGCCCCCCGAGCCCAGGTCGAGGCCCCCGCCGCTCACGGGGAGGCTCCGGAAAGCGTCCACCGACACCGAGGCCACGACGGATGCCGTCTCGGAGGAGCTCGACGGGATCGCCATCGAGTGGGACCCCGGTGGTGAGAGCACCACCTGGCCCCTCTGGGGCGACAGCGGAGAGTGGTGGGCGAGGGAGCGCGCCGACGTCACCCTGTGGACAGAGTCGATGGACCCACAAGCGACGGAACAAGGTTAGCAGACACACAATGCCCGTGTGTCCCCGCGACCGCGTTCGTAAAAGTTTCGCACCTTTACGGACGGAGTAAAGGTTTTGTACCCTGATATTTGAAGACCTACCTGCATTCGGAGTTCCCGCGTTTGCGTTCTCGTGCGATACGAACCGCAGGGCTGGCTGAAAGCTCGGATTCTATCATGTCCTCACAACGTAACCGACGATGACGGTAACCCGGCGCTTTGTTTCTCGTGTGCCTGCGCCTAAGGCACGTGTGCATTCAACAACATTCTGTGACTACCACGGAATGACATGCAGCGGTGTCGGTGATTGCTAAAATTGATACGAGAAGTATTTTTCCCTCCTCATTTTATTGGACTGCTCTTCTCTCACTGGCAGATGAAGCTCGGACTACTGAAAATTGCGGCTGTTTTTGCAGGCGCGTGGGGAAGGAATCTGTGTTTATAATTTTCATCTCTAGTGTTAAAAAACCCTAGCATTGATTGTGGCCCCAAAGCTTGTGTAGCGCAATGAGGTAAGCGTACATTCAGCGTAAGCGTACAAAGCGTAAGGTAAGCGTACAAAAAGGGCCCGAGGGACCTGAACAAGTGGATTAGAGAGACTTCATGCCCCGTCTGTTTTTTCCAACAGTCTTAGTCCTTAGTGATATATAGAGTTTTGCAATGTTCACTCAACTGGCCGAGCAAGTCATTTTAGTAAAGTTCTCTGCATTCTTGTGGCTTGTTGTAGGAAACATTTCTCAAATTTTGATGGAAGTGTCCCAAATGAAAGTAATCAGAACCATAATTACAATCCCAACTGTAGTTACAATTCCAATTACAGTAGAACCTCCCTAATTCAAACTCTCTTAATTCAAACTCACAAATGATTCGAACTAACACACAGGTCCCGCCCTATATGTTTCTAGGAAGGAAACTCCCGGTTATTCAAGATTTGCATTATTCAAACTAAGTTGTGGTCCCCTCAAGTTCAAATTAACAAGATTCCACTGTAGTAGTAAGTTGTTCAAACTGTAAGTGAATTTAAATTCACATTTAGGGGGTTACCCTTAGTACTTGTAGAATTCGTAACCGACTGACGACAGCCATAATCTACAATTTTGTGCAATACAAAACGAAAAGTAAGGCAATACACAAAGAACATAACTTGTAATTTTGAAGAATTTGGCATCTTTCTCGAGTTTTTTCCAACACCGAAGACACTTTTTTTGTTAAAATTACCTTCCAATTTTTTTTTCCTTCTACTGTTCAGGTTTAAACAGATTTCCTAAAAGCCCAAGTTTCTTCAGCATGTCATATTGGTAGAAGCCTTACTTCGGCATGTGCCCACCAAATGCCGCAAAACGCAAAGTCTCATCTCCGCACACCGACGGCCCCTCACCTGGCGAGTGTTTCTGTCCTGTAGCTCTGGACGTCGTGGCGAATCATGTCCATCTCCTGCCTAACTTTGGAGAGCTCTTCAAAGATCTTCTCCTAGAGAAAAGCAAACGGAAAAAGAAAGAAGAATGAGAAAGCCGCGAAAAGGAGTTCTCATAGGATCACTGCGAATACAGCCCGTTTCTACGAATGACTCTAGGATCCTCTTTGAAGGTCAATCTACAAGCTTCTCTGCCAAGGACCAAAAACCAAAAACGCTGAAACTCAACGAGGGTACGCTGCAAAGCGGCAGAACCGTGCATCTCAGCGTCGCCATCTGGTAGCGTCTCGCTCGTTGCAGGACGCTGCAAGACGCGCCTGTGGCGACGCGAGCCTACTCTTCTAGGTTGTATTGCTCGATTTCACCTTCTTAATGGCACACCAAAATCCGTGGATCACACCACCGGAACAGCGAATCTACAGCAGAGGCACAGTGATCGATCAAGAATTCATTCCAACAATGAATCCCACGAGAGCCACGCCCTCAACTGGAAAACTCCGTTCCGGAGATGTGCTCGTGTTGCCGTCACGTTTAGCGCGGCTGTGCTTCGACTTCGACGACTGCCAACCAAACGCCCCCGTTTTCGAGAATCCCATCGACCGACCACCATACTTACTGGCGTGACTCCTTCAGAGTGGTTGCGGCGGTGCAACTGGCCGGTAATCAAAAAGACAGACCCTCTCCGAGCGATCCAAGAGGTAGGAACCGGCGGAGACGCACCTTCTCTCCCTGCGTGTCTTCGAGCACCTTGCGAGTGCGCTCCAGTTCTTGGGAGAGCATGTTCTTCTCGTCCAGGGCGTGCATGCGCTCCTTGAGGTGTAGCTGCAGCCGGTCGTTGCTTTCTGCAAGCAGCTTGTCCACCGTGGCAGACAGCTTCTGGTTGTGGTCGTCGTTCATCTTCTCGCGCTGCCGCGCCTGTAGGCAGACGCGCAAAGTCGCGGACAGTAAACAAGCTTGCTGTCAGATTAAAGGCCGGTTCAAAAATATGTTACAGTGCTGAATCAACACTAGGAATAGCTTGGATGAAGCCCCGATTTGCCGTAACTTAGCACTGATGCAGCGCTGTGTCACGGCTGTCACTAATGAACATGAAGTCAGTGCTGCCTCAGCGAGGTCAATGCCATTTCCAGTGCCCACTAACAGCACTGAGCTAGCTCTGTGTATGAGTGAACAGGCCTTACACCAAAGTTCACCTTTCTTACAGCGATAGCTCTATCTCCGTAACCCAAGCGTTTTACACAATCTAAAATTACGACTGTGTGTAGCATTTTTTTCCTTTTAGAAACGTGACGAAACGTTGCGAAGTGCCCCTTCCCTGAGATAAATTTCCGAAAAGGGGCTTGTTGCAAAGTTTCGCCGCGTTTTTCAAGGTCACACAGAATCGTAATTTTGCGTTTTTTAGGACAGTTGAGGTGCATAGATTAAGTTTCACCATAAAAAAACAATCTCAAAAATTACTTCACTACACCTTAAGTGGAGTTTCTAGATTTCAGTATTTCCCTTGAAAAATCATGCTTAAATCCGTACGCCATTAGGTGTAGCGATACCGGTAGTAACATTAGTAGCATAAATAGGTATAGGTAGTATCACCAAATTAATAACATAATCCACCCACCCCCCTTTTCTTTTCTTTTTTTAATGTATGTGTCACTTTGTTCATCTATTGCAACTTTTAGTCACCCACCTCTTTTAAAATGCCCCACTTTAGGGCCTTTAGGGTTTTATTAATAGAATAAATGCCCATAATTTTTTTTTTTTCGACAATTAGTAGAAAAGATATGGACACCAGAGATACAAACAGTTTGGCATTCTTTATCACATTATTCTTGACATGCGGCATGCAAGTACAACAGAGTTCTTAGGGGAACGTAAACACCGGTCGAGGCAATGCCGAGTTCCCAAGCGCGTGTGATTGAATAGCCTCAAGCAGCTGTACTTAGAACAGGTTTCTCCCTAGACCTTTCGGATAAGTTAACCGCAGTGCTCAATCATTAACCTTGTAACTCTACGGTAGGAGAAACAGACGCACCCTCATCAGCTCCCCAGCCTTCTCCTCGAGTTGTTGCTCCAGCCGGCTGACAGTGTCCTCCATCGACCCGTGCTTGTCCTTAAAAAAATAAAAAAATTAATAGACCCCTAATTGCAGCACAACTATACTATTTTCCTAGGGCACACACAGACTCCATCAATGCAAGTAGTAGTCCATTTTACACAGTGTGCTTATGCAGTCTCTCACAATGTGCTTTCAATGAAGCGCACAACCATGTCCTTGTACTATTTAAAACAGACCTCACTTCCGGACAGTGGTTCTCAAATGGGGGCCCACAGAACATTGCTCCTCAATCAAGCCAAGCAGTAAGGCTTCCTTCTTTTTCTACCACACACACAAAGAAACAAAAAAACATCAGTCTCCTTTTACACCAAAGCAGTTAAGGGCTAGTTTCCCCAGGATCATGTCCGGTACCAAACAAATGGCAACACCCGTGGTCTACACAACACTCTGGTTGTCGCCGTCACTCATAGATGGCGATAGCTGTCCAGAGTGTTGTGTTTGCCGGTTGTCTCCGTGCCGCCGTAACTCATAGATCGCAGCAAACTTTCCAGCCTCGGCAACCAGACAACTAAGCTGACCACCCGTCCCGCGACTCGCGGGACTGTCCCGCATTGAGGGCTCGTGTCCCGCGTCCCGCGAGAAATTCACAAATCTTCAAAATGTCCCGCATTTCACACTGTCGTAAAATTCACAATGCAACTCAAGGTGCTGCCGAACAACGGGGCACGGCCGGGGAAGCGCGGAGGTCACTGGGAGTCGCAATGGTACGCCATTTTCTATCCAAGCACTGCGGGAAGCGACCGTTTTTCTTGCAGGAGATCTGACGCGCATGCGCCGTTGTGCCTTTCCCCTTGGTGGCAAAATAGTGTAAGAGAAAATTGCTCGCCAAAAGTTTAAATATAAATTATTATTATTATGTTCGTGTCGTAGTGTCAATGCAAACAAGTTGCTGTAGAATTTTTTTTTCTTTTTTTTTAGTTAATACAGTTACACCAGGCAAAAAGCCTCACAACCTTCGAAAAAGAAAATAATGTTAACAATGTGCGTACGAACATGTTGATAAAAGTAAGCATTGACAGGAAACAATAACCCGAAAAAGGTTTACCGTTTCTTAATTTCATTTGATGCATTGAGTTCTGCTCAATGCATCAATGCTCAATGCATTTGATGCATGAGTTGATTTTTATGCTTTCAACTTCGACACATTTGATAACATACAAATATATCCCTGGGAGTGAAAATGATTTTAGCTTAATTGCTGCAATGCAATTTGCAGATGTATAAACAGCACAGGATATTAAATGTGTTAACAGAGCCTCAGTTCGTGGTCTGCGTGTTTGTAAATCCCCCCCCCCCCCTCCCCGTTCCCGCGTGTCCCGCATTTCGCTAGTAGAAAGGTGGTCACCCTAAAGACAACTGGTTGCTGCCGTCACTCATAGGTGGCGGCAACATTTCTTCAAAGGAAGAAGAGCGGGAGCAGATAAGCAGCGATGTGTGCAGCAGTGCAAATGGTTCTGCAATTGCCACGAAGCCGCTATCAGCTGAAGTTCCACTGTGTCGAGCGCTTCAGATTCCCTTGCGAAAGAAGAGCAGATCACTAGCCTGGAAAGCCACTGCCGAGAACAGAAGCTACAGCTCCGCTGCTCTTCCTTCTTCACCAGACTGGAAAGGCTGAAAGTTTCTTTTTATATTTCTTTTGAGTTCTACATTAGCGAGCCCACTTCATGCTACCAATTAGATGTGTTCGTTGGCCCTGCTTTTATAATCACACAAGTAATCCCACCTTCTCCCCTTGCCTTTAATGGGGTAAAGGGGTCCACAAACATCAATGGCTGCGTTAAAGCGCAACTCCGGTCAATTCCGAAAATTCTGGAATTACGGGCGATTATCATGTCTGAACTACTAATAAACGGTTCTAAGTCATTTGTTTTCCGAAAAGAGAAATAGCTGTCTTGCAAACATCATATAAACGAAAATGACAAAGCAGAACCGAAACGTTGCTTGAGACAGGCAACATTGGTCCTGCTCGTCAACTACTCCACATCACATGGTACGGAGACATGGGCTATGCCATCAACAAAAGCGGCAAATGGTGCCCCACCCTTCCTTTTTTCTCCCTCAGCCTAGCGCTCTGCACTCCAAAAAGTGAGACAAACAAAACAATTCTTCCTGTTGTTGACATTCTGTGCAGTGTTGGCTGTGCCCACCCAGTGGTATTGACTGGACTGCTCCGTACGTCGCCCGCTAGATTGGGAGGATTTTGGCGACCATAAAGCTGCTCCAACTTCATTAGCCAGTTTAATGAGCTTTTATGCGGAATTGGGTCAATATTTTTGCATGTAGGCTTTTCAGATGATACGACGTTGGACTGCATTGTTTTTTCAACATCAAAATTTGACCAAAGTTGCCCTTTCAAGTGGAGACAGCATGACTTCGACTCGCGTCACGCCGTTGGAGTCCCCAGTCTCCACTAAACGGGCTTTTAAGGCACCTCCAGATGCAGTTCACACCCTTTATGTGAATTTCTGGTCATTTTCTTTCATTTCGCTTTTCCTGGGGAACATTGCAAGGTGCCGCCTACGAAACAGGACTCAGAAGATGCTAATCTGATGCTGCAGCTGCTCAAGCGTAGGCTTGTGTTCTTGTTTGTTCTTTTTTAATTGCTTGAAATTGGGACTGAAGCGAATCCAACTGCTGATAAGCACGCCGGAATTCAATCGACTGTCTATTGCCAATAAAGGTAACGTTGCGAGCTTCATTCTGCTTACTGTAAAACTCCGTGAGAACGCCCACCCAAAATGAAGAGATGAATGGTAAAACATGGGGTGGGCTATCTTTGGGAATGCCACAGCAAAACTTCATCAAAAATTAATGATAAACACCTGGATACCCGCTACATACCACGTGACGCGGGAACTGATACCGCAGATCGCGGACACGGCAAATTCGCATTACACAATGTGATAAACATGCGGGAATTCGCTACGAACTACTACATCACAGGAAAGGATACCGCGGGTCGCGGATGCAGCAGATTCACGTTTAAAGGTGCGAAGGACCCGCAGAAACCCGCCGAGAACTTGCATCTCACGGGAACGGATACCGCAGATTGCGGACACAGTAGATTTAAGTTTCACGGTGCAACAAACACGCGGGGACCCGCTACAAACTTGCCTGTCACGAGAACTGATATTGCCCCCGCAAATCGCAGGCAAAAGCGCAGGAATCCACTACAAACTCGCACGTCACGTAAGCAGATACCGCTGATCGCGGACGCAACAGATTAGCATTTCCCGATGCAGTATACAAACGAGACCATCTCGCTGTCACGGGAGCCGATATTGAGCGCGGGGATTGCGAACAAGAACACGGAAACCTGCTATAAACTCGCTTGTCAGACGTACCGGTACTGCAGATCGCGCGGTTGATGCGATTCCTGTCAGACACCGTGTGACGTCCGACGCAAATCAGCGGGTGGGCATTGTTTCGAACTTTTACAGATATTTAGCCAGAAAAACAAGACGGGCAATCTCTTGGGGGAGGGCATCCTTACGAAATTTTACTCTAGCCGTCATTTCGGAAAAAGGCATAAACAAAGTCGGACTGTGAAGTTATGTGCATGTAGTGCGCACCGTATCAAAATACAGAAGCTGCGCTGCTTTCTTTAGCTAAGCATCTATGAAATCATTTAGTGAAACTGCCTCGGCAACAAAGAATGAACGCAATGTACGATGCAAACAAGAATTGCTGCGTTCTCGCGGTTGTGCTTGCCATAAGCTCGCATTACACGAACGAGATTGAAAAAACACAAGCAACATCTGGTGGACACTAGCAAGGGAAAGTAACAAACAGCGTTTACAAAGCCCTACGTGCCTATGCATAGCAACTCCAACAAAAAAAATTGGCATAGGGACGCAGACAATTTGTTTAATGCATCACACAAGACTACCACCACGTTCCCACTTTGCCAAAAGGCCCCACAATGATCCGAATCATATTTCATTGCTTCTGCAGCAATACATCTATCGTGAAGTCCGTCGGTTTATCGGACACCGTTGCCGGACAAATGGTGAATCGGCTACCAAAACAAGCGCGAGCCGCCCGCGATCGGCATCTGCTCTCGACGGGACCAGGCGGAACTGCGTCACCCCTTCTGGAAGTAGGACTATCCGACTCCACGAGCACCGAGTCCGAAATTTGACTCTAGTTACGAGCATGGGAAATGTGCGAGGCCCGCCTAGTGGAAGGAGGGACTCGAGTCATGTCTTTGAGTCGCTACTTAACGCATCCCATGGTTGAGAACCACTGATCCAGGGTGCTGTGGCCATCACTACAAAACTAATCAAGTCTTTTGAACTAACCTTAACCAAAAAAGTTATCCCACATGTCTGCTGGATTCATGCACAATCCACATAGTGGCTAGACAGTGGATTCCACACTGACACAAAGATAATGCAGGGTACCGAACAGGATGTTCAAAAGGCATCTATGGGACATTGTTACTATCTGCAGGAGCAACTGGCTTGTCGGGGAAGGCAGATAATTCTATATTCATGAACAATAGGTACCTAAAAAATGTGGACCATGTCTCCAGAGCTTTAGCATGGTCATATTGAATTCGAGAAATAAACAATAAATGCAGCATCAGCCACTTCACATAGACGCTAGACAGCAGCAAGTGGGAAAAGTAGCTCACGTGGGCAATGATTGAAGCAATGTCAACGTCTGCCTCCTTCTTTGAGAACTGCGCCAACTTCTGTTCTGCAAGTTCCAGACGTTCTTGTAGAGCTCTAATCTTTTCTTCACTCTGGAAAAGAATCATTCATGATATCAGAAATAAAGACAAAGCAGTGTTTATGAGTCCAGCCTTTGAAAATGGAAATGCAGAGTCCCTGTATCATCCACACACTGTTTTTGATGGTACTACAAAAAAAAAACTGCTATAAATATTGTTAAGATGGAGGTGCGAGCCTTTGCTTCTAGGACTCGTTGCACACGCGGGGATGTTTTTTCTGTCTGTTCTTATTTTTAGAGCGCAGCTCTTAGGCGCCAGCCACGCGTGTTGCATTATGGGATGTTAGTTGCCCTGCTAAGATTAACAGGGTAACTGAATTGGTGTTTAGGTCACGCAACGTCAATTTCCCCACTAACTTTAGCGAGGCAACTTAACCTGCCAAATTTAGCGAGAAAATTTTCACTAAATTTAGCAGGAAAATTTTTGTTGAATTTCTCGCTAAATGGGAGGGGAGGAGGACAGGAGGGTGTGGAGAGGCATACTCTTCCCCCATACCCTCCTCCTCCTAGAAAGCTGCGCTCTAATTTGGCATTAGGGAGAATTATAAATGTCTTTAATTTTTTTGTGTTTTCCTTTGTCTCGGGTTTTAACGAGAGTAGCTCAAACTGGCTAGTTTTTTCACCTGCTTTCTAGTGAACTATGGCTCACACCCCAGAAATAAACGAGGACATGTCGAAAGAACCGGTCGGGACGAAGTGTGCGGAGAGAACAGGGGTACTCGCCAGTTTCAACTGCGCCTCCTTGTTGGAAAGTTCCTGCTCCAACTTTTCGTTCAGGTCGTGGAGAGAAACACTCTCTCTCTGCGCGTTGAGACAACGCTTCTCCAGCGTCGATATCCGCTCCTCCTGGTCCTCTTTCTGGGCATTGTTCTGCAAAGAAAATGCAGTAACCTCTTGAAGTAACTCCCAACAAGGCAGTGTTTGCCAGTCTCAATAAAGCATAATTAGCAAAAAAAATGTGGGTAAACATTTATCAAGATTAGAGGACACCAGATGCTAGCACGGTGGGCCCCAAGTCCGGTATGAATGCAATCTCGAAAGTTTGCACACTGGACTAGGGAAATGCTCTCAGACACGAGGCCGCAGTCACTGAAGCCAAACCGTTTGATGCTGCAATGCCTTTGTGGTTAGATTTAGATTTATCTTTGGGACTAATCGTGCAGCCCACCCTTGTGCAAATTCCTTTGCCATGCTTTCACAGCCATTGGTACGGTACTTCCGATAGTACACACAGGCTCAGCACATGCTGTAAGCGATTTTGTACAACGCTGCAAAGGTGAATAACACAAACTCTGGCCCGAGGGACATTCTTTCGTTTGCACGACCGTATGCATGCTAAAAAGTGTCATTCACATTCACAACATAGACACAAAAAGGTGATCGTGGATCAGGTGTGGAAGCAGCCAAGAACGAAGCTCGCAGACACATTTTCGGATGTAACTACAAAGTTTGCAAACGCGGGCGAGACACTGATAACAAAATCGCTGTACACGGAAGGTGGACACCTTGAGCACACCAGAAGCACACAACGAACGCCAAAGGCACAGGTGATATTCGTCCTAGTCCGGAAACCATCAACCACTCCTCCGAACAAAAGGCCGTCGTGGAAGTTCACACTTGGGAATGTCGAGCCGTCGAATGCCAAAACTACGACGCCTCGATCACATCTCCGAACGGCGCTCTTGCTCTCTTATCAGACCCACGCTCCGAAAGACATCCCGAAGAGGCAAACTATTATGCCGCAGGAGCCCAACTGCACACAAAAAAAGGTGAGCAGATGCGAGGGTCTCTGTCGTCGCGACGCCCAAACTGGTGTCTGCTTCGGTTTCCGTCGATTGTCTGTCTGGCTGCAGAGCGACCCGCAGAGACAAGTCCATCTGCAACGCCCATTTCCACCGCTGTGCGCCCGCCGAGATTGCAACAGGCAAAAGCACAACACTTTTGTAGGGGCGGGCAAAGAGCAGTTTGAATCGAATAGCACCACGTCATTCGCAGCCTTTGCGGTGGTGGGAAAACCAATGACAGACGGGCTCTTTGCAGCGTTGAAGCTGAGAATGACGCTGCGCCATTCGATTCTAACCGGTATTTGCCCACCCCTATGCTTTTACAATGTCGTTGGATTAAAATTAAGGGACCATTTTTGAGGATGCAACAGACGCACCACAGTACCGCGCCAGAACTAAGGCTCACCTCTTTGAGGTCCCTGGCCAACCGCGCATTCTCCTCTTTCATATGAGACACTTCTTTCTGGGCAAGGGCCAAGGCTTCCTCTAGCTCTCGGACGCGGGGCAGAAGCTCGTTGATCTTCGTCCGCGCCAGCGACAGTTCCGCCGCTTGCTTCTCCAGCATCTCCTGCAGCTCCACGACCTTGCAGGCCTCCTCCGCCACGTCCGCCAGGCCATTCGACACCTGCGAGTGAATGTCGAGACAAACCTTGAAACGTTTCGTGCCAATTTCTGCGAGGGTACGGTAGAAACACATTCAAGCTTCTTCGCGTCAGTATGCTTTTAGATGTGATGCTTTCTCTTGTTAACATCGGGAGGAGTTTCAACCAATACGGTAAGTGTGCTAAGTTATACAGTAGGCTTGCAACAATTCAAGCTCGGATATTTCATACTTTTGGTCAATTCAAACAAATTTCAACATTTTGGTTGTCCCGCTATGCTTTCAATGCTTTCATAAGCTGCTTATTTCTAACAGCATTTTTGTGAAATTCACACTTTTTGTTCTCGCAGCCCCGTTGAGCGCGCTCCTTACCGAGCACCGGTGCACTTAGGAGAGGCAACACCCCTAGAGCTTGCTTCCACGGGTGTTACTTCTCCGCAGTACACCGGTGCTCGGCAAAAAACGCGCTCAAAAGGGCCAATAGTCCGCAACAGACAACTTTTTCGCTGGATGGACAACTTTCTTTAGAGGTGTCGCATGCTGCCTTATGAACAGTCCACGACAAAAAACATTTTCAAGGCACGAGTAAACTCGTCTCGTACATTTCACCAATGTTTTGCATGTGGTATACCTGTTTACGATTAACTCTTTCCTTACAATGGGAAAAGTAACAATTTTCAAAGGAATCGCACAAACGCTTTTATTTTCCTATATAATTTCTACAAGGAGCAAAATGACACATCATAATGTGGCCAATTAGTTGTTCTTGAAAAAAAAAACAAATTAGTATAATGCAAAAAATATTTTAAAATTTCATTTTTTGAAAATGTAATGTACATGCGGAAGGCGTATAGACGCTGAAACTTCTATGTCTATATCAAATTAAACAACAAATTAAAAAAATCCCGAACATAGAAAATGTGCCTCACACCCAAGGAATGGAAAGTTAGTGTACTCTAACTAACATTGTTTATTTGTGGTTCGTTGGAGAGTTAGCCTCCGTAGCACATGTGCTTTTCAATGAAGGAATGCTTACATTGATGAAGCACAGATAGTACACCTCACATCCCCAGCAGAATGCTTTCTTTGTGTCCTACCTTGGTTTTGTCATAGCTTACAGTCAAACCTCGATGTAACAAACTTCTATGTAACGAAACCCCCGATGTAACGAAGTACATAACTTTTTCTAAACGCAAGTGTATGCACACCATGTACTTTTGACCTTTATGTAACAAAGTCCCGTTTGCCGAAATTTTGATGTAACGAAGTTTCGTGAATGATTTCTCACAAACTTTTGGGTCCCAAAGGAGATTTTGGGAAGCACATGCGCTGAAATGGGCCCCCTATAAAGCTCAAAAGGTGAAACGGGCCGAACCTGGCGAGTGTGGTGTACAGAATGGCTACTAGAGGACACTAGAGCTGCCGTCATTTCGTCTGTCAGCTTCGTCTGCGCTGTGTAGTTCGTTTTGAGAACTAACTAAAAGCGTGCGTTTCTCATTGTCCTGGGCGATGGAGCCACGAAGGCGGTGAAACCGCCCCTGACAACGTCGAACTCGACGGCTTTCTACACACCGACTCTGCTGTCATTGCGACGGAGGAGGTGACCGACGAGGCAATAGCTAGCTATGTTCGTGGGAATTTGCAAGACGGGGACGACATCGAGCCTGATGGTGGTTCACGATCACACAGCAAAACAAAGACGCAATGCAGGCCGTCTGGCTATGCGAACGTCGTGTGATGCCAATAATAATACCAAGAGTGGCCTAAAGAAAGGTGACTAACTACTTTCAACCGAAATAAAGGCGTTCAAGGTGAGTTTTGTGCACCCGAGAAACATTTGTGGAAACTTTCTTTAACACTAGCCTCGAACTTCTATGTAGCGAAATTTCAATGTAAAGAAGTAAATTTCGAATTTTACCGACTCCCTTACATTGAGGTTTAACTGTACTTAGAAATTTTGTGCACCTTGTTGGAAACAAAACATGCACACCGGCTCAGGACAGCCTTGGAAATTATAGTGATGCTTACCGACAACAATCTGTTAAACGACACCTGTAACATTACTTGAAGCATCCCCAGAGCTCTTGAGGTCTAAAAAATATGCCACAAAACAGTTCAATTATGAAAGCAATGCCATCTTTGTAACGAAAACTGATGCAAGCAGTTGGCCATTTTGGATAAGTGCAACCACCTTTCCGAGGACTATTTCTGACAGCCCACCACCTTGCGATAAAGCTTAAACCTACCTTGAAATCGAAAATAGCATTCTTCGGCTGTCCACGAGATTGTGGAATATACCGTAGTTCTTCGCACTAAATTTAATTTCTTGACGGCACTTGGAAACCATCTATCACCGGTGATCAATGGCTTATGGGCGCAGTCAGGAAAGAGTTAAGTAGGCCCGCATAGAGGAAATCATAGAATATCTCCTTTTTACGTATGAACGTATGACAAACCGTAACTTCACCTTGCACCGTATTCGAACGAATTTCCGGTAATTCAAACGAAATTCCAGGCTTCCCAGAGTTTCATAACTAATGAGCACCTACCTACCGTATCATGCAGTCGGAGTATGACAAAAAAAACGGTGGCACAATGCCTGCTTGAGCCGTAAAGGCTGGGTCACGCATTTGCGTCCGATCGACTGCGTCCCAATCGCTCCTGACCGCTTACAACGAAAGAGCACACTGGTGCCATCTATTGAGCAGCCCCGGAACACGTTATCTATTATCTGTTTTAACAATGTAACCAGAAAACCCTTCTCATAAATAGTGCATATATTGTACCTTGCACGCACCGCAAAACCTTCCAGCTATACGAAGATCTAACCGACAGAGGGCGCCAGTACAGTTGACCACAAACGCGAGCGTGCGAACCAGCCTCAACTGTCGCCGCGACCCTTTGTCGTCATTGCACCTCTCGTAGTCTGTCTTAGGGCATCCCGTTTCGCCAGAGTCAGAAATAAGTCCTTACCTTGTTCCCGTGCAGCGAGTTCTCAATCGCCACGTCGCCACCCTTCTTTTCCTCCAATATTATTGTGCCTTTCGTCTTGAACTGCGTGATCTGAAACGGGAGCACGCGGCACCTGTGAACCTGTTTCTTGAATGAAACGACGCATAGGTGAAATAACGAGAAAGTGTAAAATGTGTGCGGCACACTGAAGAAAAGAAAGGGCTCACTTCTTCGTTGGCCTTGGTGAGTTCTTCTTCCAGAGTGCCGACGCGTTCCAGTGCCACTCTCAGACGTTCTCTGACCTGCGGGAACCGAAACATTTTTATTGTGTGCAAAGAACGGAAACGCATTGAAGCCTGGGCAAAGTCAATGGCATCTTTAAGTGATCCAAAACCTTCTGGAAATAAAAGTAATGGATGTAATGAATCATGAAAGAAATATGAGACACCTCAAAAACACTCTCAACTGTGCGGAGGTAAAAATAAGAAATAGGCTGGCGCCGAAATTAGACGACTTTTAAATGAGGAGCAGGCAAATATGATGACCATAAAAGGAGCGATGGGCACTGAATAACAGTTTCCCCTCCGATCATGCCCCTCCTCTATTTTCTAGACATTCATAAAAAGAGCTTGAAAAAAGGTTTCGAAGCTCGAAAACTTTTAAATATTTCCAAGATTGTTGCAGACAAACTGCTAAAAGCGAAAACCCAGATTTATACTGGTCAGAAAATAGAATTTACATGGTGGTTCATTCAGACAAAGATATCAAAGAATGCTCTTTGCTACATACAGTATGATTTGTAAAGTTATCAATCTCAGCAAGCAGCAAAAATTGTTTATGCAGCAAACAATCAAATTAATATTTAATGAAAACACTATTACAGGGGAAGGTTCTGTTTACAGCAACAAAACTAAAGAACCCAGCAATTCCACATAAGAACAAAAATGTAGCAGCAGCATAAAAAAACACCAGTCACATAGTGGAAAACCTTTCTCAGCTCAGCTGCTCATGGAGCACAGAAACTTCCCTGTCACACTTCAAGACATGTTTGAGTTAAAAGGTCGACTCAATAACAAAAAAGGGATGAAATGCAACTGGCATGGACTAAACAAGTGAATTGATCCTATTAAAGAAATTTATCTGTCAAATGCACGTCAATCGTGTGTACATTAGAAATAGTATGTACCTTCTCATCCAGAGCCTTGTGGTGTTCAAAAAGCGACTTGAGGGCCTTCAGAACTTCGACCTCTGAAGAGACGCCGGCCGGGGACTGAGCTTGCCGCTTGACCACAGTCATCCGTAAGGAGCGTTCATGGCGAGAGACTAGACATTCCAAGTGTTCAAGGAGCAACTGCACAAAGAGAATCACAAAATCTGCATACTTAGACACAGAAGGAACTTTGCACCTGCAGCCCAGTTTTACAGGCGCAATAAAGGCCTTCAGAATAACCTCCTTCGAAGAATTAACCAATAGGCTTGCAATCTCCATTCTGCGAGTGCCTATCAGTGCGTGCTGGATCGACGATTATTCAAAGAAGTTCCCTCTGAAAGCCCTTAATTGCACCTTTTTTTCCAAAAAAATGCATATTCAGAACTGCAGAGTTTTGGCATGTATGGATAACAAGGAACACTTTCACAAAGTCTTGTCAATGTGCACTGACAAACAATGTCAAAAATAATTATTCTTTATATGTTGGTGAGGTGTGCTGCACTGCATAGCACTTGTCATCCACAAGTGAAAATAGCTGAAAGCATTGTCAGTATATCAGAAGAAGTTTGAGAAAGACATCACCTACACTGCTGGAAAGAATTTCTGATATTTAAGATGAAAAAGGGAATTTTTAAAACATCATCTTGAAACTTCAAGTGCATTTATCTCAGTTTCACTTTTGGCAGCAGATCCCACCTTAATAAAACTATAGTTTCAGTATGAAACTACCGGGAGACTTAATATTTGCGGATTATATGCCGAAATTTTATCGAGCCGGTTACTGTGAACTTATATTTTGCATTTTCATGTTCTTTTATTATGAAGAATTGTAATTTGCAAAACTTGGCAAATGTAAAAGAAAAAAAAACTTTTATATATTTTTTTTACTTGAAAAATGCAGTTTCAAAAATTTCATTTCATAGTAAGCGGCAACAAGTATTCCAGTATGCATTCCACCAGAAAAACATGTGGTGATGAACACCATTTCTCAAAGATAGATTCATTGAGCAGATTCCATACAAAGCTACGTTCCGGGGGTATAGTACCTCACAAAATTTGTTCACAGGGCTGAAACTTTGCATGCCCTCCTTCTATATGGCTAGAAACATCACATGCAAATTTCACGCCGATTGAGTGAGCAGTTCAAAAGTAGACATGCCAAGGTATTGTCCCCCCTTAAAGGGGCCCTGCAAGGACTTTTTTACTGGTTTTTAATTTGCACCGAACCTGAGCGCACTGAAAGTAGTAACTTAATGAAACTCTTCTTTTCTCAAAATTCACTTTATTTTAAAAGTTATAGGCAAATTAAAATTACAAAAAGAAGCAAAAAATAACCTCCTTCGTGACGTCTTTGGTTGCTTGAGTGGCCGTGAACTAGAGGAGGCATAGTGAGCTCATCGAGCGCTCGCGGCTGTCGCAATCCACGTCGACGGCGTAAGAGGGCGCCACTAAAGCATGTTCTGGATAAGTTGTATGCAGCGGGCGGCCAGAGAGGCTCTCATTGCATTTGCTGCGCAATTAAACACTAATTCGGCATGACACTTCATTGGCCACAAATGACAGCAAACACGGGGTAAAATCAGTTCAGAATGGGAGCCACTTCGCTCTGCCATACCGCGAAACGGCTAAACCGCAAGACAAAGCTTCTTGCCGAAGGCCTTCGGAACGCTCGGAGCCGGTCGGATCCTCCTGTCCATACGACCGCAGCGTCACCGCGTACATCCGAGACCTTTCGTGTCGGCGCCTGATCCCACTACTCCTTTCTAGTATGCGCCGCCTTTTCCTCCGCTTGGTGGCGGGTATGTCGACGAGTCATTTCTTGTTTCCGTACTTTATAAACTGCATTCGTTTCTTTTCTGATCTAAAATACTGAACAAAAACTACTTTTATAAATAATTTAAACAGTTCACGCCACTTATATTTTGCATTTCGACTAAAAAGAAGCTTTTAGCGGCTCTGACCAGTAGTAAGCCCAGGACCAAAGACGTCACATTTTGCGCGCTTTCGGTACCGTGGGTCACCCTCGTCGGTGGAGGAGGTTTCTGCATCGTCCGGTTCAAATTTGACGCACTGATATTTAGTTACTCTCTCCGTGCCCCACTGGCTTGCACGAATTCCAAGAGACGTGAAAGCCACAAAAAGGGTAGACGCTTAAATATGATTGCAGGGCCCCTTTAAAGGGATGCTAAACCGAAATTTAGATTTCACAAAATAAGCTTACAAAAGTGTTCAACAGGGCACCATAAACCACGAAACATCGCTCATATAGCCATATCTTGAGGAGCGAATGAGGGAGAATGTTGATGTCATCTTATTGCAGAAGAGTTGAGAAAATGGAGAAATGGCCCCGATCCCTTTTCTCTCCGCACCCTCGCGGAGTCAAAGCAAAAAGTGGAGGAAATGAGAATCGCGAGGTCACGCTTCTTTTTGGCCTTGTGCGAGCGCGCTCTTCTTTTACAAAAATAGGATGATTCGTTGGGGATACCACTTTATGAGTGATGTTCTAGGATTTGTAGCGTCCCGTCTATCGATTCTGCGTTGTTTTCTCAAATTCGATTCAGCATTCTAAAATCATTCGAATGCTGAATCATTCGACGAGCAGCATTCAACGAGCAGCCAGAAATGCATTCAGCATTTCTGGCTGCTCGTCGGCATTAAAGGCCGACGAGACGCCAGAAAGAAGGAAACTCTCTCTTAATTCCTTCTTTCTATCCGAAAAGGAGGAGACCTTCACCTTCCTCCTTTCTGCAAGGAGTAGCTCAGAGACCCACTCCTGCAGAAAAGCGAACAAGAGGAAATGGAGACAAAGAAGCTGGGAACCAGTTTTCTGCCCGGCAGAACATGCTTCTGTAGGTCGGCGTTTAATGTGACCATAAAAAAAGGAATATCACTATGCGTTTGTAAAATGCACACTACATGACACAGTTTGCCTCAATGACACCGGAGCAATTTGCTGGCAAAGTTTGTTGGGGCAATCTGCATCATAGTTTGTCCGTTGTGAGTAAAATACAACTTTTAAGAGGGTGGTTGAGGGGGGGGGGGGGAAGAAAGGTTGTCTTTGAGTGAAAGGTCACATCTGAAAGCGTGAAAGGTGGTTAGTACTCTCTAATGTCAAGACGATGCAGTGATACGCATCACGACGAAATGGTGCAATCCTGCCTGCAATCATTGTTGATAGGGTATCTTATTTGGGAGTAGCCACGGAAGTTGGACATGGATTAGAATAATATTCCTGTTGCCTGTAAACACTTGCGGGAACAAGAGCGCTCAGAAACAAGGGTTCTATACACTGATCCTACGAGGGTAAAGATGCGCCACTACTATATGTTTCATCCAAGAGGTTCCGCATGACCAATTACATAGATTGCAATTGAAGTATGTTCACGTGACTTGATTGCCTTTCAATTGCTCCAGCAAATGCCAGCACAATGAAAACACAAAGAGATGTCCACTGTACCCATTATAAATCTGGAGACTTCATTCTGCGGCTATGCCTCAAAAGATTTCCCGTTTCCGCTATAAATGCGACTTGAGGTATGCAAGATTCTACTTTGAGAACAGTGCTGTTGCAAGCTTTGAAATAGGGTAGCCGGTGGACTGCATTACCATGAACAGCAGAAATGGGCCAGGAGCATAGCAAAGAAGTTCCGTAATTGACAGACTTAACACCGCATGAAAAAAAAGACAAATTGGACACCCACCCTTGTGTTATTTCGTTCCGCTTTCAATTCTTGTATCTCCTCTTCCTTTTCCAGAAGTTGTTCTCTTGCTTGGTTAAGCTCTTTGGTAAGTGTAGCGAATTCCTGAAGAAACAAAAATTGGTGCACATCACTTTAAGGCTTTCTCAGTGATAGAGAGATTTGCCAACAGTGCATCACGATCACATGCGGCAATCAACTTTCATGCAGATGCCAGCAGACTCACCAACAGCGTCCACCAACAGGTGGCAAACACATTGTCTATGAACATCGAGGTACGACCAGCAAAGAAATGTTACAGAACAATAACTGGCGTTCTGTGAGCGCAGCTTCTATTTTGGTTTAATTTTTCTTTCATATTGGCAGAAACGACTGATTGACTTTCGGCAAAGTGGGAACACACGGGAAACGGAACAAATAGTCCCGGAATAAATGATCCCGGAACTAATGGTCTCAAGTACAAACTAGGAAAAAATGGTCCCAGATAACTATCGCTAATGTGGCTTCTGAGTTTTCAAATAAATAAGATAAAATCCAATGACACTCGCCGAATTTTGAGGCTGCCAGTTGCACAAACTTTACTGTTTTGTATATTTTTCTGGGAAGCTCAGAAATGTTTAGCGCTATGTAAACCTAATGCACCTATAAAGGCATCAGGCTCCGCTCATTATGTGTGCTACCACTACGCGTCATGACGAGATGGGAGTAATTCGAGTTTTATGGCTTCAACAGGGGGACTAGAAGGAAAGGCACTCCCTTGATCGAATGACGTTTCAGCGAATGCCCATGTTTCACCGAATGACACTTTAGCAAATAGTCTGCCGCCGCGAAGCGGCTTTTATGGGTGGGGAAAGTTGGTTCACACTTTTGGAGTGAGTTGCCGCAGACTGTCGCCGTGAAGCAGCGTATGCTCAGCATGGGGGGGGGGGGGGGGGGTAACACATGTTCTGTTATTTGCTAAAACGTTCATTCGCTCAAATGTCGCTGTTCACTAAAACGTCATTCGCTCATGTGATATGAACTAGGAGTACTCATTTTTCGCTCAAAAGAGCCTACTGATATATTCTTAAGCCCCTTATATAAATGTAGCAATAGCTCTTATAATATCGTATAAGGCCACTAAATTAACAGTTAGGAGATAACTGCTGGACAATATTCATTGCAAAAATATTCTGACGATTTCGAATAAAACTAAGTTCAATACCCGACCACTTCCTTCGAAGTAACCGGCCTCAAAATATACACGAGATCCTTCATTCCACCAGGAAATCACTGATTGCATAATGGATAAAGTAGATTGCATGGTATATCTTAGTTTCAGATCCGTCTTCTTACTGGACCATTTTTTCCTACCTTGGACTTGGGGCCATTAGTTCCGGGGCCGTTTGTTCCGGGACCATTAGTTCCGGGACCACACACCTACGGAAAACGTGCCATTATATGGTAGCCTGTGTTGAGTTACGAGCTTCCCTGTGGGCCTGTTCTGAAGCCGACCTGCCAGCATGCCGGGCGAAGAGTTCAATATATGTGCACACAAGTGGTCGCAGCATAGAAACGCCATAACTTCTGTAGGAAACAAGGCCGATCAGATAAGTAGAAACGCAAAAATGCGAGCCTGAACGACAGAAGACAAAGCCAAAAACACGGCTGGTATTTTATCTCCATATCAAGGGTACGACAAACAAACAAAAATGACATGGATTCTGTATCGCGTTGGCGGTCACCGTAACCTGCTGAGATAACATCGACACGCAAACAAAAAAAAAAAAAAACTACGTAACTCCGGCGTGTCAGGGAGAACAAGTGTGGCAGTGTACACGATTTTGGTATGAATTGGAAACCATCCGTGCGGGAACCACGGAGAAAACCTACCTGCGGCAAGTTGGCCTGCAACTGCCGTTGGAGCGAGTCGCGTTCCTTCTCCACATCGGTCAGCTTCTGTTGGTTCGTCGTCAGCGTCTCCTGCGTCTCGCGAAGCGTCTCCATCAATTTGTCGCGTTCGTCCAACATATTCACCATCAGCTGCTCGAAATTCGCCTCATCCCCGGAGAACTGGCCGCTGCGCTGAGCGATGCTGTCCTCCGAGATGGTTGGCATCACGTCGCACATCATATTCCACATCTTGGAAGGTCTCCGCGGCGTCGAGGCAAAGCCCCGACGATCAAACACCAACACCGGGTCACGTAGAAACTAAATACGGACTCGCCGGCGATTCACAAACCGACGGGGCGACTTGGGGTTGCGGTGAACAAGCCGTTAGGCTTAAGTCGCTGGCATGTTTGGACGACGGGCTACATTGGGAGCGGCCTGGCCCGTACACCGGTGGGGAGTTCCGCGGACTTGAGTTGTGGGCTTCCCGACGGACCTGGTTAGATCCATGCCTGAAGCCGGTCTTTGCTCCGGCTTGCGCGGAAGCCCTCGGCACAGTCGGGTCCGTAGGCCTGCCGCCCGCTGGTTCCGATCTCCGGCGACTTCATTTTGACATCGGCGTACTCACTCGCTCACTTCACCGCAAGCTCTTTTTTTTGTGTGTGTGTGTGTGTCTGTGTGTTTAGGAGTCGGGAGGAGGAGGGGGAAAGAGGGGCGTGAGCCTCCGAGCGCCCTGAGCGCTCGCAGAAATGTCTGTATTCCGCCGCGCCCGTTTCATTTACGGGCTTTAAAAAGGGGGAAAAGAAAAGGTTTTGTTGGAATCGGATGCCTCTTGCGTGTCCAGAGACTTTTCACATACGGATACATGTTTTCTTTGTTTGTTCGTGTCTCACTGCAAGCCATCACATTTTTGCAGGATGCTAAAATTGCGCGGAGTTCCTCATACCGACGCTAGGACGCGGATGTTCCAAACGATTTGGTTTCGGTTTTTGCCGGTTCCTTCAGTTCTGTCATGGTTTCGCATTGTTTTCGAAGTTTTTGCTTTTGTCAAGTGATTTTTTCACGAATCTTGCGTGCTTGAAAGTGAGCTTTAATCAGGGACTGGCCAAATCCCAGTTGCCGTCTTGTAAATAATGTAAAATTAACTCGGCCAAATTTTTTAATGGGTCCCGGGCTCCAACAGTTCTTTTCTTCACTAGAGGACTCTACAAACGCTAGTGTGGTCTTTGTGTTTTAAAATAAATTTGAGTTTTTAACGGATTTTATTTTTAAATAACTGTCAAGCTTTTTTTTAGGCTTTTCTAAAGAAAGTGCAATAAGTTATTGTAAGAGTCAAAAGTAAAAACAAAACAAAAATTAGAAAGAATCGGGTTGTGAGCGCCATCTCTCCAAAGACCAGTCAACCCACCGTGGAGATTTATGGATGGAGCGGATGGAGATCAAAATGGCATCAATGGATAAGCCGTTCATTCCAGATTTTTACAGGGAAAAAGACATTTTTGTTACCGGAGCGACTGGATTCATGGGAAAAGTAAGTAGCTTCATATGTGGGGATTCAAATTCAGAATGCGACATCCAGAGAAAACACTATTTGGTCCCCAATTCCTTAAATGTACTCCTCAATGGTCCGTATAGACTATAGATGTCATCTCGGCTGCGTTTCAAAGCTTTTCGGTTTCATTTGTGAGCATTTTATTTAAAACGACGTTGCACTACCTTCCTCTTTCTACGACTTTTACTAGCAAAGTCAGTGTTGAACTAAGATCTCACAAAAGCCGTCATATCACCGACCAGTATATTCCTGCTTTACCGTGGATTGTAATTTCACATCCATATATAGATATATACGCCTTAGACGTAGACTCCCACAGATAAGTGTGAAGGCCAACTTGAGCTCTCCGAACCTTTGGCAAAATAACCAAATCCAAAGCACGGATATTTCTCTGAGTTCCTTAAAGCTGACTTCACCTCTTGAACGCTAGTATTGCGAGAAAGAAAGCTTTACAGAGCACATACTTGTAAGGGGATGTAGTCGTGGTGGGGCGTGTAACTGTTATATGTCGAACAAGTCACCTTCACAAACCGCTTTAACAGATTAAACATTATCAAGGGCGGAACACCAAAATACGGAAGATATTCGATTCAATGTATGGGTGGGTAGTTTAGTCAGTTGTCTCCTCCTCTGTCTGGACGGTTGCTAACTTGAACTTATGGATAGGTGCTTCTGGAGAAGTTGTTGAGATCATGCAACGGACTCCGCCGTATCTTCGTCCTCATGAGAGCCAAGGGAGGTGCATCTTCGCAAGCTCGGCTGGACGAGCTTTTAGACGCTGAGGTAAGTGAACCGTTTTTATCTGTCTTCCAGAAATTGCTCACACTATTGCGGCTGTCTATCAATGACAATAATCACAAAATTGGTGACGAGGGGTTTCCTTCGTCAGTGTTTTTATGATTATTCTCAGAAATAAAAATATAAGTTGTTTCTCTCTCTCTCAGAAATAAAGAGCAACAATGACAAACAAACAAAAAAACTTATGGAAGGGTTTCTAGTTCAGCGTAAAAATCGGTGACTGTTTTAATAATATGAGATCAAAATTTACGACTATTTATTCTGCCTGAACGCCCCTAAATTAAAAACCAGAGAGAATCAGATTGGCACTAATGAGCGATACTGTTGGAGAGCAGAACATGTAAAATAAAACCTCATTAGTTTAATTCCTTGAGCCTATCTTATAACATGTCCCTAGAACTCATTCATGGCCGTTTCTTTTTTATTTTATTTTTTATTGTTAGCTTTGAAGTACGTCTAGGTACAAAACATTCAGAATAAACGCTCATCAGTCAATTGAATTTCCGGTTTTTATTGGTTTCTATTTCTAACAAAGAAATAAGCACAGATTTACTACTGTTTATTTTCTTTTCTTTTTTTTCTGAATACAAACTGAAAATCCAATTTAACATTAATTGTCAGTAATACCTCTATTGGAACGTTATTATTGTGTGATTGGTTTTGTCTCTTATCAGTCCACGAAAGAGCCGAAAAGGCTGCAGCTCGTCGATTTATTAAAACATCCACCAGATGACGCTAGACGTCTGGCGCTGGGCGCTGCCACCTAAAGCGCTGAATTCATTTTAGCGCTTTAGTGCTGATCGAAGGGTGTAGTCGTACTCATTCATATATACATCCACTCATTCATCTTCGAAGGCTCAAAGACAGAGTCAGGCTCCTTATTCGCAAACGTGCAATGGCATCTATTTTATTATTATTTTTTGTGTTTTAGCACTGCTCGTCGATTTAGAAAACATCCACCAGATTGCGCTACACGCCTGCGTCATTCGCGGTGTAGAGGCGCCCGAGAGCTGCCGCTGAAAGCGCTGAATTCATCGTAGTGATTTAGCACTGATCAAAGGGTGTAGCCGTATTCATTAATCTATCCATCTATTCATCCCTCGATTCTTTCGTCTTCGAAGACTCAGACAGAGTCAGTCTGCAATGTCATTTATTATTATTATTATTAATATTATTTGTGTTTTAGCACTGCAACCTCATTGCCCACCTCTACGTGAGCCTCTTTTATAAAAAAACGTTTAACTTATCACATGTAACAGTATGAGTTTATAGTTTTATGATATAGTTTTGCGCGATAGACTCGTGTAATATCGTTCTATAGCACACAGAAGAAAAAATCAGATTAAAGGCTATGCGGCCGTGGACTTATAAAAAAAAAAGTGAAATAACAGAAAAAGGAAAGCAAGGGTTGAGAGTAGGTACTTCTCATAATATGATCACTAAAGTTGACGCCGTGTGTGCGTTTAATTATTTCACCGCAGGTTTTTCTATGCTGTTTCGTAAGTTAGTTTGGAACGTTTAATTTGTGAGCAGCCACCTCTTTCTTGCACCGTAGGCTTGCGCCAAATATTCGACATAATTTTACATTGCATTAGGACACCGGAAAACTCTAAACGTCAAATTTCTCACTACAAAGAAATAAATAAAAGTACATATAATTTCGTATTTCGACAAAATAAGTTAGGTTACATAGACCAACGCGCGGCTGTGACGTCACGTCGATGCGGTGGCGCTGTTGTCGCCAAGGCGCATGTGCAGAAGCACAGGAATCTGGTCTCTGCACATCCGCAGTGGCCACGATGGAAAGATGGATGGATGCTAACGGCTGTACCTGTTGTTTCGAGGTGTAGCTTGCGCCACCTAGCCTCAAATATAAAAACCAAAAGTATGACTGCTCCCTTCGCCCTTGTAAGCCGATTTACTTCCCCTCTGGAATTTTGTAACTATCACCATGGGGTCTGGGATATCAACAGGATGACCCCTACACCTGGTGTGGGAATACGCTGACTTGTTCGCAAACAGCTCGTCGGTCTGTAGTAAGTGGTATTGCTTATTTCCTCCCGACAGATCTTCGACGCCCTTCGAGCTTCCGATCCCCACTTCGCGCAAGGCAAAGTTATCGCCGTCGAAGGAGACCTGACTCTCTCCGAGCTCGGTCTGAGCACCGAGCACAAGAGAGCACTCTGGGAAAACGTGGACATCGTGTTTCATTCGGCAGCCATCGTCAAGTTCGACGAGCCCCTCAAGTAAGCGCGTGCCAGTCACGTTTACAAACCTTACAAAGACCAGACAATCAGATATAGCACACAAATAAACATCTTCCGAGCTATGCGACAACCGGATCAAGGTCCTCCCACAAAGCCCTTTCCCCTTCCACTTTAGCAGAGCGAACGCTGGAGAGAGGACAAGTGGAAAAGAGGAAACTTGCCAATCATGGAGATTGAAGAGCTTTCCGGGAGGGGCTTGTCCTGCTATTCTTAACCTTCAGTAGACTGTGCTGTTACTACTACTACTCATGCATTCGTCCCAGTCGAGAAAAGAACAAGTGATGGCTGCAAAGTGTCAAATACGCCAGTTGTTAGCAATTTTTTTTATTATTATTTAGTTTAAAATTGTGGGGGAATAAAAAAAAAACTTTCTCAGGCCTGTGTTACTATACTTTCCTAAACTGCTTGTTTCTAAAAATAGAGACGAAAAAAAAAAAAAAGACATCGCCTTAAATAGTTTTTTAACCTTTTGCAGGAGTTCCATTGATATGAATGTTCTTGGAACCAGAAGACTCCTCCAACTCTGTCAAGGCATGGTCAAGCTGAAGGCAAGTTCGTTGTTTTTCTCCCCGTTCCGAAGCGCAGATGGCGCTAACAGGCGTCACTGATTGGCGTTCCAGGCGTTCGTTCACGTGTCGACGGCGTACTGCAACTGCGACAAGGAAGACGTGGCGGAGATCATCTATCCGCCACCGTTCGATCCACAAAGCGTCATCGATGCGCTCAGGCAAGCAGGACAAACATTTTCTAGAACTTTAGTAGGCCGTCTCGGAAAGGTTATATCTAGGGGTGCTTGAGCTTTGTCCAAAACCCTTTTACGCGGCAAGACCATAGTGCTAGGTCTACGAAACATGTCATGAGCAGTGTCCCTGCTCAGAATGCGTCTTCAAACCATACCATGATTTCTGCAACGTCACTTAAGCATTTGCTAGGCGCTCTCCGTGGATCGTTGTGATCGTCCCATCGTGGCCCCTGCAAAAAAATTCCTGCACATAAACTTTATTTTATTTTATTTTTTATTTATTTTTTTTTAGTATGCGTTTTGTGGCACAGTGCTCTCGAGCACGAAGTCAACGGTTGGTAATAGTTTATTCCTGCAGGCTACACGGTCACCTAAGTTGGTGTCACACAAAACCACGGACCACCGGACTCCAAATTTCAATGAAAGCCCCTCAAAGAGCGCGCCATCTGGTAGATGGTGCACACATTATCTGAGTCCGCCATTGCTTGGGCTCGCATTCGAAACGTGCATATTGGACACGACGGATACGTCAACGTTCGGAGAGGACTCGGAACCAAATATCACACTTTGTGCCTAAGAAGTGGCGAACACCAATGTTGTTTGATGGGGTTTTGACAAGAGTTTATAGCGAAGACAACAACAACAGCAACAACAGCTGGCGATTGCGTGTCATACTAAATGTGTCGCCTTTTGTACCTAACTTGTTTGCGCTTGAAATCATTGTTCCTTCTTTTGTTGTTCTTGTGGTTGATGTTCTTGTTGTTTCTTTTAAGCGGGGACCATCAAATGCGAAGCACATAAGACTGCGTCTAACGAATCACGTTTTCTGTACGAAGTTGGATGGACGACGCCCTGGTGGAAGCGATCACGCCCAAGTTGCTGGGCAGCCGGCCCAACATGTACACCTTCACCAAGGCGCTGGCCGAGAGTCTGGTGGCCGAGGAACGTGGAACGCTGCCCGTGGCCATTGTTCGACCCTCCATCGTCACCGCGGCCTGGAGGGAGCCCATTCCCGTACGAGCACACCCTCATCAAGTACCGCAATGTCGAACCTATATATACCAGAAGGCATCGCCCACCAGAGAGAGCAGCCAAGCTTCAAATGCTAGTCTGGCAATAACACTGGGCACACCTCAGCAACGCTTCACCATCAGACGAATTGTACACGCCATCGGCAAGATGGCAGCGCGTAGAGGCCGTACTTGCACACGCCTTATTCAGCAGAAATCCCGTCGGATGTATTCCCAATCCGGCTAATGTCCTAGTTTCCTCGGTTACCAATCGTTTCGTAACTTTTACGTAAAAATATATCCGGTCACAGAAACATGAGCTTCGTCGTTTATCATACCATGCATGCGGCTACTAATTCGTTCAGGGCCTTGCTTCTACTTCTATGATTATCTTGGAAATTTGCGCCGGCGTGCCGAATAGTTTGCATCTGTGCTTGTGTTGTATTTGATGAAATCATAACGAAATACAGGCATAATTTGGGTGACACTCCGCTTGTTGTCAAGTTCTGGTTGTAGTCACACCACCGTTCCTGGAACGAGTACGGTAACCAAACTCATTACTGTCTGCTGAACCAATTTTGAACAACGAGTAAACTGCGATATGTTCTATTTTTGAACCCCCGGGATCGTCTACAGATTTCGGGCGACCGATATTATCATTGTACAGATGATGGCTGGACCCTATGGAGTGAATATGCGGCGAACAACCAACCAACTTTGCACGGCGGTACGTTCGCTTTGCGCGCGCCATCGACATCCACTGTTCTGATGCAGAGTGCAGAGCGAACGCCACAGGGCAAAATTCGTAGCCTGTTCGCGGCATATTCGCTACATGAAGTCCAACCTTTACACTCCGGAGTATGGAGCATGGCAGTCATTGTAAACAAACTGTTTCCTATGCATTTATATGTATTATTTTTTTTTATACAGGGCTGGATTGACAACATCAATGGTCCTACGGGACTCCTTGTGGCTGTAAGTACTGAAAGTATTTTGTCAATGTCCTTTTACTTTATGGTATCCTCTAGCTTGCGTTGTCTTCTGTATTGGGCAGTACTTACCGGCGCCATTAATACGCGATGCGTTTGGCACTGAACAAGCGGCGTGCTGGCAGCGAACTTTGGCGGTGCTTGTGCGAACTTCTTGGGTCATTCTCAGCAGTCGTTTGGTCACTGCTTAGAGGCGAGCATGAAGCACTGACGTCATATGACTAAATTTATTGTAGAACGGCAATATTGTTGCGCTTGTAAATGTTCTCTGCCAGTCAGCGAGCTGGAATAAAACGTCAGGAGACACACCGAATGAGGCAGGTGAAGATGGCTGGTTTGATCGTGATTTTCATGTAGTTTCATGTAGAGCAGAAAGAAATCTGTGTGTTTAGGGAACAAAATTCATAACGCATTTGGCATACGACTTTTTATGACATATTACCAAAGATCACAATTCATAATGTGCCTATTTTTTAATCTTGTTCATTCACCCAGTAGAGTATGCTGTCGGCGTAATCATTTAGTTCGACCGAAGCACAAACGAATGAAGGTTCAAACAACCATCAAACTCAAAATGCTCTGAATCGAGTTTCCAAATTGTACTCTTCATGAGTTTTATTTCCACCACGCAGAACGGTCGCAGGCTCAATGTTATGTTCGAAATGGCTGCAGTGACGGCTATAGTATAGGCACGGTTTTGAAGGGAGCATTTTAATTAGTTTATTTCTTTGGGAAGAATGTGCATGCAAATTATAATTGAGAAGAAATGGGACAATGTATATAGTTCAGATGTCGATTAAACCACATAAATTTATAATTATGAATGACGCATTAAAAAAAAAAAAAGTTCTGATTTGAGTAGGCAATTTTCGAAGCTGCGCTGCTCTTTTAGATATTTTGAAGCTACATATATATATGTGTCCTGCTTATTTCTTTTTTCTAGTCAGGAAAAGGACTACTACGTTCCATGCTGGCTGACACCAACAAAGCGGCGGACTTTGTTCCAGTGGACGTTGTGATAAATACCATGATCATCGTAGCCTGGTACACGGCCACGCAAAGGTAATAATTCGCGCGCTTTGCATACAACTTTTCCATAAAGGCGCAGCCATCTTGAATGTCGTCACTTCTGGTGTGCGGTAAAACGTCGTTTTGATCTCTCCACGTCGCTGGAAGGTCGCTGCCTCACGTCGCTGCCTCACCTGTATTTTCTCGCATATTCCAGGTTGAAATGTTTTATTATTTTTTTGTCCCGCATGGCAGATACGGAACACGCGTGACTGAAAACGACATGAAGCAGAGAACGTATATACCGGGAGTTTCAAGCAGCGGTCAGGCTCTTTAAATCGACCGCAAAATTTCGTTTCTTAACCTATCGCGCTACGATTTTGTGCAACGTCACCCAAAGGTGGTGCATTTTTTTATATAAAATTTGCCAAGAGCAAACTTACCTGAGGAAAAAGTAAAAAAAGAAAAAGTCTTAACTCCTATGAACATGCAGCGAAGCCACCGGTCTTCAAACAATAGGGGCGACGTTCCACAAAATTGTAGCGCGATAGGCTAAGAAACCGAATTTTGCGGTCGTTTTAAAGAGCCTGGCCGCTACTTGAGACATCCGGTAAATAGAATTAACGGATAGTCGAGGTCCTTGTCTCCCACTGCCCAAGCGCATACTTAAATAAATCGTCACTTTTCCTTTTTTTTTTTTTTACAAAAAGTTTAATAGTTTTGGTTTGAAAATTCATGTAGCGAACACGGCACAGGCAGCGAACAGCTTAGACGCGCACTGCAGGCGTCTGAGTTAGATACGTTTTAATGCCGTCGGCACAGAAAAAGATTGGCACACAGGACAGTTTTTTGTTCTTTGGCAGTTCGTCAGACCGGCGAAATGAATGTTCTGAAATCGTAATTTTTGGCGTGACGGACGCACGCCCATCCTGTTTTCTGATGAAAATAGGCAAAACAAAAATGAAAAAAATACCGGCAACGCACATGATCCTTGCAGTTTTACAAGACTCCGGCGATGTATTGGTTGATATCTATTCAGAAAGCACATCTGAAAAGCTTAGTCACTATGAACAAGCCGGTCCTGAGATTAAAAATGGCGAACCATCTTTTCTTATGTGTGTTTTTCTTCTACTTCACCACGTCACTCCTGGAGAATGAACGTGCAAAAAGATCCAGTAACTCTCTTCAAGCGCGTTATATGGTCTTAAAAATGCTTTTTTTTTCTATTGATATCCCCCCCCCCCCCCCCCACGCCCCGTGTTTCTTAAGCTGTCACTGGCTATGATAGGAGGAGCCACCAAAACAAATCATCATAAATTATACATTCAAAGAAATCTCAACTCCGGACCTCCGCCAGTTAAGAAAAAACAGCGCCGAAATAACACGAGGGCCAAGGCAACAGGGACACGACAAGACAACACAAGGACCAAGGTAGGAGGGGCACGACCTCCACCGGTACCCTTCTTTTCTCTCGACCTCAATATATGAAGAAATTTGTCAAAATGGGGGGGGGGGGGGGGGGGCCCATTTTGACAAATTTCTTCATATATTGAGGTCGAGAGAAAAGAAGGGTACCGGTGGAGGTCGTGCCCCTCCTACCTTGGTCCTTGTGTTGTCTTGTCGTGTCCCTGTTGCCTTGGCCCTCGTGTTATTTCGGCGCTGTTTTTTTTTTTAACTGGCGAAGGTCCGGAGTTGAGATTTCTTTGAATGTATAATTTATGATGATTTGTTTTGGTGGCTCCTCCTATCATAGCCAGTGACAGCTTAAGAAACACGGGGCGTGGCGTATGATGCTCAGGCTTTCTGTTTGGCGATTGGTTCGTAGACCTGCTAATCCCTGCTAATCTCGCAACCTCACCGGCTGTGAAGTGATAATAAGATGTCCGGGGCACGGCCTGTGTTTCGTAAACTGCCAGTGTCAATACTGTAGCAAGTTGTGCGTCGAAACTTAAACTCGGGTTCCTGGCTCGCAGACCAGAGAAGACGGGCGTGTACCACTGCGCCTCGGGCACCCTGCGCAAACTAACGTGGGGCGACATCGAGACCATCGCGTACCCGCTGCTTCTCTGGCATCCGATGCCCAACCCCGTCCGCTACCCTGGCGGCAGCTTCAAGAAGAGCCGCTTCTTCAACGCCCTGTCCATGTTCGTGGAGCACCGATGCCCCGCCCAGCTGTACGACTGCTACCTCTGGTTGTCCGGCAGAAAGCCCAAGTACGCCGGCCTTGCTTACATGTCAAGAATCTCTAGGCTCTTGATAACACGAACTCAACTCTCCTACGTCACGCCGAGGTGGTGGCGCGTCGGGCGCACTTCCGGTCTGGGGCGGTGGGCAGAAGTCGCCGTGCGAGACATGCATTCCTGTGTTCTTTTGGGAGAAACCAGACAAAAAAAAAATACCACCTTCTTGTCAAAATGCTGCGACGGGGGCTGTACCAAGACAGTCTGGAAAGGTTTGAAGATCAGTTTTCATGTGTTTCTGCCCCCACCATTCGTCCGAGAATATGGATAGTAGCCGTGAAAAGGGCAAACCAGGCGCTGTCGAACTACCATTGCTTGTGCGGGCAACACTTTGTGGTCGCCAGATGTATTTGTTTTGTTCCAACACGAACGAGAGAAAACCGCAGTGTTGTCCGGACCACCCGCGGGCTCAGTGCGTCTTCGAATTCATACGGCCGCCTGATCGTTCGAACTTTCGCCTGCTCTATCAAACTTGTCTGCTTTTTGTCGTCAGCTCATTCAAACGACAGCGGCCCAAAACCAAACGTTGACCCGGTAATTGCGATAAGAAGTAAGTGCAGGCCTCCAAACACTTTTGAAGGTTGATTGTGGTAAGTAGGCTAAGTGTAAACAATAGATACAAGAGGGTGTTGATCATTGTTACCAGCGGCCATCACCGACTTGTAATGCCCGATTCTACTTGCGGTTTTCAGTACCGACGTCCACCATCTCAGCTACGGTCCACGCTTTTGCAGCCCGAGCGACGTCGCGACTGAAAATAGCGAGCAGAATGTCATCGTGGGAGTCAGGCTTTAGCCCCCATTCTGCGGCGTTTACGTGAAATGTATCGCCGCACGCCACATTATTCACGCAAAGTTCTGCGGTATAACGAGCCTCGTTAATTTTTCTGAAGCCGCTCAAGTAGTCAGACATCGTTAAGAGGACGTAGAATCAACAATTCCAACGCGAAAAAGAGCACGGTGGCCCACACCGACGCCGACAGCAACGCAATTCAATGGTTTGTTTATGGGCGACGGCGAGCTTCTTGCCCACCCTCCACCGCGCATGCGCAGCGCCGGTGGCATCCTCTAGGGGCGCTCCGGTTCGATTGTAAACATGAGTTCGTGTACACAGCGCATCGCCGACGTGCCGAGTTGTCGGTTTAGCGGGGATGTATCCGCGCTGTATCGCCGCTCACCACTGTAGAACAGCACACGGACGAAAAAGGACGTGCACTACTGTGGAACCACATTGGCGATAAATCATGTGCCAGTCAGAGCTGCATCAGCGCAGTTTTCCAGCGCCGATTCGGCACCGCGCTGCATGTGTGAACCTGCCTTTAAGGGTGTAAAAAGGTTGTCCCAGAGTCTTATACATTCATGACTGCACCTTTAAGCACCTCTATTTCGAGTAAGGCAACCTTTTTAATCGTAGATAAAGGTGATCTTGCATCGAACGCCTTTCATTTTTGAAGGGTGTGAAAAGGTTGGTACCAGGATGTGAGGTGAGCGTTTTTAGAAAACAGCTTTAACATATGTTGTTTCAGCGACTATGTCAATTATTTATTACCTGTACCAATTCTTTTTACTTGAAGAAACATACAACGAACGTAGGTATAGTGTGCGGTACATGAAATTTTGAGAAAAGCAAAGCAACATACCGGGAACTATCATAATTGCAGAGACGGTCACCCACAAGGGGTATATTTGAATTGTGAAGTATGTAAGGCGGTGGGAACTGTCAACAGGGTCGTGATTTCTCTCTCGTGCGCGATATTTACTGCGTCGGTAGTGGTCTTTTCTTTTCATGAACGTACTGCATGTGGTACTTGTTGCCTGTAAACTTGTTGCTGAAAAAAAACACAAAAATACCTATCCCTAGCTGGCTGCTAAGATCGCCAGCATTTTATTTTTAGGGTGTTCACGAGCAGTCTAAGGGTGTTTCCGTGACACCTTTAAGGTGTTAGTCCTTGGGCAAGCGGAATCACTCCTTTAGGGGTTTAAATTGCTTTGGTGTGTACCCTCCTATCTCTGCCACGTGCCTGATTAGCGGGACACAACGTAAGATGCAGCTTACTTTTTTTCCCCGTATACTATTACCTTGAGATAGAGATATTTATCGGTGTAACTAACGATACGTCTAGATAAAGGAATAAAGAAATATGGACGAAAAAGCGAGCGAGTGAAGGCTGGTTCAACCATTTGCGCTTGAGCGAGACTGATTGCTCTAAAAGATTCATTTGGTTCTACTACGACAGGTTGCGCGGATCTCGATTGCCATGGCAACCGTTTCGTCGTAAGTAGTCATAAGCGGTAGTAATGCCATCTGTCCCACTCAAACGCAAATGTCTAAACCAGCCTTAGTGATTGGAAGTAATCATCCGATCGCACTCCTTGTCCCTCTATAAGAACAACAAAATAACAGTCAGTCTCTTACCATATATCCACACTTTGTTGCAACTTGAGGTTCAGCACCGAAGACTGCAAGCGCGAGAAGATTTCTTTCGAATAATGTCTGGATTGCGCGACCTCTCTTGCAGTTTTTAAGTTACTCAGAAGGAATGGCTGCATGCACGAAGCCTTTTAGCGCCAGCCAGTGATGTAGCAATCACCGATCATTCTTAGTGGGAAATATTTTCACAACTTCGATGCTATTCTTTGGCGGTACCCGTGGTGCTACAAAATCAATGCATAGCGAAAACAAAAGTCTGCATAGATTAAGTAACTCTCTCTTTTTTCTGCTCAGGATGGTCAAGCTCTTCACCAAACTCTACAAGGTCATGGTGTCCTTGGAGTATTTCACCACTCACGAGTGGAGATTCAACTGCACAAACCTTCTTGCTCTTCTCCAAGAAATCTCTCCCGCAGATCGAAAGGTACTTCTCGTTAGGCATCGCTTTCGCTAGCTACTGTTACCACATGATAATTGCACAGCCAAGTCTTTTAAAATCCGAAAGCCAAATTTCTGCAGTATGCTGACTATATCCGGCATTAATATCTGAACATCTCATTTAAACGCACGGCTTCGGCACAGGACAAATAATTATAAAATACGTGAGAAGCTTGGAGATAGGGGAGGGGGGGGGGGAACAATTTCGCTTCTACATTTATAGCTGTTCAGATTATAACTCATCACCCTTATGTGCTTGTGACCTTGTACACAAGGTAAAATTCACAATCAGTGGTAACTTCATGGTAACTTTAAGAGTCGTACTGCAGTGATCTTCCATGTGATCATTCTCATGTACTCGGCGCACTCAGATGTTCTGCATCGACCTCCGGCTGTTGAACTGGGGACACTACTTCAAGGACTATGTCATTGGTACCCGCAAGTTTGTCCTTAAGGAAGACCCCTCAACGGTTTCGGAAGGCAGGAACAAGCTGCGAAGGTAAGGGACAACATGATCCTTAACTACACTATTATAACCCCCCTGATGACCCAAAAACAAACATTTGAAAAACGTGTTTGGGAACAAGCAGTCTATACCATTGAAGCTTGCTGAAGCGCTGATTTTACAACGTCTGTGAGGTGGCTATTTCATTAAGTTTGCATAGCACCGCCCATGGGGCTTGTTTGACACAACCGGCTTTCCGTATCCGCAGGCTGTACATCTACCAGCAGCTCCTTTACGTGGGCCTGGTGGCGTTCGTCTGGAGACTCATCATGTACAAGTCCAAGTCCGCCTGCAGACTCTGGCGCGCCGTCGTATCTCTGTTCCTGCCACTGCTAAGCCTCGTCTCTTCCGTACTCGGCCTGCCTTGTTCAGAAGACATCCTCAAGCAGTAGTGACACTGCCTTCCCTCGTGTTCCTGAACACTTCCAGCCAGAAACACACTTGCCACGCACCTGTAGAATGACTTTTCTTTTTGTGATGTGGATCTCTGAAAAGCGACGACAGCTGGGTCTGCGGACACGGATGCGCCAAAGGGGGTCCAAGCTTCTCCAGACGTTGCTATTGAGCTTATAGTTTGGACCACGTGGAGTGAGGCATTAATTATCGAATGCTTTGTTTCTTACTTATGGTCGCTTAGGTATAAAACAAGAAAGAAACCAAAACGCCTATAGTTTAATTGCACGTCGTAAGCGCTCGTCAAGGGACCACTGTTAACGAGAAATAGAGTTCCGGTTTGATTTTTGTTTTGTGAGCAGCGTTTCATACCTTTCGCAAATGCCCCCGTTGCGGTCGTAATCACCGAAGAGATTCACTGCAACTGATAATTCATGGTCTTGCTCTATCATTTCCAAACTCTAAGTGAAGCGTAAAAAAAAATAAAACCAACGCAAAAAAAACAAAAAAAAAAAAAACAATAATAAACACGGAAATGGCAATTTTTGAGCCACACCATTTTCAAAATCTGTTTATCAATCCTGTCCAGAGCCGAACTTGACACTCAAATCAAAGACGGTAACGACATTGTGGCATAAAAGTGATCACGTTGATATTAAGGCTTTCAGTGCCGATGCACAATATCTGCTAAAACTGCTCTAGTGTGCTAGTGACCTTAATTTTTAGTAATATTACGATAACTCTCAGTCAATTTTCTCTGAGTATGCGCCAACAATCCAATGACATGTATGTACAATGACAACAGCAACCGAACTTTACAAACGCCGCTCATTCTTCGATGTCAGAGGGTGAACGGAAATCTGAACAAAGATTTCGCTTTTGTGAACATTAGCGTGGACAACAGGGAAGACTGCAGACTCGGGTTGTCGTCCATGTGAAGTTTATGCAATGTGCAGGTCGTTTGAGATAAAAGCAATCCATGTGTTTTTCGTACAGAAGAAACGAGTCATGCATCAAGGAGAGCTTAGATTTTGCTCGAATCTAACAATCAGTAAATTGAAAGAACGTACGAATCCAGAAATTATTTGATTCAAACGATAATGGCGGTTTTTAGACCCTTACAAATATTCCCAGGAGATGGCAACGGGCGTCTCTTGCTAAGATGCCACTTATCAAAAATGAAAGACGTTTACAACACCTCGTAACGCCGAATTAGTGCGCACCTCTTGAGGAGGAGGAGGGAAGGGTACTGAGGGGAGGGTAAACCCCTCCTCCCTCCTCCTCGCCTCCTCATCTTCCCTGCTACTACTCCCCCTCTCCTCCTTCACCACCCCTCCTCCTTCAAGCTTCTCCCCTCCTCTCCTCCTCCCCCTCCCCTCCCCCTCTCCTCCTCCACCTCCTGCTCCCTTCCCCTCGTTCCCCTCCCCCTCCCCCTCCCCGCGCGTTGCATCATGGGAAATATCCCATAATGCACCGCGCGGTTACGCCGACGCCGGCGCCGACAGCGACGCCGCTCAAGCCGGAAACGGGCGCCTAAGAGTTGCGCTCTAAAAACGAGCGTCCGTTCCCGGATCTTTGTTTCTGTATTGCCTCGCAGCTCTGGAAGCTACTTTCAGATTGAAAGTATCCTCAAGTAACTTCTTATTCCAACCTTTGAATTATAGTCCAACTCAACTCACTGACGTCACGAAACTGCGGTGGCGCTGCTGTTGGTACTGCGCATGCGCAGACGCTTCCCTCATCCTGAATTTGATTTTCTGCTCGCGCGCAGGTGCCCACACCTGCATGGTGTGGGCAAAGTGCGCTTGTTTAGTAAACACTGTGTTGGTGTATAGACGTTTGCAAGTACGGCCTCTGGGCGCCGCCATCTTGCTGCTGGTGTGGATAGATCGTCTGATAGGCGTGCCCACGGTGGCCAGACTAGCTGTTGAAGCGCGGCTGCTTGCAAACTTGTATACAACACGGCCGAGAGGGCTCGTCGCAGGCTGCAGCCACGCGGCGATCTCTTCTTCTGCCTCCTGTTATCAGTCCAGGACGTCGCATACGTCGTCATCGGCATCTGCGAGACGACTAAAAGACGAGAGAGGGCGGAGCGATAGACTTTTTTTCCCCAAGGGCGCCGCCATCTTCAAATTTCGTCACTTCCAGTATGGGCCAAAACATTTGTTTTGCCGTCGCTACGCCAATTGAATATATTTAGGATATAAGCGTAACCGTCACCCATTATCGTCCTGCCTCCCCGATATTTTTTTTTTTACTATTTGCAGGATAAAATGCTTTATTACTTTTTCGTCGCCCGTACCGGATATGCCGATCAGGTGGTTGAGGGCGAGAGCAGATGAAAAAGGACTATACCGCGCATCAAGTCCTGCCGTAACCGACGCTGCGATTCGACGAAAAAAATTAAGCAGCGCCAAAAAGTGCATCGTCTGACGCTGGTTGTCTTTGCGCGTCTGCTGTGCACGATCGGTTTAGCTGGTGATTGATGGCAAACGCGCTGGGAGCACGAGAGCCGTGACGATGTACTTTTCACGCTGCTTGATTAGCCCTATCAGATCGGTCGGACCTAACGCGAAACGGAGCATACCGCAAAAGTTTATTTTGCAGTTGCTTACCGCTCCTAGTATAATAAAATAATAAAAAAACTGTTATCTTTTTCTCTCTGGTGAAGAAGAAAGACCAGCGAAGCTGTACTATGGTAGGTGGGAATGAAGTAAAGGCCGACCGCAAGTCGGCAAGCAAGAGTGGAAAGGCTCGAAAGGTTGCCGCTATCTGAGCGACGGCGGCAACCAGACAATCGTCAAGTCGGTTGCCTGGTTGCCTCCGTTGACTCCAGGTTAACAAGGGAAGTGCAGCCGGGAATTTCGGTGAAGATTAGTCCAAAGATCTCCAACAATTTCTTTATAGGAGCTTACACTCCCGGCCTGTCGGTAGAGTTTCCATCGCCTTCGGTAGCACTATGGCTGGATGTGGTGGAGCAAACTGGCTCCTTTTTGAAGAGGTTCTCCAGAGAGTACGAATGTTCTTCTGCTCCAAGCTCGCTGCTTGCTTGCTTTATGGCCTTCACAAATGGCACAATGCGCTGGGGCACTGTTCTAATTGTCCATCCCCCAAGGACCACACGCAATTAGATATTTGTCACTGAAACGAAATCCATTCCCAAAATAATGTCTCTGCAGAGGTCGGGCAAACACAGGAAACGTTGTCTCCGGGAACCGGCCGCCCACCGGATCTTGCACCGAAGAAATGCAGTGGACTGGGACAAACTTGTTGCCAGTCGCAGCCTACGCACCTCCCTTTTTTGACTGGCACCTGTGGCTTGAGCAGCTGCGATAGCCGGCCGATTCAAGAGACTGACGCTGGAGCCTGTTTCGAGCAGTGCCTTTTACGTTGATGACCCAATTGTAACGTCAAGGAGAGACTCTTTCCCACCGGCAGTAGTTGCCACTTGCAGCGCTCTGTCGTAGATGCTCACCAGGGCAGCATATACCAGTGTCCGTTTCCCGGACATTGTGCTTCAAAATGGCCAGGCAGTTGGCACGTGAAGCAAAGACCTGAACCCAAACGCCGACCCGCGGCACAGCTGCGAGCGGGGAGACCGATTCCTCCGCATCTCCGGCAGTGGGCGACTCCTTGTTGGCGCTGATGCCACTGAGACATTGGCAGAACTAAATCTGCAACTCCCCCTTACGTTGCGGGTCCTGAAAGCTGGTCCCTGTAGTATGCTGGTTCGATTGCCGCAGGGTGGTGTGGCCAGCGGTACGTCGACGGCATAGTGACTGTTGCAGATGATACAGCGGCTGCTAGGGTCGGTGCGACAGTAGCGGGCACAAGGTAGCAGCGACTTCCCAGGAAAGTTGCTGCTACCTTGTGCCCGGAAAGCTAGGTCACGGGTCAGCTGGTTGCTTCTTGGGGGGAGGGGGGTCGGCTTGTACTGAAGACGCCGCCAGGCACGTTCCATGAGGCCAGACTTGTGTTTGTTACTTAAAGAATGGATTACAATTACAAATTACCGAGCCCCAAATTTAATGGATTACCGTTAGAAATTACTTTCGCTGAAAAGTAACGGATTACTTTACTCGTTACGTTACAAATTACTTTCACGTTACTTTTTTCCGTACACTTATCCCGAAAACAATAGAAACAATTTTGATATTAAAAAAAAATGTTCTGCAGCCACTATTTTTCATTTCTCATACGCCCGTATTATGGTAGCCCTTGTAAAAATAAAATATTGTATTTATGAGAAAGAGTGTAGGTGCACTCCGTTCACCTGTAAGCTGACAAGGCACCGAAAGCTGCAACGACACCCGCCATTTCGATAGTTTATGGCCTCTGGAAATGATCCCTGGAATTGTGCAGACAAAGCTAGCGGTGCACATGTTCAGTAGCTGCAGCGTCTGCCTCCGCTACGAGATTCGGAGCTAAAGAAGCGATCTACGAAAGCTCCCTTTTGACTCGCGTGTTTCGCCTGTTTCTCAAAAAAAAAAACTTGATTTTAACGTTACAGTGTATATAGCCCAATGCAGAATGCAGGTGGGTCAGCTTACCTTGATGTGTCTCCGTAGATTAGAGTTTGTTGTTCTTGCTGATGACAATGTGTGTTTTTTGTTTTGTTTTTCTTGGCAAGCAATGTAGGCACTGAAACCCTAAGTTTCCGTTCTCCTTGAGAGAACGACGACGACGACGCTCCAGCCAGGACGATCGAATTTGTCGCTCTAGGAAGACTACGTTATTTTATGGTTATTTCCTGGTTTATTGACCGAATATTTCCCTGGTTTTTCAAGAAGACGTCTCCTGTCCACACCCAATTAGGAGCTACGACTCCGCCCAACGGGGGCCACGTAATATGAGCCTCCCGAATCCACCACAGCCTAACCAGGATGAATCTGGATCTGCCGAACCACATCACAAGCCTGAAGACTCTCATGATAGCGTCATGGATGACTTCGAGGACGAAGCTGGGTGGCAAACCCAAACGTCGAAGAAGAGACGTCACGGCTCAAAGTCAAGTGAGGACACAATCATAACTCAGCCGGGTTATAATCTCACAGTCATTGTTAAGCCTAACGACCCAACCACGATCATCACCAACAGGAACCCTCTGGTACTAAAACAAAAGCTGGACGGTCTGGCCCCAGACGGTGTCATCCAGATTCGGCCCAACTACCGATTGAATCTTCTGGCCATCGATGCTAGAAATGTAGAATCCACAAAAGCACTCCTGCAACTGAAGAACCTGGGAACAGTTCAAGTTCAAACTTACGAACCTCCTCCACCATCGGCATCTGTGGGTATTATTCGAGGAGTATCTGCAGACATCGAGGACGCTGATCTCTTGGCAGCCATGCGAGAAAAAGCTTCAGTAATCCAGGTGAGAAGACTTGGAAAGTCAGAAATTGTCAAACTGGTCTTCGCAACAAAATCCTCACCTGAATATGTCACTGCCGGGCATACACGTTACAAAGTTCTTCCCTACCTTGAAAAGCCAAGGCAGTGTCCGAAGTGCAA